GTTCTGCGAAAAGATGCTTTGCAAAATACGGATTGTTTTTCGCTTAAAATGTCAGCTTAAGCGAGGAAAAATTGACACACCTTCCTTGTAAAGATTTTCCGGGTTTCAGCCGACGAAGGAATGGGTAAATAAAGTAAACTTGTGGAGTTTTGAACTCGAAAACTTTTTCAAATTCGTGCTTGCGTGATTAGCGCGCGAAAAGCAAAACATCTTGACGCCACAACCATGTTTACATACTCTCATGCAAACACTCCTCTCGGCCAATCAGAGCGCGCGTACTATCTTAGTTATTTTATAAAAAGTGATGCGTGAGGTAGTTGCACTCTTTATTTATTTATTTTATTTATTTATTTATTATTTTCCCACAATAAAGATTACACAAGCATTACATTATACAAAGATGTGGCGAGGGGACCTCAGAAAACCACAAGGCTTGTACGAGGAGGCCCATTTAGCGCATTCGTGTCCAATAATACACTTCATTAGATTTCAGTCTTCGCTAGAGTCCACTGGAGTTACTGGCAGTCTTATCGAGAAACATTTGGAAGGGTACAAAAATCGTCAAGTGGAGTTCAAAAGCGTCAACCGGAGACCCATCGAGACCAAGTTACCACAAGTCTAGCACTGAAATGAAACAGGAAGTCTAAACATTTTAACGTCGGGAGGCTTTTAGTCCTCTCCGCAACCGCTCGGTCCGTAGTCAAGCAAAGGAGACTAGGGAGGCTAGAGGGTCCCAATGGGGTTAACCGATAGGCATAAAACACCCAAAAATTTAGTCGATAGCCGTAAAAATTGGAAAATTTTAACCGTCAGCCGTAAATAGGGTAAAAAAGAGTTAACCGTAAAGAACTTGTTCCCTAGATTTGTTCCGTTAATTTTAAGGGAGGTGCTAATGTGGATTATCCGTTTGAGACTAGCCAGTCTCCCCCTCCCCCACAGACATCCCTTCTCCGATTTGTTGTGAGGGGAGGGGGCGGCTGTACAAAGGCTCTCAGTGAAACGGATAATCCATCTTCAAACTTTCCGTCAAATTGACGGATAAAGTCAGGCGAATTGTTCATTCAAAATTAAAACAATTCCATTTACAAATATCTGAGGCGAATTATCAAACGGATAACCCGTCTCACACGAATAATCCGTCTTTAGTGTGAAAACGACCATTTCTTGTTATAAATGAATGTCTCGCCCCGTCCTTGAGTTGGGCGTTGGGCGTTGGGCGTGTCTGCTTTTGCTTTTTCACAAAGGTTATATTTAAATTTACTATTGACATTTCTATGCGTAAAATACTACTAGGAGTGGAATACTTTGTAAAAATTATGATCTATCAAATGTTAAAATTTTCAAACGAATAGCTTATTTCATTCCGAGATGATCCTAAGACCTTAATTTTGCTTTAAAGATAGAAAAATACAGGTTTATTAATATTTAACTCTTTGAAACAAAATAAATTAATTTTTACCTTTTTATTAACCATAACTGAAAAAAAAAATTAACAAATAGCCGTATAAGAGCCAAAATTTTAGCCGATAACCGTAAAAGCTACCACCCCATTGAGACCCTCAGGCTAGCATAGTCGCCCAAAGGACTCCGTCGGTGACCAATCTAGTCCACTGGAGTTGCCAATGGTCTATAGTGGCGAAATAGCTCGTTCTGTAAGCTCTGACCACAGGAGTACGTATATGTCTTGTTCTTTAAGCCATAAAAAGGAGAAAGAGCCCTACGAAACAAGCTCGCGACAAATGTATAGGCCTCCCTCTTTATGCTTCAGCGCTGAGAGAAGCCACTCAGTACTCGTGTATAAGCCTCGTTCTTTGAGCCATTGAACGGGACAAGAGCGCCGGTGCTGTGTCATGTCTTTTTTACACTTTTCCGTACCTCAATGTGTTCGTATGGTAAAAGTTTAGCCCTGTCCGGTCTTACCGCTTTAGATCCGTAGTTCTTGCTGTGGCACTGGTATTGTTCAACATTACCGTTTGTCAATAAGGTGCAGTTTCGTTTCGCTGTCTTACCAGCAATTTTCCGCATATTTGTTCTTTTTGTTTTAAGTGCGTGTTTGATTGACAGTATTTCGGAATAGGAGTTAACGGAATAAACTCAAGAAAACAATTGTCTTGTTAATTCATTGCATTCCAAATGTCTACAAATCTACTTGAAATAAAAAATCCCGATGAAAGTATAGCTGTATGTACCGTTTAACTGGTTCAAAAATAATGTTACCAGAGATTTGAACAAAACTTTTGCGTATTCTTATTCCCGAATAACGGTCAATCGAACGCTCCCTTAGGGTTAGTCTTGTTTTGTGTTGTTGTTGTTGTTTGTTTGTTTGTTTTTTTGTGTGTGTGACTGCGCTTTGTTGTGGGGAGGGGCTGCGGAACTATCCTGCTAGCAGTGGTTTCTCCAGGTCGGACGTTACGCTATGAAGGGTGAGAAACCCTGATTGCGAGCAACGGTCAACTTTTCCATCGAGCATGCGCGTCCACGAGAGGCCTACGTCAAAACGTCACTTGTTTCGGAGGAAACATTAGGGATTAGTATATACACACTCAGTGATCTTGGTGATTTAAGCAATCTGATTGGTTCGCTATCTCGGACTATTCAACAATATTCACCTCCTAGCGAGTGGATAATGTGTGAGCTCGGTGTTTTTCCCGTTTTTTTTAGAGAACGATCTTTTAAAAGTCGACAAAATCCTAGGGCTGACTTTTTTTAAGGCAAGAAAAGACTTGGAAGGATTCAATACGGCGTTTTTCAATTTACTGTAGCAGGAGTTTTGTGCTCGATGGATTGTTTACAACTCCCGTGTATTCGCGTAGAAGAAGCCGTTTCGTGAACTCAGCGTTTTCTAAGAAGAAAATTTTGGCTCAAAAATCGAAGTTTATTTATGACAAACAAATTCAAAAGGAAATGTTTGCAGAAATTCTACATTTCAAGTAAACAGGAAAAAGAATGATACAGGAAGACGACCTCTTACCTCGAGCAACCGAGCCGCCATTTTTGTCAGCACTTCATGCGAAGAACGACACAACATGCCCTTTTGGCTATAAACTTGGCGAGTCAACAGAAAACAACACAGCTCTACTTTTTTTCTCAGGTAAGGAAACAAGTCAAACTTTTAGCGATTCCATTGAAGCCATTACGCTGTTGTTTGCGAAATGAGTAAACTTGTGAATTGCCATGTTTGAAGATTCTGCAAAGATCTATTTTTAAACTTACGCGTGATTTGATCTGTCAATCAAATCCTACTTTTGAATGGTTTCCTTTCTGATTTTGTTGAGATCACTTCGTGTGTATATACTAAAACAATTATTCTTCTCAATCTCGGTGAATAGTGGCTTTGGGAATATTTACCTCGCCGCTTTCGCGGCTCGGTAAATATTTTGCCACTATTCACCTCGATTTCAAAGAATAATTGTTAAATATCCAAAGTCAAGAGGGCAACGAGAACGTCAAAAAAAACAATAGGTTTGATAAGCAAAACAACAACGTTGCACATGGATCACGCTTTTTTGTGCATTTCTATGCCGTTTTTGCACGACTACAACGCGAAAATGCCTAATTTCGCGTTTTATGCATAACGTAAACAAGCAACGACGAAATTTCATTCTCTTCCTGAACTTGGATATGGTCCCTAGGAATTCAACCCCAGTTGGTTCACCTACATTGACAGAGTAAGTAGGTAGGAATGAATAATTCCAATAAATACTGAATTGACAGATGAACGCAAATTCACAACAGGCTCGCGTTAAGGCAGCAGTTGTAGGTGTAAGCGAATGCGCGAGAGCCTTAACTTGTTTTGAAACAGGTTTTACATGTTTAAAGTTAATTTATTCGTCCATAGCGCTGGACGGCGGCTCGATCAAAGAAGCAGATGGTTACTCGCAGCGGTTTCTCTTCCTTCGTAGCGTAGCGTCCGTCCTGGAGAAACCACTGCTTGCAGGGTACTGGAGAACAGGGAGGTCCAATCGTCATCGCTCGTTAACGTCCTCCATAAAACGTGAAATTAGGCATTTTCACGTCGTAGTAACGCGGGGACGGTAAAGAAATGTGCAAAAAAGTGTGATGCACGTGCAAAGTTGTTGTTTTGCTAAACCTATTGCTTTTTTGGCTTTCTCGTTGCCGTCGCCGTCATCGTTGCAAAAAATCTTTCCTTACTTCTCCAGCTTCCCGCCCTTTTTGAATTCCCACCAGCCGCCCTTTCTTTTACGCCTCCTCTACCATTCTCGCCCGCTGTCCTCCCCCACCAAACTCTTCGTACATTGTCTTAGTCTGTTTATAAAGTAGTGCAAAACCCTTGTTATTTCTTTCTTACCTCGTTGTTTATTTCAATGTCCTGATTCTTTAATTGGCACTAGACAAGGATTTTCCTCTTAACTTAATGCTGCGTTTGTTAAATATATCTTTTAAGCGACTACTTAACAATATTTCACCGCCCAAAACTGGCTCGTGACTGTACTAAATTGAGTTCTATCGGCAAACACTTTCTGGCGAGTACTGGTTAGTTAGATTTAAATCGAGAGCGTAGAAAGCCAGTAGTTTCAATGTTAAGTAAAGTAACTGTGGTTTGGCTAAATACAACTTGTGGAAACCTTGGAGCTCATTTTGAATTGTTTTGGAACCACTTACTTGAATACAGCAAGTGTTGTTAGAGGAACGAATAAATGTTGACGACTCTGACTTTATTTTATGAACTTATGAAGCGTGGGCTGTGATAAAAGGATATGGATATATATATATGGATGTCACACAAAAATCTTGCAAAGGGCTATGTTCGAAAAAATTCCTTCAAGTACTAGCAGCTAAAGAAAATCTTACACTAAAGAAATTGACTGAAATTGAAACACACTGGAGAAACCCTAACAGTGTTAAGTTAAAAGATAGTTTGATTTTTCTTCGAGGTAGCTCTAAAACTACTCTTAGTCTACAGGTAATGAGCCTGGCTTTATATGAGAGTTTTCTTTGTTTCTGCCTTAACGTTGCCAAAGGTTCTTGGAGAAATAGAGTTATACTCTCTGAGGCCGCTTCTGGTTTCTGAAAGAAAACTTGCTGCTTCTGGTATTGGGAATTTCCACGCTGTCGGAATAATCACTTCCGTTCCTCATCTTGTTTGTGAATTGTCTTCTAATCCGACTGTCTGTACCCTCAGATAAGCTCTTACTTCGCGGATGTTTCCCATGTGTTCCCATTCTTTTCAGAGCAATCCAAAAATCGTGTTTGAAAAACGTGTAAAGAAGTGGATTAATGGCTGAGGTCAGGTACCTGGCGATGAGAATGACTTGTGAAGCAGTATCCAGGAGTTTAGAGTCTGGCATAATTAGCTTCTTATTACCCAAGGAATAAATAAGGCGCAACACAAACCAGGGAAGCCAACACAGAAGGAACACAGTTGCCATGGTAGCGAAAATAACCAGGCATTTGAGTTCGTTTTTCTTCTTTTTGCATATTTTCCGGCTTGCGTTTCTGCAAAGAATCTGACTCTTTTTCTGAAAGGCTTTCCTGAACATGACAACATGCGCATAAATAATGAAAGTGTAGGGTGCCGCAAACACAGCCAAAAGACAAAAGACGTTGTAAGTGATTTCCAGAGTCAAGGCGATTGGGATTTTTCGCATGCGCTTCGAAAACCAACCAACAGGAGCAAAAGCCATCAAACTGGAAATCAGCCAAGCGCCCGCCAGAGCCCCTAACATGGTCTTCTTTTTTATCACATGGAATTTGAAAGGTCGTGTAATGGCAATGTACTTCTCGGCGGTAATCAAGGTGATATGACAAGCTGCTGTTATGGCGACTAAGTTGTGGGAGACTTCCACAGCGCAAATTAGAGGGAGGTATGTTTTTCTCTGTACGAACGCCCAAAGGAAAAGAGGAATATTAACACAACCATTAAAAAAGTCACAAACTGCAAGACTTAGTAGTAGATAGTTAGAAGCTTTTCGTAGACTTCTTCTGGAGTAATAGAGAACAAACACCAAGCAGTTTGTGAGGATGATGAATGCCCCGATAGGGATAAGTTGCGGTAAAGCTTCCAGATTCGGTTCAGTCTCTTCAGTGGTGGTTGTTGTGTTGTTGACGTTTTCTCTTGACATCTTGTCCGCCTTGAAACCAACCGGAATATTTCTTACTCAGTTCCAACGAAATCTTTCCTTTATTTAATACCTGGGCAGATAAAACCTTTTTCTTTTGTTATATTAAAAGCTCGTCAATAAACGGGTTTTGCGCGTAAGTTTTTTATCCCGAGTTTGTGGTATCTTGAAAGTGTTCAATCCGCAGTTCACAGAAAATGAAGAAAACCTTGAAGCTTGGCAGATTTGCTTATAACAGTTCTGTTGCCCGGTGAGTGTCTGAATGCACGTACAAACGTTGCACGTTAAATAAGTTACTTCCGCCACTGTTGTAAGACAAGATAACAAATCCTTGAGGATGAAACTGATTCTCCTTTCGTTGACTGACGAGCAGCTAGGCACGTGCTGAGATTAACGTCACAACCTTGCAAAATTGTAACTTTCTGAAGGAAACGTGGAAGGAAAGGAAAATAACATGGCATTAGGCTTTTGAAAGCACATCAAAAATTAATTCATAAATTGAGTAAGAACTGTTAAATAAAAATTGTTTACGCACGTAGACAAAAAAGTGGGAGATAATTAAACGGCAGCTGGCGCCGGTTTCTGCCATGTTTGGGTGCCATACACAAAAGCCTCCAGGAAAACGTATAATGTTACAAATAAGAGATATCAAAAACTCGAAAACAAATGTCAAAAAACGTATGCAAAGACTCTTCGACTTGTCTAGTTTGTTGCTCACGTTTTTCAGTTCTCTGTTTAATAGCATGTTTTAAAACCTTTTTTGTGAGTCGGAAAAAATAACATACATGTAATTGACTTTTCAAAACAATCAAGGTAGTTATCTGGGGGAGGAAACATTTCTTCCAATAAAACAGCGCAAGATAACCAATAATTTTTGCCCTGCTGCATCTATAGTATTTTTATTATTGCATAGCAATTATGTCCGTCGTTGAAACAAGAGATAAACCACGTCACAGGAAATCGAATAAGTTGAAAGCCTTTTTTCGGGTCGTCTTTTCTGTTTTTACTTTTAATAAAGCGTTTTTCATACCCTCTCTCTTGAATGCACAAATTTGATATTTCGTGAGAAAACCCACTTACTGAAGATTAGAGACGAAAGAGTTTTAAAACTGAAGTGAACCTTTACATAAATTATTCACTTAGTTCAGAAGTTCATTTGCATCTTTAGAAGGGCGACAAACTTTTACGTTGTTACTATGGAAAGGTTTATAACCTAGAAATATCTTATTTATGAATGATCCTTGAGATGATTCACTTACGTATCAAATAGAACGGAAAAAACACTGTTTACAGCTGGGTAAATTAAGAAACAAAGATATTGATGGCCTCTAAAATTGAATGCTGAATGAAACAGCCATTACTACTGACTTATTCTTCGAAAACAGAAATAAAAAGTGATAAATGTAATTCATCGATAAGTGCCCTGAGGACTTACCGCCCACTCTCATTGGTGAGCATATAGAAGTTATTACTTTAGCAACTTTGACTAGTTGAAATGGTTATGATCAAGCTAGCTAAAATTTATTTGCCTCAAGGCGAATTAAGCAGGAGGAAATTATCTGATTGGGCCCATATCACCCTGACTCCAGCGCTCACTAATGACAAAAAATAATTGTGTATTTGTTTCAAACCACTTAAATGCGATAGTTCGGAGTATTTTAATTTACGCAGAATATCTCTTTCACCTTTTTGAATATGTTAATTTAAATATATATATATATATATATATTCGTTCCCAATAATGGTTTCAATTGATAAAAAGTTAAAACAGATACTGGGTTTTTTAAAAGGTGCAAATTATCATTCGAGAGTGGCCTCGACAAATTAAAAAGGAAATGACATGGCGCTCCTCTCATCAGTAATGTTTCTGCAAAATTCTCATGTTAAAACGGCATTCTATCCGCCTTCCTGTATAAAACTAATTCCTTAATAACTTAATTTTTAGGAAAATCATTACGGAAATCATCGAGCGCATTGGTGGACAGAAGCACGTACAAACTTAAGTTAGACAAAAGTGATCAATGGTGTCGGATATGGATTGCCAATATTGTCTTTGTCGGTTAATCGGCCATCGCTAGTGACGTTGTAATAGGTTTCATGCCCTGGTACCTCATCAATAATTCGCAAAATTCTGACCACTTTTATCCCAAAAGTGTTTTTGTTTTCGCAGGCTCCAACATCTGTTCTTAGGACTACTTTGAACCTGTATTGCTCTATGCCTCTTTTGTGTGTTTGTTCGGGGTAGTAATCCCTGATCGCTAGTGACGTTTTAAAGTTTCATGCAGTGGTACCTCATCAATAACTCCCACAAATCCTGACCACTTTTATCTTAAAAGTGTTTATGTTTGTGTAGGCTTCAACATCTATTCTTAGAAACACGTTCAAATGCTCTAAATCAGCCTATCTGCAAATAGAGAAAGAACAGTTTTTAAATTCGGATTAAGGTCTCGTTTAGCCGCAGGTGCAACCGGTTTAAAATGAAGCGGATTCGGACTAAATTTATGCGTCAGAGTATGTCACCTATTTATATCCGGTCATGGCTTGCACTGTAAATAACAACGCATTGTTATATCATTCTTGGTGTTGTTAGTTTGATGTTGGAATCCGAAATCACTGAAATAGTTGAATTATTTTGAAGACCTTCGAAGCAAAAATGAGAGGGAAAACTCAGATGAAGTGTTCTATGATAGGCCATCGGTTTTGTTCTTACGGGGCTCGATGTAAGGGAGGAGGAGGGGGTGGGGGGGGGAGCCGTAAACCCATATTATTTTAAGGCAAACTGAAGTCCACAGGGCCAAAGAAAATTATTTTCGGGGCCGGGCTCACTTGGTTAAAGATCTGAAGTCGCCATTGTTACTTTGTTACATCGATTACGGCTAAGATAGCGAAAGAATTTTAAAATGCGTGGTTAAAATACTAGTGTCTCAGTAATGTACTGCAAATGGAAACCACACATTTGCAAGAAATCATATTTCTCGTCACTTCCCTTGGTAGCGATGAATAATTAATGACAGATAAAATTCACACATAAATATTATAATGACACATAAAATTCAGGATTGCAGATATTGGCTGTGGCTTTGAATTTTAATTTTAAAAAGGCACTTTCCCTTGTTCAAAAACCGTACTCCTGGGACAGGGATCATAGCTAACAAAAGTTTTTTTTTTTGAGGTCAGAAAACAATAAATATCCTAGCTAATTAGCAAGGCTGTATTGTTGCTCGGCAATGTGCTCCTGGTAACTATGGAACACAGGAAGTTTGAGTCATTTTTAGCCATTCTGCTGATAAAACAAAAGAATTAAGAGTAAGAAAAAGACTCCTTTGATCCCACACTGGAGGTTTAATCCGGTATCTTAAAGCTGTTAAAGCCTTTTCCGGTTTTCCGCTAGCAAATAGTTAAACTTATACCAAAAGGGCCCCTTCGGTGTTAAGCTAGTTGACTATACCGGTACCTTTCATCCGTATTTTCCTTTGTCATAACGATTATCTTTCGTTCCAAAGCCGGATTTAGAAAAGGGACTCAGGTTTCTTGAGGATTTTTAATGGAAGGTATAGGCGGAGGGGGGACATGTTTTGTCAGAAATGTTTTATAAAAATAATGGTAAGAGGTTAGACATAGACAGCGGGACAGCACGTATCTTTATTGAGTAGCCCCCCTCCCCGCTCCCTCCCTCCTCCCCCGCCCCCAAGAAAAATGATTTCTTTTACTTGTATCTTGCTATAATATCTAAAACTTAGAACCCTAGACACGACCCCACAAGCTTTGTGCCTAAAATTTGCTCGTTTCAGGTGAGGGCGACGACAGATAAACCCTTACATTTACTTTGCATTTGTCAGATGTATGTGGACTCGATTACCATCCGCTCTTCGAGAAATGAGCCCGCCCTCCTTCCTCGGGGAGGACCGAGAGGCCGGATGGAGGAAATCGAGCCTACCATGCATGACATAAGCACATATTTTATTACGACAATTTACGATGAACCACATCCGCAGCACGTATCCTCAAAGATGGCTCGTTAAATTCTGCTTCTTAAATATGCGAAAATTAAACTTCTTGTATAAACTTTGCCTTCACCTAGAATGTTTTGTAAAAAGGCGCGTTTACTAGCTTCGATTTTCAAACAGGCTAATCAAGTGTCGCCCTCTTTATTCATGTAAGAGATGTTCATTCTCTTGTCGATAGTTGAACGACGTTTTCTGCATATTTCGATGCGAGATTGAACTGATAAAGACCCCCCATGCAAGAACATTCAACAAAAAAACGGATGTTTTCAAGAACGGTCATGAGGCTATCAAAAAACTAAGTTATGACATTGGAAAACTCTGTAGATTATTTTCATAATCTTCTATTTAACAGTTTACAAAATGATTGATATTTTGTCTGAATGTATCTAAACGTTAATATGTTCATAATCGAAAATATAAAAATGGTGAACAACAACATCTGCAACATCTGTTCAGAAATTTACCTCTGAAGAAAGATAAGGTTTACCTCAGTTGTTCTTCGTCGACTTCTATGCAAAGCCAGAGATCTTCCCTTGCTGCTTTACGTAGCTACCATTTCAAGCAATAAAAAATCTTCAAAGCACCGAACAAACCTTTGACCATCTAATTGGATAAATGTCTAAGTCGTCTAACACGACCGGTAAATAAATCCGTATCATTTACTGTGGATGACTGGATGACATTTTTTTCTTTGTTTTTATTCTTCTTAAGGGTCTGGAAGTGATAAGGTAATTATATGTTGTCAAAGGATGTTGAAAGTAAAGAATTTCTTTCTTTTGTTAGATGACATGGCTCGACGAATCATTGGCCAATTCATTGGCCTATTTAAAGGGCCTACGGTCACAAGGATATTAGTTCAATTCTGAGTAGAAGTCATTACTTTGGTGCCTTTTCCCGTACCATTCGTACAATCCGTGGAAACAGACGACAGGAAACAGTTTCAACACTTAAATATTGGCTTAAATAACACTAAATTCGACCATTATTTTTGGAATTCAATTGATGCAAGGACACGTTTTAGCAAATAGCGCGACATAGCTAACCCATTGACCATTTTCACTGAAAGTACGTTTGCTTTGCTGTTAAAACGTGATGACACTGCCTTCTCTTTCAGTTCAGTTTATTTTATTTTTGATGATTTTTGAATACAGATCTATGTTCATAGTCTCCGTATAGAGAGTTTCAATCACGTGGCCAGCATCAATGCTAATTTATTGGAACAAAAGAAAGTTTTACATAAGAAAAGAGTTCAACTCTCACAGGATTGTGTTGGTACACCAACAAGTGGGCCACCGTTCCATTGTTTTGGAACACCAATATGGCCGTCGTGGCGTCAAGTGAAAACGCTCTTTATAATTAGTGCGAAACTCGGGGCTGAGCCTCTCCTTTGGGTAGGACAACGTCCTATGGTTTTAAAATTCGCCGCCAGGGGCCTTGACGTTCCTGAAAACTTCAAACAAATTTTGAGCTGATATAATTTTATCACAAAGAGCAGTTCTGAGTGATGTTTTCTATTTAAGCTTTTTCTATATCTGAAAAAAGAAAAAACAAAAACTTAGAGCACAATTTAATTTTGAGTACGTGAAATAAATTATGCATTCTATTAAAGCTGGAGTACCCCAGTCACTCCGATTTCTCCGTAGTACCAAAAGCAAATGTCACACTTTTTCTTTCATCTTGTTGATGACTTAACGTGCAGTTTTTCTCCTTGGTGGCGCAGTTCTGCAAAGCACTGCAAGTCTTAGTTACAGATGAGGTTGAAGTAGGCCCCCCCTCTGGAACTTTATGGCTACCGTACACGAATGACAAGTATTGATCGAATTTCTCAAGTCTTGATGGGCAGGCGCTATCGACTCTAGCAGGTGTCAGCGGTCTCTTGACTTCTGATGTGCTTTCAGTAAATGAAATGTTATGGCGTATACATTTCTCTTGTACAGAGTTCATTACTGATTGTAGCTGTGTGCTTTTAAGCTTTTCCCAGGCGCAACGCTCGTTGTACGAGCGGTAAATTATTTCTTCTGGTGGATAGCTGAAATAATAATAAATAAAAAAACATCAAGAACATTTTAAAGCACAGAGAGTACAGATCTGTATCAAAGTTAATGAATAGTAATCAGCCGAGCAAGAGTTTGTATCAAAAATTAATTCTACTGTTTAATAGTACATGCGACTTAAGTACTACATATGAAGCCCCGCCAGCTGGGGGTTAGAGCATTAGGGTATACAAGGTCTTTTTTAATTATTCAGCTATACAGTATTCTAGTATCGCAACGGCATAGAGTATCTCGTTTTCCTGAAGTTTTGGCATTTAGACGAGAGATTTGTACAATTTTTAGTGTCCAGGAGAAAATGGAAAAAGCTCTTGAGCGATTGCAAAAGTTTTACTTTGTATTTGGGTGTGTTCTTTCTCAGTAACTAGACAACTCATTTTTAGGTTCATTGTGTTCTGTTGTTTTGCAAGGCAATTTTAGGTATTCGGTATCAAAGATTTTTCAATTTTAAGGTAAATTGGCATCTCATGAGGAGAAAATTGGTATGTCAGTATACCACTACCCCCCTCTTGTCGGGCCGATACTGCTAGAACCCGCGTCTGTAATATTTCCTCGCTGCAAGTTGCTGTTACTAATTTTTTCTGATGCAGTGATTTTTTGTTAAACGTAATCTGCGTTGTCTTACTCAAGTTCTTGCACTGCTTTCCTGGCCTGCCTCAGTGTATGTTTGGTAGAGTACCGGAAGAAGTCGTCTCGTTTTATTCGCAACATGACTGCTCCCTTGCTGACCAACATCAACTTTCGCCCTGTTGGTCTGAGAACCTGTGATACATCCTGCAAATGAAATTCATAATTATCATAATTATCATAATTTCCATTATCACGACGGACATCGTCTTCGTCAACATCATCGTTCATCATTCATCAACTGATACACTTTGACTCTGAAACGCCAGTCACTATCAATAACAACCCTATATTCAGGACCACGCTTACCTGCACGATCATGCTCCACCTCCTAATAATTAGCAGTGTTCTCAAAACTCAAATAATAAATGCGCGTCCTAGTAACCTCGGTAGGCTGATTTAGCAACAGGACGGGAACGTCATTTGACGACAGGTAAGGGCGCGGAAAGGACTAAACGCGACTTCCGGTACCCAATTTGCCACTCTGCCATAGAGTCAATCCAGTTGTTTGATTTGCGCGCGCAGTCGTCAACAGACGTTCCCATTCTGTTGCTAAGTCAGCCTATTTAACAATTATTCCTCGAGCCCGAATGGGCTCTGAGTCAATAGCCCATGAGGCCGAAGACCGAATTTTTTTTAGAAAAATCTAACTAGTTGGTCAAAAATATCGAAAATAAAAAACTTTTAGCTAGTTTAAGCTAGACTTTAATCCTTTTTGCCGCCAAAAAGCCCGTGCTTTTCGCTACTAGTGGGCTATAACATATAGCTTAGTAGTAGCTCAACCAATCAGAACGAAGCATTGATAACAGACCTCTTGTTGGATTTTACTGATATGTGTTATCGTTTAAGCTGATCCCACGTAATGTAGTCCAACTTTACGATTTAACACTCTTGGATACCGTGTTAGGTCCGTTTTAAACACCTTGTTTGACGCTGTTGAATTTTGTTGGACGATATTGGATCAGATTTTAACAGATTAAAACTTTTTGGTCATATAACAATGACGGCACGGGATCCGGCGACACGTTGGATCCTTTCAGCAGGCACATACAGTCTGGACCCCTATCAGTTATTAGCTAGCCAAAGATCATGAGGTACAAAACATTAATAGAAGTAAAAGCCACTCCAAGCTTAAACCTATAGCCGACTGCCATGGTGATACAGTGGAACCCAAGCTCTGCGCATTTCTGCCCCCGGTGGGTTAACAAACTGTTAACCGAAACTAGTAGTCGTACGTTAAAGATGTTTCACTTTTCGACTTCCTGATTAGGAGCAGCACCATGGGTAAGAAAATGGTAACCTATAGACTCGTGAAAATTTGGTGATCACGTGACCGTCCGTACGTTCGTCCTTACGTAAGTCGATGTCAAATGTCACATTACTATGACATGGACGTGGATAACAGAGAAAGAGCCAGAACAAGAGATAAAAATCAAAAGAGACGAATTTCGTTGGAACAAAAAATGAAAGTGAGAAAATGAGAAATTCTAGAAGCCACCGAGGTAAAAATGAGCCGCAGGGGAAAAAAAGGCAAGCAGGAATATATACGACATTTCCTCTATAAAACATGTAACTAGGAAGTTTGACGTTGTTGTGGTGCAAAAAAAGGCAAAGAAATGTACAAAAAAGTGAGCTGCACATGCAAAGCTGTTTTTGTGCTAATTATACCTATTAATTTTTTGGCCGTTCTCGTTGACGTGGTCATTTAGCATTACACGTTTACTTGAGTAATTATAAACTATAAGATATATATTTACGAGAGCTTCGCTTTTAGCCCCGGCTAAATCTATATATTGGCTTTTTTAACATTTCGGCACAGTAATTTTCAAGGAGTTATAATAACTCCTCTAGTGGGGCTGATTTAACTCCTTACAGTGGAGTTATTTTGGGGGGAGTTATTTTAACTCCAAAAAGGAGTTTAAAGAACTTTTTTTCAGGGTGAAAGTGACCCCAGATATTGAGGAGTTAAAATAACCCCAAAAAAGGAGTTATCCTGCACCTAAAATTTTTACTCCACTTTCAGAGTTAAATTAACTCCAAAAAAGAGTAAAAACAACCCATGTAAGGAGTAAAACTGAGTAACCCCATTTCAGAGTTATTTTAACTCCAGACTGGGAGTAAAAAGAACTCGTTTTCAGGAGTAAAATTGACCCCAAATTTGGAGTTCAATTAGGAGTTAAAATAAACCCAAAAAAGGGGTTATCCTGTACTTAAAATTTTTACTTCATTTTTGGAGTTATAATAACTCCCAAAAAATTACGGTGTGTTTGACTGTTAGTACTTACAAAGATATCGCCACTTTTCATCGAAGCAATGTTTAGATATACCACGTCTTTATTTAATTTTCCGGCTCTGGACTCAATTTTAATCAGTTCAGAAAAATCCTCGAATATATTATTGTCCCTTTTCTCCAGCTCAGCAGGAAGGATTTCTGCGGCCTCGGTCTGTTTTGGTTCTTCTTCTTCCTCCTCGTCCTCGTCATCTTCATTAAGGATGTAACTCGAATCTCCCTTGGCGTGCGGTTGATCCTTATATGGAAGGTCCATCGCCTCTAGAATCTTCTCGGCACCGTTTTTTTCATCGTCTGATGACTCGTATTCAGATTCAGACCAGGTATTCCTGTACATATAGAATGAAGTCAACAATAATGCCATAGTATATTTCTGTTGACATGTCATTTCTCGTGGTTGATTTACTTTAAAATCAACAAAAGTCAATCAAACATATTAATCTGCTATATGCTTATCAGCACTGTGTCATTTTACATTGCGTTCATGTATCGCATGAATGGTGCTCATATTGCTGTTGTGTTGGTCTGGATTGCAGCGAGGTAGTACCGATCGTAATACGCTTTCAAGTCGGTATTATACTAGGGAACTCAAGCAACCACGCGCTACGACGACGACAATGACAACGTTAAAAAAGTTGTTTTTTGAGCAAAAAACTGCTCTGCACTTGCAAAAGGCTTTTTGGTATATTTCTTTGACGTCAACTGCACGACTACGACGTGAAACCTCCTAATGCGACGTTTTATGGAGGACGTGAACATGCCACGACAAATTTTCCCTTCTCTTTTTGACCTCAGGAGTCAATTTAATATGTGTGACATGCCCTATTTCTTTATAGTATAGTACTGTATCGTAGTATATTTTCTCGTTTTACCTTTCATTTTCATCTCGATGCTCATCCACTTTATTACTGTCGTTAAAGCTGTAGGGTGTCTTCAAGCTCTCCTCCAACTCTCTGAGCCAGATTTTCGACGTGTCAGACTGAGTTCTTCGCTTCCTTCCGATTAGACCCATTGGAAAATATTCTTCATTGGTAGCTCGTCTTGGTCGAGGCAGCTTGAGTTGAGCTCGCAGATCAAGTGCTTTAATAACTGAACACTTCCCCTTGAAAAGACAAATAACATTGTAATAATGCCAATTCGATTGACTGACTGACTGTCTCACTGTCTGACTGACTGATTGACTGACTGAATGACAGTCTGACTGACTGACGGACTTACCAAATGGCTGGCTGACTGGTTGACTGGCTGGCTGGCTGACTAACTAACTGACTGACGGACTTACCAAATGGCTGGCTGACTGGTTGACTGACTGACTGACTGATTGCCTGGCTGGCTGATTGACTGGCTGACCAACTGACTGGCTGCCTGACTTACTGGCTGGCTTCGAAAGTTGAAGATCTTGCATTCTTCATTTATTAATTTATTGTTATTATGTAACTCAATCCTTATTTATTTTACCACCAAGTTTAGCTCCCTCCTTCATATATGTATGACTACAAAAATTGACTGCTGGATTTGCATGGCATAGTTTTGTATCGATAAATACATCTTTAAAATCGGAACAGATCATCATCAACACATGAGTCAACGCAAAACTTACTTGCATGCAAAGGTTAATCCATTCCACCTCTTTGCTGCTGTCTTTTACAATAATTTTATTTGCCTTCCACTGAAAAGACAAAAGATTAACCAGTCAGCCATAGGACTAAATGGTAAGAGTAGCATGTAAGTTGGCAAGAAGGTAGAAAGGGACAATACAGGGTTAAGTGGACCTTTTTTTTTTATCCCCAACAATCAGAACTGAAACCCAACACCTCTTTCACTACACTAGTTTCCCATAACCGAGTATATGTGAACTACTTTTCTTACCTCCTGAATTTGTGCCTCAATACAAACATTTTTAAGGGCATCATCAGTCCACTGTCGAAACAAAGACAAACTCCTAGAAAACCAATTGACAGGAATCAGTATTTGTTGCTCCTTAAGAGAATATTTGACTTTGTTTTCTTAGGGATTTACTTGAAAACACGCTTAGTTTTATCCAACCTCATCGCCTTTATCGGGAAGGTCCCTAAGAAGGGCGTCGAGGCAGCCCTTACTACGTGCGCAAAGAAAGAAGTCAAGAATTGGCTTTAATTAAACTGGATCCTGTTGGAAACCATGTTAGCAATATCCTTGTTACTGTGAAAGTTTTGAACCCAGGAGTCATTTCATAAGAGGTTGAGTATGGTCGTCCAGGTGAACGTAGTCCTGAATAGAACCGTTGTTGACAGTGACTAACGTTTCAACAACCTCTGCGGTAGTCATCTTCAGAGACATAGTGAGTTGTATTAAGTCAGTTAACGGTATTAAACTCTGGCTATTGATCTGATTGGTCAATTAACTCGCGATGTTATTGGTCGTCTTTCAGTTAAGCCGTGATGTTACGACTCATGTCATATGTTATGTCATTGGTGCGTTCAGTTCGATCCGTCTGTTGTCACAGTTAAACAGTCGTTAATTGTCAGTCGAATTGTCAGTTGTCCATGTAGTCGTTCTCTCGTAGTTAGTTTTACTTGATCCCGTCAAGAAGTCGTTCGTACGGTGCCGGTTGTTGTTACTGACAGTAGTCAAATTCTTGTGTGTATCAATATAAAGCTTGTAAACCACAGATTTAGTGGATTTCAAGTGGAACTATTTCTCTCATTTTTGTAAAACTTGATAAGTAACTTCCTATTCCTGCTTGCATACTTTTGATATTTTTTCTTTGATAATCCAAGTGACGTGTCTCACAGTCGACTTGTAACGAAAATGGGGAATACTTGTTCAAACTGTATTGGCTTTGGTGCCTTTTGATAATGTCCGTGAGTCATCAGAAGCGGTCATTTAAGTCAAACAGGTCATGTGACTTAACAAATGTACCAATGGATAACACCTTAAAGGGCGGGGTTATGTTAACTGGGATCTAAGATGATTTTAACCTCGAAAACCTTTACATATTTAATGTGCAAATGTACCCCCATTTGACGAAGTACGATATGTGATGTCAGCAGGAGCGTAAAATCACGTGACGGTATATAACCCTTTTGTTCGATCAAACGCTTCGAATTTTAATTTTAAGTTTCATGACTGAAACAAACTTGTTCCTACTAGCAAATGGAAAACTTGATGTCTATAACAAATTCGAAGGCTTAAAACACTTGGGCTCTTTGAAAAACTGACAAAAAATGCGAATTTGAAGCTGATTATAAAACTACTTTCATAAAATGATAAACGCTTTTGTTACCACTTACTTGCAAAATTTGATCTTGTCTACAAGCTCCTTGTCAAAAATTTTGGGACATGTTTTGGAGAACACGTCTTTTTCAACGACAAGAAGTTCGGCGTCCTCTCTCACCACAACTGAAGCCGTTCTTTTGATATTTCTTAGAAGAGCAAGCTCCTTTAGGAAACATAGATAAGGCAAATTATGCAAGAGCTTATGCAACCTTTGGAAAGAAATAATTGACGTATTGCAAGTTTCTATTGTTGAACGTGACATGAAATTGCCATTTTTTTAAAAACAAGAACAACCAAGCCCGTATATCCTGGACGTGGACACGTGACTATACCGTGAAAATATTCTGAAAGCGGATGTAAATAAATGAACACAAATGGTTTTACCACCTGTTGCACGTTTCGTCCACAGGCATGGCATCGATTGCCTTTGAACTTTTGCTATCTATCGAGAGATCTATTGATAACAGTGATCCTCATGAATATAGAGATTTAGAATCACTTGTATGGCAAAACAGTAAACGTTAATTTGTATCACTTGTGTGATCAAGTTTTCCCTCCACTCTTCGTTTCAGAGTCGTTTACTTTTCTTTATATGACATAAGGAAAAGGTATTGTCATTTTGGACAATTTGTATTTACTCATTTTCCTAATCTGAATATCAACTTGAATCTGAAGTTTGCGGTTTGCCGTAAACCAGGAGCCCATTTGATGGGCTCCTGCGTAAACGTAATTCTTAATCTCTCTAATATGTACTTTGAAAGCGCTTACCCCAAAACTATCCCCTCTTTGTAGCGTGATTGCTGTGTGCCACATCACGTGACCAGTCTTAAGTAAAAGTTCCTCGACGTTCACAAACACAGAGCCAGAGAAGATGAAATAGAAACTCACCCCCGTATGTCCTTTGCGCAATATTACGCGGGGGTGCTCCACTCTGCAGGGAAATATTATACATGATGGCATTGAATCATTATTACCTAATAGAGCCCTGCTCGTAAAGGCCTCATCCCCGGTGGAGGTGGGTTGAGGGGACGGTACTTCCTGTAACGTCATATACGGAGAGGCTCCGCTTGAAAGGAGTATCTTTTTCAGGCTGCAGGTATATTAAAGGATAGGGATCCCAAGAGTTAAAGTATGTGTCAGGGTAAGGAAATCTGCTACTTCGATCTGTAAAAGGACCAAAAAGGCTAACAGACGCATTCTAGGGTTGTGAAAAAAAAAAAAAAAAAACACAAAAAACTACCCGTTATAGTGATTTATTCATATTTTAAAGACTGTATTCTCAGCAGTTAAAAGGGGTGCAGCGTTCTTTTCTATCAAAAATGGCATATAAAAGGGTAAGAGGTTGGAACTCGGGGCAGAGCCTTCCTATATCGTTGGGTAGCCCCTCGGGAAGGGGCCTTATACAAACTGGAAAGCAATGAATCAGAAAAAGCTCAATGCTGGCGGGACCTCGAAATGACTATATCTCTTTTTCTCAAATTGCACTATTATAGATTAATTTTAGGGGAACAAAATTTGACCTAGTTTTCCTTGCAGTTAGCCTCAAATAGAAGAAGCGATAACATCCCTCCAGTCAGTTTTGTTGTTGTTGTGATAGCTCAGTTTTGTAGTTTAGCCTTACTTGGTATATGTCATTGCTCTGCACATAGCCAACTGAATGCGGTAGGTAAATTTATCATATGATGCCAGTCCTCTAAGCATGGAGTGTAACTGACTCAACTCGTTCTCGCTCCTTTCCATTGCTGGTTTGTCTAAGATCTTCTTGGCCCACGAGGGAACATAAGCGTATTGCTGTGGGGGAAATACGATACAGAAAAGTTTCGGTCAGTGAACAAAAATTGCAAAACATTGAACGCCCATAAAAAAAAACAGGTGACGATAGAGGAAAGAAAGTTTCACAACACTTCCTCAAAAATGTTGAGAAATCGAAAGTTTGACTGAAGCTAAACATGCAGGTAACAACCGCTACCGGGGAAAACAATACGGGACCTAGAATGAAGTTACCTTTACAATATACATGATATGATATGACCTATGCCTCAAATCAGGGACAACCAACGACTGTTTTCTGCTAAATATCTTTTCGGAGAAGCAAAAATTGCCTGGAATTTTCTATAGCTGGAGGAAGGCTAAAAGTTTCTGGTGACCGTTCCATTCATGTACAATTTTCGAAGTTTACTTAACAAATTCCCTAAGATTTTCTTAAGTTTAATTTTTCGCATTTCACCTCCAGGTTAAGCTATTTTTCGTGGAAAAAAGAAATCTAAAATTTTCGGATTCGAAAATGCTATGGAGAGAGGAATCTGAAAAATTCTTACTTTTGTAATACTTTAAAGTGCGCCTAAAATTTTCGGGAAAATACTACTGAAGCCCTTGCACTTCGAAAAGACTGCAAGTTGCCCTCTGAAGACCGAACAGATTAAAATTTTATAGCGCTGCTTGGAATGCATTTCTGGAGATCTGAAAGTGCTCTGGATAGCCTAAGAAGTCAGTTTTCAATGCATTTAGGAGGAAACAGTCTTGGGCCGGTGCTCCTGTTAAATGTCCTTGGGCGATCGATCTTTTTTTAAGGACGATTTATGTTTTCTACGGATTTCAGTTTTAGTGAAGAACTGAAGTCATATTTCCATTCATTGGACCTTTCATGCGATTCTTTCAATATATTACTTCTCCGTAGTTGTCTAAAGTATTGGGCATTTGGGCCAAAAAACTATGTATTCATACTTCCTTATACATTTAATATTTATTATTAAAAGAAACTGATGCAAGTTCTGTGTGGTGCAATTTACTGGGAGATACTGTATTCGGTCGCCACTGTCAGAAAACAATACGTATATTCTTACTGATTTTCCTCTCTGGTACAATGACTTGTTGAATAACATCTCCTTAACTTCAGAATTATCTCTCAATGTCCGAAATGACCTCTGTGCCGCGGTCTCCGGTGTCATGTCAGCGGAGTATGACATCAGAGCCTTGAGGACTCTTCCAAGAACCATCACCACCCGAATAGCCCAACTAAACTTGGACTTTGCCTATGAAAAGGAAGATATTTTATGACACAATTGATCGGACCCAGCAAGGTATTGGAAGTAATAGAGCAAGCAAAAACCACCCAAAAAAGTTTTTGATGCTTGATCTTAGGGCTAACTACGACAGAAAAATAAAGGGGGGTTACTAACGGGAGTTTATCGGGCGGCCTTTAACAGTAACTCAGTGAAGCGAACAAATCAGTTGCCGAGCTTCACTTCCTCCTAAAAAATTGATATATCAAGAGCTATTCTACAACAAAATGCTATGCGCAGAGGATGATATGTCCCGGCCATTATGATAGAAAAGCAGGGCGGGGCCTTTTTCTCTTTTCTTTTTTCGACACTCTCCACTGCTGTAATCAATGACAAGAAATAACCATTACACCTTTATCAGGTCTAGGATGGACTAGGATGGACTGAATTCAAGTAATATAGTTGACATAAAATCTACTCTTAAAACTGTTATTGCAAAATGCGAGCGTTAAAGAAAAATTAAAGTTGAGAATGAAATTAAATTGTTATTGGATTTCAAAAAATATAAATTAGATTGTTAAAAAGCAGTATTAATTAAATTAGCTTCGTGAAGAGCAGCCTTTTGTCGATTAAAAAAAAATGTTGTTTCCAGTTTACTTACAATTTGCTTGGTCCACGATCTCTTCTCAGCCAGCCATTTTTTCTTCTCTGTAAAACTCTTAAAGTTAAATCCTGCGGCTGAAACGTTCATAGCCATGACAGCGAACGTGGCGCTTTTGAGCGTCCGTCTTCTGGTTTTGAGTGCCTCAGCCTTGCGCCTCTCCTCCTCCTCTCTACTTAGTCTTTCTTGTTCAGCTTTCTCCTTGTCCGCTTCCATGATACGTTTGATGCGTCGTTTCGCAGATTGCTGTCTGATCTTAGCTGTTAAGTCGGCGAGTTCTGGTAGATCGCCCGTGTATTCCGTACCGCGAATTTCAAGCACATTTTTGTGCGCGTTTAATTCACTTTTCATGCTGGAGGACGGGCGATGCAAAATCGGTCCAGCAGATTGAGACCTTTTTCTGCAATCGAGAACATCACCGTCAAGAGTTTCTGCCTCAAATGCAGAAACGTCTATCCTTGTCGCCACATGAGCCGTAGTTTCCATTATATCTTCATCATTTAAGTTTGGGTATCTAATGCTGGCTTTACCAAATGACTGTAAAAACTGATCTCGCCGTAAGCTACTATTCCTTCTGCTGTTGTACCAAGCCGTGAACCTTGCGGCGTCGAGAGAAGTGCTTCTTCTTCTCAAATGGAGCGTAGCGCTGCTAGGTAATAGCCGTCCTTCCTTGGAAAACCCCTTGACATGTCCCCGGTAAGGATCCTTGCTCTCTTCGTCAACGATTTCGTTGCCATTTTCGTCCAAGAACATCACTCGGCTGCCTGGTCGAGGTCTTTCAGTTCCCTTAGTTACTTCTTTGTATTGGGGAGGAACAGTTATAATCGGAACAGCAGATAAACTTCTTCTTTTTACAAGCTTTGGTTCCATATTCTTAACTGTCCAATGTTACCTTTTGCATCATTATAACTTTACAATTATTCATGAGCAGCAGCTAAATGATATTGTTTGTTTTGTTTGTTTGTGTTTTAGTAAACAATCTTAGAAGTAATTCTTTTTGTACTGGAATTTTAAAAGTTCTGTACCTCCCAATACTTCTGTACGGCCACTTTTCAAGACTTGCATCTCACGGTCTCAAACTACTGTGAATCCGGCAGGAACATACATCACCACGGATTTATAGCCTGTTGAAATTGTATTTCGTGTCTCTTTGAAATCCAGTATTGTTGAATTGATTACTTCACCACGTTTTAAACTTGGTCTTGTCGAACAAGAGTATGCCATATACCTATAGTTTACTGATTCCATCCCATTTGAGAGTTTGCTTTTCGGTCTGTTTAGTTTTTCAAGTTGTCAGTTAAACTGAACAGAGTTAAGAGGGAATAGATTCAACAATACTAAAGACTAAAGTTTTAATTACATTGCCCTCAATACTACAACACAAAAGAATGATTTGCATCCTTCCATTAAACAAAGACGGTACGCAAGACTAATTCTCCCATAGTCTCTGGAGAATTCTGTACAATTCTGTACAATTGTATTAATATTGAAAGTAAATTTGACGCACTTTTCATAATGAGTTATTGTCACTGGCTTTCCATTAAAAGTATATTTCATTTTATAGGCCGACTGTATGAATAGATATCCATCAGATGTAAGTGAGACTTACCATTGATTTTTGATGTTACAGGAAACGTATTTCCTGATGTAAGTTTATAAATGATACACTTCTAAAAAAAACTCTGAAATGGTCAATCCTTTTCCGCAAATTATTACTTAGCCTGTTCCACATGGCAGGCGTTCATGAGTGCAGCGCGAAGTCACAGAGCAGAGATAAAAAAATAAGCACAGTTAGAGCCACCCCTCGGTATTTTCCCGCTCATGTCTCACAATCCGATGGAAAACGACGAAATCTTGGGGACGAGGTTGCTAAGGTTGCTGCAGTCTTTTCAGGGGCCTGGGACTAAGGAAATTGGTCCCAGATCTCCAGCGTTCATAATCGCGACGCCGAAAGTCTTATGGGATAGCTCGATTAGAAACCCATATTTTATTTACCTTTAAAATTCTCATTGTTGTTGCCTATGAGTATAAATGTCGACAGCACTTCCTCATTTTACTTCGGGTTACACGCCGAACACGCCACAGGTATGTTGAGTAATACTTATTCTCAATTTGCGAGTTCAACAATGTAAAAATTATATGCGAACATGTTTAAAGTCGGCCGAAAGACCTGCACAGTCCCAGGGTTGCTAATCGAACGAAACCGAAACAAAAATCAATCGAACCCAGTCGGTCGGATTGTTGTTCGATCGTTCTAGTATAAATGTGAAGCAGTTTTCAATTAACATGGAGTTAACTAAAATTTTTATTGTTAAAGCGATTCAAAATCGATAAAATTAACAACTTTATTGCTTTTTTGTCTTGATAAGATAACAGGAAGTGCTTAACGACGGTAACACCTTCACAGCTGGACCGCTATCTCCCCTTTTCTTCACAACAGGCGGCCCAGACTCTGTGGCAGTTCGTTAGACTTTGAATTCATATGAGAATATATGAAAGTAAACAAACTACGTGCAAAAACGTCTAAACCATTGTTCCATTTTAGTGAAATCCAACTAGTGGTCTATTATCAATGCTGCATTCTGATTGGTTGAGCTACTACTAGGCTATATGTTATAGCCCACTAGTAGCGAAAAGTGCTGGCTTTTTGGTGGCAAACAAGGATTAAAGTCTAGCTTTAACTAGCTTAAGTTGTTTTGTCTCGATAAGCTACTGACTCAGAGTGCATCTGAGCTCGAGAACTAATTGCTAATTATTTCAGTAAGTTGCAAGGCACCACTAGGTGCTGCTGGGTTAGGGGTACAGTCCTTAGATGTCACACACCATGTTAACGTAGGAGTAAAATTCCCAGGATTGACATACTCACCTGCTATTAATACTTTGTTTATCAGGTACCAAGGCCTTATAAAAGGCCTTATTGGTGCATGGATTGCTCACCTTCATCTTCAGAATCTTGTTGGTCAGGATTTACCTTTTCTGAAGGACACCATGAGATAATTGCTTCTCTAATGAAATGCTCAAATACAGAGGAACAAGGAAATGCAGACTTTAAGAAATGCTTGGACAAGCATTTGGCTAAAAAATGGCTTCACTCTAGCTGCGTTCCCTCCAAAAAGGGCAAACCTCGCTTCCCATTAATACATTGGGTATGTATTCTTGGAAAGTACAGAGTCTTGGAGTATCTTGTCAAAGAGAAAGGATTTGACTTGTCAAAGAAAATAGGTCGAAACAAGGACGGGCCTTTGCATTCTATGATTCGCTATCTTGGCAGTAGCCTGAATCCAAGAAGTTCTTCTGAGTATGTTGGAAACATTTTTCTTAACATCTTTGCCATATTCCTGAAGTATATGCCTGAAGTGTTGTCAGAAAAAGATGTGAAATCACACGACACTTTGCTGCATTTCTTGGCAAGACGTTGCAACATGAACCCTTGTTCTCGACTATACTTGAATGTTCTGTTGGTTAAGATCAAAGAGACATCTTGCATACCTCCAGAAAAAAAGGATGAAATCTTATCAGCAGCAAACAAGAGGGGGGACACATTTCTCCACCTCATTGTTTCAGATGACAGTTCTGCTAACACTGTTTTGTATTTCGTTGAGAACTTTGGAATAACTGCTCAGAGATTGTCGAAAACCTGGAACACTCTTCACAAGACACCACGTCAAATTGCAGTTGAAAGAAGGTGTCTTGCAATGCTAAGGGCGTTAGGAGCACCAGATGCAGTGTTTAATAGTTTATCCAGAGGTTTAATAACACATAAAGAGGAATAACATGTCATGACTTGAAAAGTTTTATGTCCTAGCCACATAAACATAACAACTTTCCTTAATTTACCAGACATGTTTCGATGGTACATCCATCATCTTCAGTGTTACATATTTTGAAATTGCCGTCAAATTTAAATCAAGTGCGATGTTAAAAAGTTCGTTACGTTGCATTGGCAATATTACGTACTGAAAAGTTTAAAATTAGTGACTCTTTGCTACTTACAGGGAGAGAGTCAGGTTTATGTGTTTCACCTGCTGGTTAAGGTCGGGTTTCTCCCATTTTGTGAACATAGATTGTTTGAGCTTCACTTGGTATTAAGTAGCTGCAGAATTCAGGATCTGGAAACAATCTGGTGTGCAGGATGTTCGGCAAGACTCTAAACTCTGCAGATGTCTAAAAACGTTTGAAGACCTGTCGGAAAGTAAGTGCTCACGCACTTATGTGGAGAAGTGTCGGCTGGTTTCACCAACATAACAAGCATTACAACTTGTACGCGAAAATTTATAAACCACACGGGTATGAAGCCCCTCAGGGACAGCATCTTTCACATTAAAGAGGTTCTTGATTTTGAAAGTAGTAAAGACAAGCATTATATCAATAGGTTTACATAATTGATTAGCAAGTTTGCGAATACTTCTCTGTGCCATGACTGAGAAATGCCCAACATAAGGGATGTTAAAATGTTGTAATGCTTGTTATGTTGGTGAAACCAGCCGACATTTCTCCACACTAGTGCATGAGCACTTACTTTCCGAGAGGTAATTCGAGTGTTTTTAGACATCTGCAGAGTTCAGAGTCCTGTCGAACATCCTGCACACCAGACTGCCAACAGATCCAGGACTCTGCAGCTACTAAATACCAAGTGAAGCTCAAGGAATCTATGTTCATAAAATGGGTTGTTCCAGAAAAAATCCACACCCCCCCGATGGATGGGATTCTGGAAATTCTCGCGGGAGGGGGGGTCGAAGACTCCGGAAATCCAGGCGGGAGGGGGGGTTGACCTTAAAAAAGTCTTCTGCAGGGGTCATTTCGACCGATAGTTGATACAAATCAAACGTTTAGTTCGATGACACTTAAGTGCTTTCAGACCCTGAAAATAGTCAAAATGTTTTGTTCATATATTTCTCACCTGACATAAATGATAATCTAAGTTGCTTTACAGGTCCTTTTATAGCAGAAAACGCGAAAAAGATACTAAAGAACGGGCCTGAAGGAACTCGTCGCAACGTTGTTGTCACGAAGAGCGTCAAACGCCTGACACATTTCTACTGCACCCAGAGCCCGCGCCAAGAGTGATTTTTATAAGCTAAGAAATTATGTAAACACTCGTTCAGGTGTCGTTCGCATTTTTGTTTTTTGCTCCTTTCGTTTTCAGTTCCACGCGATAGAATTAAGTAGTTTAATATGAGCTGAAGCTTTAGAAATTAAAACAAAAACATTTAGACGTGTTTGCGTGTATTTTCCATTAAAAATAAATTAAATTTAAGCCTTTTATTTTTTCCCGGAAATCCAGGCGGGAGGGGGGGTCTTCCACCTTGGAAATCCAGTTGGGAGGGGGGGTCTTGTGCTTCAGGAAATCCAGGTGAGAGGGGGGGTTAAAAAAGGACCCCATCCGTCGGGGGGGTGTGGATTTTTTCTGGAATAACCCAATGGGAGAAACCTGACCTCAAACAGTGAAACACATAAACCTAACTCTTTCCCTGTAAGTAGCTAAGCGTCACTAATTTTAAACTTTTCCGTACACAATATTGCCAACGCAATGTAATGAACTTTGTAACATTGTGTGCGATTTAAATTTAGCGGCGATTTCAGAATATATAACACTGAAGATGACAGATGTACCGTTGAAACATGTCTGGTAAATTAAAGAAAGTTGTTATGTTTATGCGGCTATCAATATTGTTGTGCTGTCTAGATCTTTTATGTCTTAGTTTTATGTGGTGTATATAGAGGATATTTCATGGCCGTGCAGAGGTACGAAATTTCTCTTCGAGTGTTGAAAAATATTTCACAAGTGAGTGCTGCGAATGAGTGAAATATTTTTTCAGCACGAGAAGAGAAATTTCGTATCTCCAAGCGGCCATGTAATGATCTATTTATTATGTAAACACCAATGAAATACCAAACTATTTCACTTTAACAGTTGTTTGGTGTGAAAGGCGCGGTTTATTATGTAGCCATAGCAAAGGTGATATTTTCACATGTGAAGATAATAACATGTTATTTTCAGATGTGAAGATGTCAAGTTTTCGCGTGAAAGCTCGCCTGGTATTTCATTGGTGTTTATATGGTAAAAGATACTATGTAGCAGAGTCTCTATCTATTTATCAGCTTATTGAATTCTAAACAGACAGGTTATGTAACCCATGTTGCAAATTTCAATGTATTTAATATATCAGGTTTTTTAATAGTAAGAGAAAAAAGTTTTGCAAGGTCAGGCTAAAGAAAGGGAGAGTGAAAAAGATCTAATCTAAGTTCTGGTCAAAGTGAGTACCAGTAAAAAAACGTTCATTTAATTTCAAAATCAGTTTAACGGTCGACTAGTGAGTTGTTGATACAACATTCTATTGCATATTATTGCAATAAATTGAAGAGATGCCTGAAATAAAGCCCCAACCAATGGCTAATAACCTGTTAGATTAGATAAGGAATCTTTTGAGGTCTTATTCCATACCCAAGAAGTAATTTCGCACGGAAATCCAGATTACAATTATTTTTGTTGTTGCAAACTGAAACAAAAACTTTAATATGCTATCTAAGCCAATTTTTTTCTCTAAAATTGATTACTGTATCCAGCTAACTTTCTTTTTACATCACATAATGAACTTTTTATTAACCAGTAACTGTTTGGAACTTAGGTGGAGTTATGTGGATTTTCAAACAAAATATTAACTTATATCTATTCAGTATTGGTGAAATTTTGCCATTTTACAGATCTTTTTTTTTTCTTTGCAAAAGGTAATATTATGGCCTGCAGTTTATAGGCCTTTCCCAAATTCATTTGAACAAAAACACCAACTGGAGGCTTGTGGTGACAAATTACATGTAAGAAATTGTCCAACCAACAGAAGCGCCAGCCTTGTTTCATTTGGTCTACATGTACTTATTTACTTCCCTTGTGCCACAGTTTGGTTTAAATAGGAGTTTCACATCAGTATAAATCAGATTTGTCAAAATGTTTTTATTGTGGTATAAATTTACCAAAATTAATGGCAATGTTAGTGACATTATAATATTTCCAGAAGCTGGCTACATTACTGAGAGATCAAATTTACAGATTTATAGACACATCATTTGCAAAAATGTTGTTTTAAAAAACAGTGTGTTTACATACAAATTGTTTTAAAGATAAAATAATATTCCTATGAATAATAATAGCATCAAAATTTATTAGAAGACTTCATATCTTGTAACATGTTGGGCAAAAATTGCAGCACAAATTAATGATTAATTATTATGTTACAAATAGGTTAAAATAGATATTTTTTGTAGAATTGTAAGTATAAGTTTTGCATCTACTAAAAGGTTATGTTCAAGAAATTTGTAAAAACTTGAGTTATTATATAAGTGCAATCTGAATATCTTGTGTTATATCTTGTAGGCAGGTTGAATCTATTGAGTTTTTTCTTTGACACAGGTTGCACGGTTTAATTTTTATATACGTGTTGGGTTGTAAAATATAATGGGCCACATCCTCTACTACAATCTACACTTGTTTTTCTCTGTGTTCTTCGGTTTGGAAATTCTTCTTGGATGTGGCTTAAACATGATTATCAAGATGAGTGTGGTCCTGAAGAGCATTGTCATTAGAGACAGTGATTTAACAACACGAGCATACTCAGTCTGTTTTCCTGAAAGAATTAAGAGCCACATAAGGCCTTTGGTGGTGCTGTCAAAATTTCTAACCCTTTTTAATGTCTGACAAGAGTGAGCAACATCAATTTTCCTCAATATCTACACCTCATGTCATCAAGGGTGAGAATTTAAAAGAGGCTAATAAAATGATGCCAAAGAGAAATCTATGCGTTGATCTCTTATGAAATTCTCTCAACTAGTCCTTTAGTGAAATGTGAGTAGATCAGTAAAGAGAATTTCTGTTTGGTCGTTGAAACATAAAAGGAACGTCTCCCGTTTCCAAAAGCTGGGGCAGATTGGCAGATTGTTCAGGGTACAGGGTGCGCACCCCCCGCTGGGATGACTTGCGGCCGCTTTCTAATTAACATGATTAACACTGTGCAGTCGCTTGACAGACATACAAAATCTGCTCTATCGTTTGATATGTATTCTCAGCAGTTCACATTATGTTATTTCCTAGTCAAAAGCCCTCTTCTTCGTATTCGCTTTTAAAATTTTTTACGTCTTCAATGAGTTAGTGGTGCACCCCCTCCTAAGAAAAATCCTGGATCCGCCCCTGCAGACAGCTTGGAACGTAGTAAAAAAATGAAGGCGAATTATCAACGATGACAGATCGGTATATAAAACGTTCAGCATCTTCACCCCGTCCCGTGTCTTTTTGGGCCTTTACTTTCACTGGCCAGCGACCGATTCTCCCTGGAGAGAACAATGCTGAATATTTTAACCTTTAACTACCTCGGTAACCAAAGTAGCCACGCGGGGCGACAGTACACCTTCGCAAAAGGCCGGTCGGTTTCAGGAGAAAAAGCTCCTTGCAGTGAGTAAAAGTGAAGGGATCCTTTGGAAACTGAAAGGTTGTAAGTTTATGAAATGCTAGCGACTGTGGAGAAGGCGGGCGAACAGCAACCTACTAGGGGAACAGCTGCAGCCACGGAGGTTGATTTTAACAGAGAGCGCGCAGACTCAAAGGTTTGAGAACTATTCAGTAATATCTCTGGGGCGTTGATATGTATATATTTAAATGGTTTTATCTTTTTACATGTAAAATGTAAGAGGTGTATAAAGAAAAGCAAACCTGGGCAAATACTTGTGCGGAGAGCATGGAAAATCGGGGTACAAAATTATGATCATTGTTTCATTGCAAATGCAAAAAAATTTGGCGCGTTGTAAGTCCCGTGGAAATTTCCACGTGGTGCTCAAGATAATTTTTGCGATCGGAGACTATTCTGTATATCCGGCGCAATTTTTCAGCGATTACTTTGCTCTTTCAATGTTCTGAGCGTTAACTTCAGTGGCATGTTCAGCGAGACAAGCGTTGATGAGGCAAAAAAACAAACAAAAACAAACAAAAAAATAAACAAATATTAATTCGCCTTTAGACATTATACGTAGGCTTACATGGCATAGTAACTGCTGCAAGATCACTTGCTCATCACCGCTCACGGGCGGGCTTTCGGAGTTTTCTCCTCGAGTTTCTTGTTTGCAGTCAATATTTCTGCAATGGCCTCAAAGAAAGCAAAGGTCTGTATGAAAATCTTTTTAAATATTAGCCAAGGTGTTAAGTAAAAGGCTTGTTGAAATCTTTGTGATACAGAAGACTTTTTCATGGCGCCATGTCAACTCTGGATTGAAACGTGTTTATAAGTGTAAACAAAGCTTGAGTCTTATTTGGGCACATTTTAATTCTGGATTGATTTCGGATCTAGTGCAATCACTTTAAATGCCGATTGACAATTTAAGAATACCCGGCCACTTGTCGGAGCGCTTTAAAGAACGAAGTGTAAACACGATAGTTTCTTTTGTTATTCAACGACATTCAAGTATTAAAGCGGCCCGGTATTCTGGAATCTAGCTACCGATTGTATTTCCAAAATACGATTTTTATGCACTTCAATCAAAAGCACCAAATAGACAGTTAGCCTGGTTAGTGACAACACGCAAGGCATACATGTAAATGGTGTCTTTTTTCAATGCTGTGACCTTATGCCTGGTTGCCGGAAAGGGTCTCAAATAGACTAAATGCCGGCGGTCAGAAAATTTTGAAAATTTTCTGCGAAATCCCTTTTCTTGACCTCTTAAAAGTATTCTATTGGCCATTTCAGAGTTGCGTAGGGAACAGGGGTGAGTTTCAAATTTAAACTAATTGATTAGACTTGCTACAAATCAACCTCTTGGCAAGCGGTGCGAGAGGTCGACTTGTCTCGCTTGCAGGGTTTTCATTTGCATTTCGCGCCAAAAATGGGGGGTGGCGTGACTCGCATTTGGGGTTTCAGGTTTCATTTGCGAGTCCTTGACTTCAATGACGGAATGTCCTGATTCCACTCCAACTAAATCTACTGAACGTGTGTGTCTACCTCCATCATCGAAGGCGCAAATTTGTTTCCTTTGTGCGAAAGTTGTCTCTAACAATGATTTTAGGCGAAAGTTGACGACCTCAGGCGGCCGGTAAAAAACAAAAACTTGTTTCAATCTCGAGTCAATACTGGGAAAGGAGATCTCCAGTGACTGTTTTTAAAGTAATATTTTGTGTCGTAACTGCGCTGACAAGAACGAAATCCTTGTTCGGAAGCTTCACGGAGTGAGAGAAAGCCTCAAATCGTCGAGGAAGGCCATTACAGAGGAAAAAGGAGGCATAATATAACTTCATCGGTTTCGCAATCGACCCCATCATGTTGGAATTTGAACCGCAAGTCACGTTTCAATGCGCTTAGTACTTGTGAGTGACAGCTTTATCCCCAAGGGTCTTTGGGAGCTACTCTGATTGGTCCAAGCGCACCGACCCGTTTTTGGGTCGGTAAAATTGGCGCCAATCAAGTATGAAAAGTCCTTCGTCCCACGCCATATGGAATCCGACGAAGGACTTTTTTGAAAGTCTACTAATTGATAAACAGACACCACCACGTTGATTGGCTATTTGAGATTGGTTATTTGACCAAGTTTGGTGCTCTAAAGTTGAACAGGGATCAAGATATGACTCTTGAAACATGGTTAAGATCCATACAAACATCTGTAATTTTGTGACAGCATCCCCCAAAACCATATAAACTCTTAAAATCTTTGTTAAACTGTAAAATCGCCTGTCTGTGTTGAACAGAATCTTTTATATGCTTGATAGTAAGTCTCGCATTGGGTATTTTAACGGCTTAGTTTTACCCCATTTAGACTAGGGTGACATTGTATATGGAGATCAGCCTGGTTTGAAAGCTGAAATGGATCGTTTACAAGTGTTGCAGAATAGATTTGCGTAAAGAATTCTAGGTAATAAAATCTCATCATCCGAAGCACTCAATTCCCCACAGTGGATCCCTCTGGCTGGGCGATGTTTTACTCTCCAATGCTCAGCAGTTCAAAATGCTATTGAAGGGGAAGTACCAGGGCACCTAGAGACTTTAAAAATAACTTTAAGAAACTTGCATGGACATAACACAAGAAATAGTTACTTACCTAGAATTTCAAAACCCGAAAACTTGATGGAGAAAAAAAACACTTTATGTGATGGGAGTTTCCTCTGTAAAGATTATTTTATTATTAGTAGTAGTAGTATTATTATGCATCTATTACTTGGAAGGAACTAATTCGAAAATCACTGTCTTTGTCTGTTTTCAGGAATATCATAGAAATAGTGAAAAAAATTAAGAGTTTATATGGTTTTGGGGGAAATCGAAGCTGTCACAAAATTACAAATGTTTGTATGGATCTTTAAACATGTTTTAAGAGTCATAACTTGATTCCTGCGCAACCTTAGAACACCAAACTTGGTCAAATAACCAATCTCAACATCACCTTTTATATGGTGGTGTCAGTTTATCGATTAGTTTAAATTTGAAACTCACCCCAGTTCCCTACACAACTCCAGAATGGCCAATCTTCATCCAGAATAACCAACCACTCAGGAAAACAAGGGTGGTTTTGCTGCTGAGCAAATGTGGTTGTCTTGGGACACACAGAATCGGGACTGTTTCAACACTTAGAATAATAATTGTGGACCGCACAGGGCAGCTACCTATTTTTGTCTTGAAAGCGTCTGTGAACTCGCTTTATCAGATAGGTTGTTTGGAAATTTGTTAGTTTGTTTTGCTGTTGTACCAGTTCTCAGTCCCCACGGCCTAGCATCCGATCCAGCAAAGTATGATGGCGGCTAAAAATTTTTATATGAGAATTTTGTGAGTGCTAAGATAGTAAAAATCTATGATTCTTTCTGAACACATTTTAACAGGAAATGGCGATAAGCTTGTTAAAGAGTTTCTTAGTACTCTTGAATCTGCAACCTCTTGGTTTAATAGACATTTGTGAGTGTTCTGTATGATATTGCGAGAGACAGGTTAATATTTTTCTGTAATGCAGCCGTTAAGTTACTCATGTGCTTGTCATGTCGGTTGTAAAGTTAAGTATTTTGGAAAGGTAGCGAATGTAGTGAGGATTCAAGGGGAAGACCATATTCTTTCATGTGTTTCGCAGCACTTTCTTTCCATGAGCCCAACCAGTTATCAGCTGAGAATCATTGTGGATCATGAACACAATCAAATCAATGAAATCTTGTCACAAAGAGACAGTTAGTTTCAAATGGCCCAAAACAATCAACTCAGCAGAATTGTTTTTAGCAGCGATAACCTTCTCATTATAGTTCACTACTTTTTTAGAAAGGTAAATGGAACAACGAGGTGAACAAACTGAAATACTATTGAGGTCACAATTTGCCCTGGCAAAGAGGCTAACAAAACAAGCGATTTTCTTACCAAGGTGGGCAAACTGAATTAAGGTTTTCCTGTTCAGTTATAATGCTTATTTGTATTGATCTCATCAAGTAAAAGAATGAATACAACAGAAACGAATAGAGTAAGTACAATTCAGTGACAGTTCACTAAATCGAAGATGCTTCCTGAAAGTTTTGTTTTTAAATATGTCTTTATTGTGTATTTGTCAATAACAATCCAAACTGATTTTGGAGTATGCATTTCATACACAACCTTTCATTATACAGGGTTTAGTTTAAAAACCATGTTTTGGTGACTTGCGGGCACAGTCTCTTCTCAGTCTAAACGCCCGTTAGTCCAAATAATTATTACTTGTTTATCAAATTTTGACGAATAGTCTCATTTTAACCCCCTGAAAGTTTTCCATTGGCCTTCAAAAAGTTGCCAAACAATTTTGTGAGACTATTAACAAGCTATTTTGATGGCTCACAAAGAATTACCATCAGACTAGCTGCTGTTTTAGACTTCCAGATCATTCTTACTGGTGTAGAATTGTTTGTTGTAATTTAGTTTAGTTTGCAAGGGTATTTAGCCCATGTGTGAATGATATGTGCCTAAGAATCACGTACAGAATACATGCAAAACTAGAGGTTCCATGTTGGAAGTGAAGTGCAGCCCCATGTAGAAAGATCAAGGGGTAGGAACGGTAGTAAATAATCTATTGTATCTCAGTTGAGGATATCACATGGTCTTCAAGGTTACTTAGCTTTGCATGACGGGACAAAAGGGAGACTACAGTATGGAATATTTTGAAGTTGAGTTGTGTTGTATTTTTTAAGCTTATTAATATCTTCAGCTTTATCTTGATGTGTGGCCATAATTGGGAACCTGCTTATTCTTATTAGTTTCAACTGCTGGGCATTACATGTAAGTCTATTGAAGACCCTTCCAAGCTGCTGGGCATATAGCCACAGCATTTTTTTTACCCTGAGATTCAAAGAGGTGGCTAGTTGAATTGAATCAATTAGTAGTTATCTCCATGGATGGTTGCCCACAGTTATTAAGCCTGATATAGTACATGATTAGTAATGATAATATTATTGGATGAGGCTGAGAATGATATGAAGAATTATGCAGTTCAAGGAGGGATTATTGGTGGATAACTACATCTGAGATAATATGCATAATTCTTCACATCTTAAAAGCTGGATGTTAGGTTGTAGTTTGGCTGTTTCTTCTTCACTTCACATGCAAAATGCAAGTGGATTTGTAAACATGCTTTTATAACCACACAATGGTAATGTTTAGCCTATGATTTGTTAAACTGGTGTGTTTCTGCTTTCTTTTCTATTTCTACTACTATAACAGATATATGTGGTGAAATAAGTAAATATTAAATAAAAATACATTGTAAATAAAATTACATTTGTAACATTCTTGAAATAGTTCGGGTGTTTACAGTTTTCTTGGTTCAACAGCATCTTACAATAACAATTTTTTTTCTTTTAATTAGACGTCAAGTCCACAGGCCAATGCATCCACTCCAACCCCACAAGCCAATAAGATTACATCCATTTCAGAGACTAATAAGTCTTTATCAAGTCTACAAACCAGTGCAAGGTCTTCCTCACCAAGTAGTACCTGGCCCCCTACCAAGTGTACACCTTTGTGCAATGAAAGATGTTCTTATGCTGGTAAACATCATGAATTAATAATGGCCATGATGAAATGCTCAAATGGAAGTGAAATAGATAAAACAGACTTCAAGAAATCTCTTGACAAGTTTGCAAAAACAAAGTGGCTTCGCAGTGGCTGCATTCCAGACAGGGATGAAAAACTGCGACTCCCATTAGTGCACTGGGCATGTATGCTTGGAAAATACAAGGCTTTAGAGTATCTTGTTAGTGAAAAAGGTTTTGAACTCACCACAAAAGTGGGCAAGAGTCAACATGGACCACTGCATTCCATGGTGCAACATCTCAACAGTTGCCTTAATCCAAAGAGCTCCAAAGAATATGTTAGCAACATGTTTGGGAACATTGTAGATGTTTTTCTCAAATATACTATTGATGTCTTGTGTGAAAAGGATCCCAGCACTGGTGATACAATACTGCACTTCTTAGCGAAACGGTGCTGCTCAGACATTTTTTCTAGGATGTACCTGAAGACTCTATTGGTTAAGATTAAAGAAAATGCCAAAGTTTCTCAAGAGAAGCTTTATGAGATTTTGTCTGCTGTAAACAAACGTGGTGATACCTTCCTTCATGTCATTGTGCCAGATGAGGAGTCTGTTCCTACGTTAAATTACTTCTTTGGCAACTTTGGTTTGAACAGTGAGAAAATATCCAAAGCCAAGAACAATTTTGGGAAAACACCACGTCAGATTGCTGTTGAAAAGAGGTCGTTTCAAATGCTGAAAGCCTTGGGTGCCCCTGATGTTGTTATTAGCAGTCTCCAAAAGGCTGTGGCCGGGGGAAAGTCAAATACTAGTACTCCTAAGAGGGTGAGGTTTATCGATGAGAAAGATGCAAAGAAAAGTCCTTCGAAAACTTCTCCAGCAACAAAGTCATCATCAGAGGACAATGCTAAGTTGGAAGACAAGGAAGCTAGTAATCATTGTTCAGCAATTGTCGATCTTACCACGCAAGAAAAATCAACAGTAGGTGCCTCATCTGGAGAGCAGCAGGGTGGGGAGAATCTACATGTAAGCAGTGATCAGCTACAGACGGAAGTACTAAAGTTATGTTCATGTGATTCCCCAAACGACGAAAAAGGCAAAGCAACTGATTCATCTGCACCTACCAAAAGAACGATAGAACCGTTCCCCCAGCGCAACCCAGGAACTGAAAAAGGAAATAAAACATCTCCAGGAAAGTCTGTTGGTGCAGTGGAAAAGGCTGGTGAGGTGGCTGAAGTAATTGATATACCTGAGGATATGCCAGAAGCGCCTACAAACTCATCTGACAGTAATATCTTCCTTAGTCTGTCAAATACTGTAAACAGTTTGAAAAAAGGAGATTCCTTGTCAACTAGCAGGAAGAGACCGGCTCTTACAACACTGAAATCCAAAGCACCCAGAAGGAAGAGAGGGCGTGGCTCATGGTCAGATTCGGAGAGTGATGTGGAGGATGAGGAGGATTTCAATCTGGATGATGATTCAGATGATGATGTCGAATCCGAGGAGGAGGATTTAGAAGAAGAAGAAGAAATGGACGAAGAGGAAGTTGACAAGGAAGAGGCAGAAAGTGTCTCTAGTGCTGGCAAGAAAGCAGCTGAAATAAGAAATGAGGATGACATTGAGTTAGAAACAGGTACGTAAAGTTTTGACTGAGTATAACTGCTTATTTATTTTGAGGACAAAAATAATTTTATTATAGAGGAGGAGTGTGCTGGCATGTGTGGCCAAGCAGTTAACACCTCGAACTCTGGATCTGGAGGTCCGGAACCCCTTGCCCGTCACGTTGTTTCCTTAGGCAAGGAACTATTCTCCACTTTGTCTCTTTTCACCCAGCTGTATAAATGGTTAGCGGTGACATACTGTTGGAGGGTAACCCTGCTGATGGACTATCATCCCGTCCAGGGGGGAGTAGCAATTCTCCTAGGCTTGCATCATACTATGGAAACCAGTATAAGCTCCAGCCGTGTGGGCATTTGGCTTGTGTACATCACTTTGTAAGAAATTTTTGGTGAGCTTGTAGGTGGGGATGGGTTTGTATCTGTTGTAGTTAATTATTTTTTTATATCAGGAAATTTTTATTTTTCATCTGTTTCAACTTCATTAGCATACATTACCATACCCAAAAACAAAAGAGAAATAAAAATTACTTGAGATAAAAGATTGACTACAACATATCCAAGGGGGGTTACAAGAAGCCTGCGAGTAAGCCCTCAGGTTGGGGTTTCATGCTGAATTTCTTGTTTCTTGCGCAAGATGTTAAAACCCAGGAAAATTACAATACATTCCCAGAAAATTGGTCATCATTCATAATTACAGTGAAATGAAACAAACAAGATCGGTCGAAGTCAACCAGTTACAACCAACATGCATGACCTTCAGAACCGGTTGAAGAAAGCCTGGGTTTCCTGAGAGGAAACGTAAACGTTACCTATATTTTGGATTTGAGGTTGAACTTTATTGGAAAGTGCGGCAATGTTAGCAAAGAAATAGCAAGAAGATGACAAAATATTAGCTTGTGTCAAACAAATATGTCTCCTGGGTGTTATTTGTTAAGTTTCGGATAGAAAAAAGTTGTCGTATGAAAAATTTTGCATTGTTGAAAGCGTTTGCCATCAATATGTAAATTGTGTGCTTTGGGTTAATTATTGTCTTCTCACGAGCCACTGATTGGCTCAAACAAATTTTCTTGGAATGTATTGTAATTTCCTGTGATCCAGTTGATCAACTTTGTCTAAGTAGCTCCGGTTACTGTAGTCGCATGGTACACGAGTCTTAAGAACTACTATCGTTCATGGTTAAGGTGGCTCGACTGGGTTTTTTGGGGTTGATACCTTCCAACTTTGAGCATTAACTACGTCGGCATGAGTAAAGATATGGAAAAAAGGTTACCACAACTATATTATATAAAGATGAAAATTTCTTATGATCTGGGTTTTATTGCAATCGGAGTCACCATGGCAACGTAATGACGCCATTACGTTTTTCATGTATCTTTGTGTTTCTCTGTTCCAGGAGTTTTTTCAAGAAATCGCTTGAGGGAGTATGTACCTGTTGTAATTGCCTCCATTATGGTAAAGTTTGAACAAATTCTATGAGAGCGTTTTCGAAGTATTTTGAAATGTAGTTTTAAGAATGATAAAAACAGTGAAATAGCATGCTACCTACACAATTCGCTAATATTTTAAGAAAATGATAAGCTTTGGGAACGAGGCTTCATCTCATAGTGGTTTGACTCCATTGGAAACTGCATACGAAAAAAGAGGGGAATTGCTCTGGGCGATCGCGAGTAAGAAGAATTTTATTAACTTGCATTTAGCTGCTTTTGATACAGTTTTTGGACGTAATTTGGTCCATGCCTGAGAAATTCGCTTTTTTCCAAAAACCGCTTGATAAATTTTTTTATAAATTCGACAATCCCGAGATCAATCGTCAAGAAATATTCCCTGCAAGTTTTAAGAACATTGAAAACATGGAAGGCTTTTAAATAGGGCCTCAAATATAACCAATTTTCCCCCTAGATTTTGTGTTACAAGTGAGCGTCCTCATTATTCACTGGCATTGTTTTCAAGTTTCATATACACGTGCACATTTAACAAAAAGATAGAATTTGCATCAAAAAGGACCCTCGGGTAAATCTTCGGGATATGCTAATTACCGGGTAAAGAGATTAATGATACATTACAACATCAGAGCAACTCTTTTTATAACATAGCTAGAAAATTCCCCTAATCAAATTCAATAGCGCGAGCGTGCTTCATATTCCTATTGAGCACGCTGATGACGTCAATAAACTATTCGTAATTCCTCGAGTTGTTAATGTGAGCTAAGCAATCCTGAGTCTCCTGAGTGCATCCATAACTTGGCAGTACACGATAAAGCGTTTACCATGTGTTTTATAAGGAAATTGAAGAGGAAACATTTGAATTTGTTAACCGATAGTAAGGAAAAGAGGTGAGTGTTGTTGTTGTTGTTGTCATCTCCTCGAGCTGTGCGGGCTATTGCGTGAGATCCTTCTCTGCAAAGTTGTTTTCTCTCAATAACAATTTTTCGGTAAATTTATAGTTTTCCGGCTCCTAAATATGGATTTTACGATCATTTTAGAGTACACTTTCTCTCAGTTTCAGGATAAAAACATAAGATTAACTGTGAGGAAAAAAAATATAGTCACGTAAACATTGACGCGTACTGCTTTGAGCGCGCCCTACAATAATAAAATTTTAAGTTAACTGCTGCATTGATCTCTTTGATAATGTTATAAAACAATTAGTTCATGCTGCAGCTGTGCGTATGTCGAGATATTGAGCACTTGGGAAGTTTGGAGAGCACTCAAGATGCTAGAGTTGCACTCGGCTGCGCCTCGTGCAACTCTTACGCCTCTTTCGTGCTCTCCAAACTTCCCGCGTGCTCAATATCTCGACATACGCACGCTGACGCATGAACTAATTGTTAAGTGATAGTTTCTGTGATGTTATAACCCGAGTAAGATAATTAAGTATTCCATCCTACGCGATGAGCCGTGACGTTCACCGTTTCGGCTCTCACTGCTATCTGTGACGACAAGCCAACTATTAGCATATTCCTGATATTTCTTCGGAAAGTAATCGAGAGGTTTTTTTTATGCAAATTTATATCTTTTGCTGGTTGTGCACGTGCATATGAAACTTGAAAACAATGCCAGTGAATAATGAGGACGCTCACTTGTAAACACAAAATCTAGGGGGAAAATTGGTTATATTTGAGGCCCTATTTAAAAGCCTTCCCTATTTTCAATGTTCTTGAAACTTGCAGGGAATATTTCTTGGCGATTGATCTCGGGATTGTCGAATTTATAAAAACATTTATCGAGCGGTTTTTGGAAAAAAGCGAATTTCTTAGGCATGGACCAAATTACGTCCAAAAACTGTATCAAAAGCAGCTGAATGCAAGTTAATAAAATTCTTCTTACTCGCGATCGCCCAGAGCAATTCCCCTCTTTTTTTGGATACAGTTTCCAATGGAGTCAAACCACTATGAGATGAAGCCTCGTTCCCAAAGCTTATCATTTTCTTAAAATATTAGCGAATTGTGTGGCTAGCATGCTATTTCACTGTTTTTATCATTCTTAAAACTACATTTCAAAATATTTCGAAAACGCTCTGATAGAATTTGTTCAAACTACGCCATAATGGAGGCAATTATAGCAGGTACATACTCCCTTAAGCGATTTCATCAAAAAACTCCTGGAACAGAGAAACACAAAGATAAATGAAAAACGTAATGGCGTCATTACGTTGCCATGGCGACTCCGATTGCAATAAAACCCAGATCATAAGAAATTTTCATCTTTATATAATACAGTTGTGGTAACCTTTTTTTTCCATATCTTTACTCATGCCGACGTAGTTAATGCTCAAAGTTGGGAGGTATCAACCCCAAAAAATCCAGTCGAGCCACCTTAAACAAATGACAAAATTCCAAAACAGTGAGTGTCAACTCTTCCGATCATCAAAAAAATTGGAAAAGTAGAGATTACATCTGGTTTAGTGAAAAGGGGGGGGGGCATTTGAACAGGTACGTTTCTCATTTGCGCCCGGATACACTTGTACTATAGGCTTATTAGCAGAGGCTTGGGGCTTATAGCTGGAATCGTACTTTCATATTTTTCCAGTATGAACGAGTTGAGTTAAGAGAGGTGTGGATGTGAACTTAATGTATTAATTGTGCTCTAAAATAATGGCTATTTACAGTGATGGGGTTATATTAGGTGAAGAGTATGTTATTGTGTTCTTTAAGCAAACGCAAAAGGAAAACTAGGAAAATTTCGAAATTCTGTTCAAACAAAATGACATATTCGCACGGAAAGATTCTTTCGGTGTTCAACGCTCATTACCGTATTTATTCGATTAAGCGCCCTAACTTGGGTAAGTGCCCACCTCCTCACCACCCCGCGGGAAAAAAATGACCTTTAATACTGACAATGATCTGACAATGAGTGAAACAGACTAAGTTGTACAAAGAAGAAGACCGCGTTTTCTAAGTATTTTAAAGAAACTCTCAATGAGCAGTTAAAATTCTGCTTTGGAACATCTTAACTTTTTGTTGCAAAACAAAATTACTATTGCTGAAAATTGTGCAAATATAATTAGCGCCCAGCCTTGAATAAATACCCACCTCGAATAACCGCCCACTCTTTCAAGAGTTTTTGGACGTTATCGAATGAATACGGAACTCACAAACTTTCTAAGTCATCGCAGCGCCGTTTAATTAATAAAATTTCGTCACTTGCGCTTAGGCGATTCACTTTACAAAATATCACATGTCAAAATTGGACATTTAAGAAGCCGTTAGGGATAGCGCCAAACGCTCGTGCGTATGGAACGGGTTTTATGCACTCTTCAGAGAAAATTTCTCGAGTAATTCTGACATGTTCGGTAGAGTCAGCCAACAGTGGTAATTTTACCCAAATTGCAGAAGTTTGTCACCGTGTTTCACCACCTTGGCATGAAACATGATTCTTGCATTGTCTCTTTTAAAAACGTAAACTAATTTCCTTTCTTTTGAAGAAATTCATTAGGCTAGTAAGTTCAAATATCTATTCAAATTTTCTTAAAATATTCTGGGAAGCAAGCGAAATAGTTGAGCAGGAAAGCGACGAGTTCAAAAGATGGATCAAGGAAAGTATACATATTAGAACGAACACTCCTACCATCAACAGGGATGAGGAAGCATACTTGCTACTGATCTCCTATATTTCCACCCCCAACCAGGCGCGGGGGGAAGGGTCTCGACAGAGTGACTTCATAAGCCTATTCAGAGCTTCTGAAACCTGTGACGTTTTTAGTTTGATAAAGATGACTGACAGTCATCGAAACTGTCGGCGTCATTAGGAAGTTTTTTCGGGCTATGCTTTAAGAACATTTGAATATTTAGTTTCCTTTCTGCTTCCTTTGTAGCGCCAAAACACACCCCTTTTTGCAGCCAGGATTGTTCATCGCAACATCACAAGCTTCTGCTGAGCCTATTGAAATGTTCAAACTATAACTACGGCATGGAGCATAATAACACTTTCATGAAGCAAGTCAATGATTACATCAATCAGCATGGAAAGTTTTCTGATGTGCGAGCTAATGCGGATCTACCTGATCCTATGCCCCCTTTTCAGTACCCCTTGGTCCACTGGGTGTGTGTCCTAGGAAAGTATAAAGTCTTGGAGAGGTTAACAGAATTAAAGGAATTCAATTTTGCTGTACAGTCTGAGCGTACTGGGGAAACTGGTTTGCACCGCATGCTTCTTTCGCTTGACCGAGCCATGGTCGCCTTGAAAAAGAGTTCTGTTAAGACAATCCTGGATGTGTTTTCAAAGACGCTGCGAACCTTGACCGATAACGCGCCTATTGTCCTCACGCTGAGTAACAAGGAAGGTGATACGCCCTTCCATTGTACGGCTAAGGTAATTCTTGACTGTACAGGCGAGAACATGAACACCTATGAAGGGTACTTTGAGCATCTGATGAAAGAGTTGGCCCGTCTACGGGTCTCTGGGAAGCTCAGCTCAGATGCAGCGAGGGAGCTGCTCCTTAAGACCAACAACAGCCAGGAAACATTTCTTCACATCCTTGCATGCAGGCATGGCGTTGGACAGCGTGTGATAAAAAGGGTCCTGAAAAACATCGAACCCGAAATAATGGATCTCTTGAAAGAAATCAAGGACGCCAACGACAAGACTGCGTCAGATCTAGCAGAGGATTTGTGTTCCTATGAAATGGCGGCTATTCTTCGGCCACGTGATCAGGAAGCTGGTCCTCCTGATTGGGTGGATGATGTTGCAGAGGATCTTCCTCACACCCCTGACAGTGGCACCCCACGCGAGACCCCTGATATACAATCGCCACCACCTACCTTGTTCCCCTCGAGCCCCGTTTTTCCAGATGTTGATGCGGCACGTGTGCGCTTGTTTGCTGTTAAGAAGGAGCCTGGCGTAGATGATACCGAGTTTGATGAAACTACGTCAGAGGACCCAGCCGAGGTAAATTCGTCGTCCAGCTCATTGCAAACAGTAGAGGATGCTGTTAAAAAGGAGCCCAACGTAGATGATTCTGAGGACCCACCTGAGATTAATTCGTCACCTACTACTTCACAAACAACAGAAGATGTTCAATTACCCGCTGTCAATACTTCGCCCAATCATGCTAACTCTTCTCCAACTCGGCCTACTAAAGAAGACGTGAACGCGATAGCTTCCGCCAGTGGCTCTTGTGAAAGCAGCGTAGGTGCTGCGACGGTAAATCACAACATGTCATCCAACATGCCGGCTCTTCCAGTTGTTCCAGGCACTAGCAGGAAGTCTGCTGGCACACCGACCACTTCACAAAGTCCCAATGGGGCTGCTAGTCATTCCTCATCTGTTTTAGCAGATCACAGCAAGAACAGCAGCAAGGGGCCGTCAATTATATCTAAAATCAGTAAATTCAAGAATTTGCCTCAGACCGACAAACTCCTGAACACATTGCACGCAAAGTTTCAAGAGCAATTGGCTCAGTCTGAGAAGGGCTTGGGAGAGAAAGAGGACGCTCTCGTTCGTGTTCTTCACCGGATGACCGAAGCACAGGAGCGAAGACAAAGGCTTCAACAAGAACTGGAGGAAAATTTAAACGAAATGTTAGCGATCAAACAAGAGGAAGGTCTGTTACGGTCTGAAATTGCGGTACAGAAACGTGACTGTGAAAAGTTCAAAGCAGAACTGGAAAAGTACGCAGGGATTAGGGAACAAGAGAAATAGCACTTGGAAGATTTTCTAACGGAAAATCGAACATATAAGACGAGGCTTATTTGTAAGGTGAATTTCCGCTGCAACTTTTATTTTATTATACGAGTGTCCATCATTATGGCTCTGTCAATTCCAAGCGTGCCCATCCTTCCCCCCGCGGGCATTTGTCATTTTGTTTTGGAAAAGTTGCGAATGCCTTACGTTAGAGGGCCGGGCGTTCATACAAAAACCCTACGGTGGGGCTTAAAAATAGGGTGCAAATGCCCCACCACGGGACAACACCAAAATTGTATTTTTCAGTAAATAAGCTGCAAATACCACTTTTATAAAAATCTCTAATCTGATCAAAACGCGTGAAGCGCCCTACGCAAATCGCTCCTAGCCGCCAGTTATAATTATTGCAAAAAAGATCGCATCCATCTGGTTAATATCAATGACAGAACTGTAAACTAGAATTTTAATGTTGCCTTTCTTATTTTCGAAGACGGTTTGTGTCAGTAGTGAATGATAAACAAACAACCGATGAGCTTAACATGAGTATTTTCTTATCACGATAGAACTCAATGTTTCGTCAGCGTATTATGTATTTGCCGCATTGATCGTACAATACACAAAGTTTCTATTAGCTTTCAAATATCTAGCAAAGTTTTTCCAGGCCTCTCTGCCTCAACCATTCACGCCCAAAGAAAGTGTCTTTTCCGTTAAACTCTTCAAACGATACATTGATTGTTTTTCCTCCATGTGCGAACTGATCACGACGGCGGTAGGCAATTTCTTATACGGATGCAAAAAATCCTTTGGGATAAGTGATGGGGCGAAAACCAGACATGTCTCTTTAAAGCAAAATTATTAAAAATATTCTTTACAGAAATATCTAAAGCCATCCAATAAGGCATGATTTTAAGTGAAATATTGGAAAACGAACGATGTTAACCGCCTCTCGAACAATTAACAAATTCCCCACCGCCGGGACCGACAAGGTGCGAAATGCCCGACAAATGCCCTGGGGAGTATGGACACGCTTGGAATTGACTGAGCCATTACCTACAGAGAAATGGTTAGGGTCAGTTTATTGTAGAACTTCATACATACTGTAGCCTAGTACAAGCAAGATAAAGTATCCTCAATATAACTTCACCTTACAGTTAGGTTTCGTTTAATATTTTTGTATTACATCGTTGACTTTTGAGACTTCGGTGTAAATGGGTACGAACATAACTGGCAATTGTAGTGAGGTTTTTTAAACCAAAAACTTAGTCGTGTTCTCTGAAGGCGAACACATCCTAAATTTCGTTTTCCTGTAGTTTTATAGTTAGAACTAAACAGTCAAGTTATAAGAGGGCCGTTGGCCTCCTCTTTTGCTTTTGCCAGGGACATTTTTGGCCGAAGACACTGGCAACTACTTTATCTTCGGCCAGAAAACAGGTGTGAAACTCTCAGATTCAGTGTAGTGTGAGTTACTAATCTGTAATTACTGCTAGTTTTGTTGTATAGGTTTGCAGGCAAAACCTCACTGACCCCCAGTCTTCCCAAGTTTCTGTAGATAACTTAGCTTGAATATTATACACTAAATGTCAGATCCCGAGGGAAACAGTTAGTTTTGTTTTCCCGAGAGTCCCGATGTTCGTCTCGGGAAACATCAGGACTCGAGGGAAAACAAAACTAACTGGTTTCCCGAGGGACCTGACATTAAGTGTTTTGTTATATTCCTAGACTTTCACTTCAACAGCAACAAGAGAATAACCGGAGCTAACCAAAACAGTCGACTCGGTACTTATAACAACACAAATCTAATTCTCAAAACCACTGAATGAACGATTTACAAGGTACTTTTCTTATATATTATCTGCATCTTTTTCCTCCACTAGCTGCTGTTTTCTCTTCTGGGATAACTTTAAAAATCGCTGCTTTTTATCTTGAGGCTTCGTGTTTGTGTTGTTGTGTTCATTCACGAAAAAGAAAACTGGCAGTGTTTTTCCCACCTTCTGTCACGCCACTTTCACCTTACTTTGATCACGTGCTGTAATGTATCCCGAGCGGGGTACATTGCATAATGTATCACAATCAATCACGATCGGGATACATTTGATTTTAGTCAAGGCCACGTGACTAAGAATCAACCAATGGCAGTTCCTGTTTAGTTGAGTGAAAGTCTAGGAATATAACAATACGGGGTATCTCACCTGACTTCTTAGCACACGCTAGTAGAGTGGCAATTCTCATGATTTAGGATATCAACGGTACACAGGAAGGTCAAACAATGTACAGCTTGCATTTCACAACTCTTGTATTATATTTTGCAGTTTCGAAAATTGAAACTTCACTTGTACAAAAAAGCAATAGACCTATTCGGCTAACTCAATGTTGTACCCAATTCAAATCTCCCGGGGTCAAGATTCTTTGTGTACTGTATTTGCATTATAATGTTGCATTCACATTTAAATGATATGGAAATTCCTCAAACAAAACGTGTTATCCCCAAAGGGGTTTGAATTGGGTACAACATTTAGTTAGCCGAATATGTCTATGTAGACCATAGTACAAAATATAGTCTACTCACGGTTTGACAAAACCAAAGTTCAAACCTATTGTATTTATAAGTTACCTTAACACCGTCTGTTAGGTCGGGGTTTGTAAAAGGAGAAGCAACAACTTTATGGAATAACTTTTAAAAGCTCTTACTCTTAATTCAGCTTGTTATTTAATTCGAGCTTGCGCCGTTTAGCTGAACTAACCAAGATATTTTCACGTGAAACCCTTATGAAAAGCGTCACCCGAAATCCTGTCACGTTATGGTGAGCAAGACGTGCTTTGTATGTAACTCCTGGTAATATTGCCATGTTTGGTTTAGAGTTTGTTTCGGTCTCTTGGTTTGTTATTTTATACAGTTGACAGCACTGAATTGGAAAATTTTTGGAACACAAGCACAGCAGACAAAATGTATTTAACAACAGATTTATGTAAATGTGGTTGTCATTTTAGCTGATTGCAATGTAATAAGTAAGTTTTTTGATCTGTTTTACTGGTAATGCAATGCATTTCATAGATTCTAAACTATTTTGGATTGACAGTCAGAAAATAAAGAGTTTTTACTTTTTTATTTAACCTGTTGCGAGCATCAAACGGAACTACAACTGGTTGCTCGTTTTTGAGAGAGGGGCGTCTAACACAAATTTAAAATTGTAGAGGGGCGTTTATTAGACACAAGGCGTTTGTTTGAGAGAGGGCATCTATTAGACCTTTAAAAATTGGCAACACACTTTTTTGGCAGCACGTTTTAAAATAAAACTGTGGCCCGGGGAAAGCCGAGAAGAAAATAAGATAAAAAAGATTTAAGGTGTTTGTAGGTTTTTACTCGTGACTAGGTTTGACTCGTAATTTGGCTCGAGCTTGACTCGTGCTAGGTCCTTAAGGTAGAGCACGAGATACGAAAATGTGAAGTCTATTTAGCAGAATTGCACACAAGTCGCCATGTGTTAAGGTAAGTTTGAACACAACAAAATGTGCCGCGATACACTCTCGAGCGTATTTACGACTAGCCTGTGCGGCGCTAAAGTATGAGAGGACTGTCCCAGGGCCAAGGGAATAATCAAGAGCCATAATGGGAATTATAGATCGAGGGGTTCTGGACTCTTGTTTTCACATCATTGTATACATTTGTAGATTTTCTTCATCTTAATTTCACATGATAACATAGCCTGCGTAGCAAGCGTTTCCTGTCGAGTTATGGCGCGAAAGTTAGAGCGGGAGCGAAAAAAAAAAGGCGTGGAAGGGGGATGGGGAGGTAACTCCTCCCCCGTCATTCTTTTTTTTTTTTTTTTCGCTTTCGCCCCAACTTTTCTTGACGAGCTCGCGCGGAAACGCTTGGTACGCAGGCTAATGATAACAGTACTAGTTTTTCATAGAGCGCAAGGACAACACGCGAAGAAGAGGCCCCTCCCCACTGCCCCTCAAACGAAATCGGTGGCTGTACACAGTATCGCTAGTTTTCAAGCTCGCACAGGGTCCTCACTCTAGGAACGAGGTTGCCTAGTTTCCCGTTTCCTACTGACAGTACGTAGAATTCCCATTGGCGAAGAGCGCCTCTTGGGAGTTAGTCCGTCACCTCATTGCAGTATTTGTCATTCCTGGAAATAGCGCTTTGCACCATTGCTACAAATAGGTTCTGTCCCCCCTTAGACCCCCGGGCCCGCGTGACTCAGACAAACTTTGCTTTCTAAAAGGCTTTGTATGAGCAACATGCGTGCGGCGTTGTTCATAAAATTCGCAATGAGCGTGTTAAAAATGTTTTTTGAGCTTTATTCTAATATATAAAAGCAGGAGCCGATGAAAAACTGGTCCAAGTAACTCAAATAAATGTTTAAAATGAGAAAGTAAAGAGACCTGATCAAAGAAGGCTTCTGTGCGGTGACTGAAACATGACATAACATAATTTTTGGCTGTGTAATACTCCAAACCGAAATTGCTAAAGGGAGAATCCAGTTTGTATGTGCTTCTCGCAAGCCTGTGGCAGAATTTTCTGAGCTAAAAAGCACACCAACATGCCACACAAACCGGAAATTGTATAAGTTTGTTCTGTTGTTGTGCGGCCAGGGGTCAATTTAATAAAACTTCTACACGTGTAATTTACAAGTGTAGCCATTGTTTTAGTAGCCTGCGTAGCATGGCGGTTTTGTCGAGCCGGGCGCAGGAGCGGCGTAGCCGCGAACCCAACCAAAACCGCCATGCTACGCAGGCTATTGTTTTAGAGTCTGAGAACAATAGCTACATTTGTAAATTACACGTGTAAAAGTTTTATTAAATTTACCCCAGGTAGGTGCCATGCAGTACTATATACCCTCAAAACAATTGAGCAAACTTTGCCTATAAATTTCACCAAATGCACTGTTTTATGAACAGGTTTGAAGCCCTTTCTCCATGATTTCTTAGTAACATGCCGTAACGTAACTATGTCTTGGCACACGTACGTTCATTTTTTTCAGGATATATGTTATCGAAACCAAACTGGATCTTATTTCTTTCGACGATAAAAATCTTCAAAGACTACGAAAACGTGTTGGCGAACGTGACACTCTCATACTCAACTCTTATAGTGATCAGGTTCAATGCCCGGGGGGCACTTCTTTATAAGAGGTTAATGGGGATGTGCCGCTGGATGGGGTCGCATTTTTACGACTAGAGAGACTATAAGCTACTATGATGGGGTCGCATTTTTAATAGAGTTACTAGAATGGGGTCGCACATTTTCTGATTTTTGGGGTAAGAGAGTTCTTCATATTTACGGTTAGCAAACGTACCAGAATGTTTGTACTCTGGGTGAAAAGTAAGGTGTTCTTTCAATTTAAAAAGTGGATCGGTGCATTTTAGGACGATGACCCATTTAAAGGATTGATAAGGTATATTCATAAATAAAAAGTGACTAAGTTGGAATGGCGAAGATTACATATTTGCCTAAAAGTGACTAAGATGGGGTCTATAATTGGCCACAGAATAAACTATAATGGGGTAGGGGCTCTGAGAGGCCAGCGGCACATACCCAGCAAAACCAAGAGCCATAATAGGACTAATATGGCTCTTGGCAAAACGTATCCCAAGTGATTCCCCCGGGTTCAATGTCTGAGCCATATGGAGCCATAGCAGGGACCAGAAATTTGTGGCGTCATTAGTGAAAGCGCTATTCGAAACTGTAAACCAAACACAACGCCAATTTTCGGTAAAATATCTGTTCAGAATTTGAGATCTAGAATTTTCAAAAGAATAGCTGTAAAATTTCTTGCTTGCCTGCCTCTCCTAGGATTTTCGAACATCTCAAAAATGGTATACTTGCCCAATTTTAACGGATTTTTACCCTAAAATGGTCACCTAGAATCTTCGGGAGCCTTTTCTCTGGCTGAAATTTTCGAAAAGGTAAGTTTTGATCCCTATAATTTTCGGATCACTAGACTTTCAGCTAGGAAATCCGAACAGATGAAAAATTTCTAGGGGGTAAAAATATGCCTATATCTACCGTTTAAACACTAAAATACGTTTAACAGTGCTATGTTTAAGTGGCTTTGAACTATATTCTCGTTGGGTGCCCCTGACACGTGGGGAATTTTTTCAGAAACGGGAGAACTGTTTCAATCGCGCTTGCAAGAAGTTTTGAAAATTGGAAAGGAAAAATAAGGAAATTTTATGCTTTCTTCTTGCTGTACAGTCAGCCTTGCTCTTTAATATGATTATTCTTTCAAAAGGCGTCAAAGGGTTTTTGATTAAATAGAAAGCTATTGATAAGCAAATCATATTTCTAAAATGCAACAGTACAGCTAATAGTCAAAGATTGAGTTATAAATGTGAAGAAGATCATCACAGCAATTATGGGCGGAACTTTGGCAGTTGCGAAAAAAAGCATTTAATATTCCGGGAGTGGAACCTTTCTCGTGAACTCTGTGATGCCGATAACCAACTCTTCTCACAAGGGCCAACTGGCCAACTGGGGAGCTACAATAGTCTTTACTTGTTTCATTTATTTCCTGGGTTCAGATAGTTGTTTTCAACCTACAAAGTTATTAGGGCGGAATACGATATTTCGGTTTTCAGGTCGTTTCAGTTTCAGGAAGCAGTAACAATATAAAGCAAAGAACTGCCCGCAAAAAAAAAATCTGATTTCAACTACGTAAATAGGTTCTTTTGTTATGGAAATCTGAGGCTGAATTTACCACCTCTTATACTATGGAAATATTTTAGCGTACAATTATAGCTTCTCGATCGAGTCTGTCCGAAACTAAATTCAGAGAAGACATCTCTCTCTGCGCGATTGATTGGAGTAGAGAGTATCCGGTAAGCTCCAATAGGGTACCCAGATCTTGTCATCTCGACATTTTCATGAAAATTGCATCCCGGCGCTTTTCATCACATCGGCTGTTCCCTATGCCGAACAGTTTTAGCGGAACTCTCGCGCGCGGCGAAACACCGAGGGTAAGAAAATTTGGTTATCTTTGCATCCAACAAATTTTCGTCCGAATGTACGTCTACCCGTTCATGTAAGCCGAGGTGCAATTTTGCGTTTCAATCACCTGTGCGTTTCGGCGATAAATCGCATAACCCAAACTTTTAGAGAGAAAAATTTAACAACAACAAAGCTGAGTCTTTCTTTCGAATAAATAATATGTCTACATTGACGAAAGAGCTAGAACAAGAGGTATAAAAAAGCTAAATCTAATTAATTTTGACACATAAATTTAAAGATTGGACCCAGCATTGTTGAGGACCCGATTCGGAAGGTGTAGCTAGAGACCGCACTAACAGGGTAGAGGAAAATAATGTTGAGATATGATGATGCCAAATGATAATTCTTTTTTTCTTGACAGCTCCCTTTTTACCCTGGGACATTTTGTTATTTCCCAGAGTTTGGGATTGTTGAACGCGCGGGATCCAACCCGGGAAAGCCCCGGATCACAGACATACTGGCCAATATAGGTCGCCAGTATACAAAAATATTTGTGCTAAATTTACTGAAGTTTCGAAAGTAAACTTCCGTATGTAAACTATACTGTACTCATGATAATGCACCTTTGCGGCAGAATGTACAATACATGGTTTGATCATCTCTCCTCCGACCCTCCAACTTCATAGCGTGATGGAACAGCGACCTACGTCGAAGATTTTTGTCACTGCTGTTTTGGCGCTCTGTCTCGTTGGCTTGCATGTGTCGTTGCGAGAACAACAAGCGGAAAAGACATTGGATCACAATGGCAGTAATCGACAGAATCGAAAGCTTTTACAGTACAACACGAGCATGTATTCAAATCAGCGGGCTTCGTCGAAACCGAGACATGAACTACAACATGCCCGAACGGAGGTACGTATAACAAGAAGTAGATGTTACTTGACACTTCCTGTTTTTTTCATTTTACTTTGTATGCACCAAGAAGGGTCTTCCATTCGCTAAAACTGAAACAGTATGAACCTTAAATGGACGAAATTGTGTCAGATTGAAGGATTTATTATCTATTTTTGTACATATTATCTTACATTTGAAAGTAGCTTTGAAATTCAGCCTCATATGTACATTGTTTTGCTGCAATGAGTTTCTTTCAATGCACTTGCTCATTTTTTCCTGAATTCCACTGATGGGTTCAGTTAACATAACATAACATAAAACTTTATTTAAACTCGAATTTTAGAGTAGCTAACAAGCTAATATCTTCGAGCTGACACTACATAAAAACTATATAGAAAATATATATACATTAAATGCAAGGAAAGAAAATATCATTTACAATTCACAATTTTAAGTTTAAGTATGTCAGGCAAAAAGAATCTACATGAAGGTAAAATCCTGTATTTTAGTCTTAAAGTCTGCAAAAAAACTGGTACGAAAAAAGTCCGACAGTGCATTCCACTGCTTAGCTGAAAAGTAAGAAAAGGAGTTAAGACCATAGGTAGTTGTTTTAGGTTTACTTAGTGAAAGAATGTAGTTGCCACGAAGATCATAGGAAGAGGACCGGAGTGAAAACATATTCTTCATATAAGTAGGAAAATGAGTGAAAAACAAACTCTTATATAACAGAATGAGGAAATTTTGAATGCGTTTGTTAAACAAAGAAGTAGAGCTGACTTTTGAGAGAAGAGTGTTGTATGGAGACGAGTAATCTCCAAGTATAAATCTAAGTATTCTTTTATTTAAAGCTTCGAGCTTATCCGCATCGCGCGCTCCACAAAAGTGCCAGACAGAGGAGCAATAATAAAAGTGAGGTAAAATATACGCTTTGTAAAGTTTGAATAAGATTTCCTTGCGTATGAGTTTTCTAAAGCGCAACATAACATTAAATTGATTATTAATCTTTTTGCGTACATTTGATATATGTTTAGAAAAATTCAGATTATTATCTATTTCCATTCCAAAAATCTCTAACGTGTCCTTTACTGGGAAGGAAAAACCATACTCCGTATCACCGAGGATTAGACACTGGTGCTTGCTCTCATTAACTAACATCCCATTTTCATGGTACCACTGATTGGCCACGCCAACATCATGAGATACGCATGCATCCAGAGCTGCCGGATCGAAGTGGGAGTAGTATACCTGATGATCATCCGCATAAGCGTTCAACTTGGCCTTCTTGACGTGGAAGAAAAGATCGTTTATGAAAATGTTGAATAGCATGGGACCTAACACACTCCCCTGCGGGACCCCACGCTTGACGCTTTCCCAGGTCGAAAAGGTGTCTCCAACTTTAACTCTCTGAGTTCTGCTAGAGAGATAGTTCCTAATTAGGGCACAACTTTTGTCGTCTATACCATAGGCCCTCAGTTTCGAAAGGAGGAGTGGATACTGAATAACATCAAACGCTTTGGAGAGATCCATAGAAACTACTACAGTTCAGTCTGGCAGGAGAAATAATATTTGAAGGGGAATTTAGGGGAGAGATAGGGAGGAAGTATTCACTTATGCAGCGTTTTTTGTGTCGTCGTATTGCGTGAAAATCGCTACAAAAATGGCTGCGTAGAAGACTAGGGAGGAAGAGTTACATAATGCACATGATGATTGAGTGCCTACCCGAGACTTCCCTCATAGCCCTTGAAAATGTTCACTGGTCGACAAACCTATTGAATCCTGCTCATGCACGAATCAAGCACACAATGACCTGCATATTATCAAATAATGTGGTCGGTCAGACCCCTTGCAAGTTTGTGGCCGTTTTTGTTTCAATTTTCTCTCAACGTGAAGACAAAGAAAAGGGCTGTGTAGGACGACTCACTACTCCCTCCCTACCACTCCTCCTGCTTCCTTCAAATATGGTTGGTTACTCCTTCACCAGACTAAAGGTTGTATGGAAATGAACAAACTTTGAACAAGTGTAAAATAAGAGTAGCCCATAACCCTGACCACATTCCTTTTAAAGTTCCTAAAATTTGTTTAGAACCTCTAGTAAAATTCATCTTCAAAAATTAGAGGTGGTCCACAGGGGTAGGGGTCCATGAACTGGAGGTCCATGTTTTGTAGACATCCATTACAAAGCATGGGAGCATGCATTGTGACTGGTTTATCCTTACACTTCTGCTTCCAAATCCGACAATTTGGTTTTCGCTAGATCGTCAATTAGAGAGTCATAAGCAGAGTCGGAAGAAAATGAAAACGTTCTGATTCCTCCGACTTTGATCCAAATGCGCTTATGACTCTACTTATGACTCCAATTTTTGATTTTCACAAGGTCATAAGTGCTCTTACATCTATGCTTATGATTCCGACTGTGATTCCGTTGCTAGTGAAAACCAGTCTTAACAATAGGTGAACTTTGTTTACCCAATAAATGAAGTAAGTTCGGCGGTTGATTCAGACATTGAACATAAATAGTCGGACCAAATTCATTTTCACAATGTCAATGGTCTGCAATCATAACAGTGAAAATATAATTTATTATAGTAATTTATGCATTAGGTTCAGCACATGAGAAGTTCTATGTATGAAACAAAGTCGCCCCACATTTGAAATTTCCATGTGGTCCACTCAAATTATCGTAATTCATAGGTCGATCCAAATTAGATATGTTGAACCGTCGATCTCTTCATATACTTAATTGAAGGGATTAGGTTCAGTCCATTTAAAGATCAACATTTGAGGCGTAAGATGGTCTCCGTAAGGACCAGCCCTTACTGTCCATCTTAGAGAGGTGTCCAGCTTATAGAGAGTATGAGGTAACGTGGCAACAGTAATATTATATGAGATATAAGGGTGAACCTATTCACACTTGAATACACACTGGTTTTACCTGTGCAAACCAGTTAAAACTGGAACAATGTAACAGAAAAGTGGAATCATTTTGTTATTGTTCCATCAAACTTTTATTACAAGCCAATGTTCACTGCTCAGTTATCTAAAAGCATAAAGCGTAACAGTATACACTCTTCGAACTGGAACAAGACTACAGTTAACCACATGTAACAAAAATACAGTGTTCTCTGTTTTCACTGTCACACCATCAAAAATAAAAATCAAAACCACTCAGTAGAAAAAGTCCAGAATCTGATGAAAGCAGATAATATACAGTATACATTTATGTGAAGTTATGTCTCAACGCTGTCCTTCTTCAAGGAAGTTGATGGAGCATTGCTATTATCAGTTCAGTTTCGATGTTACAACACTCAAGTTAAATCTCCTGTAATTAAGCTGTTTAGAAGCTGTCCAAAAATATTTGATGATAACGAAAAAAGTGTATTAAGCAATAAATTGCATTTTTTTAACTGCAGGATTGTTCTAAACTGCGAAACTTGAACAGCTCAGAGGAGCGTTGTCACTTTATCAAGTCAACTGAGAGTTGTCGAATGGATGATGGGTTTATTCAGTACTTACAGATTCCATACTGTTCATTTCATGGCCCTGTTGCCTTGGCGTTTTTCTTTCTGGTAGGTAAATAGAATAAATATGGACTAGAGGAGCCATATGATTGCAAAGTAGTGGGAGGCAAGAATTGTTGAGGGACAGAATTGCAGGCTACAAAAGGAAGTAATTCTCATATTAAGCTTTGTGGTTAATGGCTATTCAAAATAAAATTTATGTACGCCAGTCTTCAGATTTTCAAGTGGATGGCTTTTGGTTTGTCTTAGAATCTGTTCTTTTAATTGGTGTTAATATATACCATCACCAGTTCATGCCTTCATGGCTCCCTTTTACCTCAACGGCTTTCAACTGGAGTAGATCAGTTTCGAACACCATAACCACTCAGAAGATTGTAAGTCGGTGTCATCTAACACTTATTATAATGATTAACTACTTTTAATTTTACCATGAGTGTAATATATTTAGACATTAAATTTCTCTTTCACTCTTATTTCAAATCACTGTTCCATTCTTATTCTGCCTAACCAGGCTATACCTGCAAATATGAGCCAAGATAACCTCCACTCAGTTATGAAAAACCATAATACTTCTATGCGCTTTGTGACTGGACAACAATATTTAACAGCTTATTATGTTATATTTTGCAAAGCTTCCACAAATAATAATCATTCCTATCTATATGTTGATCCTTCTAGTCATTGTAGCTAGAGGTCCAGCTAGACTTTATTTTGAACAACTACTAACAGTTTTTAATGTACATATTTAGTCTCTTTGGTTGGTATTTCTCTTCGTCATTCTGGGATTGACAGCTGATGACTAGTAAGTTTATCATGAAGAAATTATTGCGTCTTGAATATCTTATCTTGCGTGAAGTATTTTGAAATTTTATTAAAATCAATATCAGCATGCATGGTATTTAAGTTTCTCCAGACCAATTTGGAAATGGGTGTATTAATCTGTTTATTTTTTATTTATGTGCATTTAATTATCTCTTTGATATTAATAGCTTCTGTCCTTCCCTGATGGTGATCTCAAAGACACTTAGAATCAGTGAGAATATTGCAGTATCCTTTATATAGTTTGCAGAATGTTGACCTTTATAAATTATCTTCTTTATTGGTGCTCTGTCCAATGTTGTTATGGAGTTGGTTGTCTTTAATCCATGGTAAAGCCAAATATGAAACAAAATTGTCTTGTACAGTAATATATGCAAAAAGGGGTGATAAAATATTGCTAAGCCTTTTTTCAGAAATCGGGTTAAGTAAACCCAAACTAATGATCACTGTAAAATTATGTAAAAGGTGTGCCCACAGTAAGTTCTCCATATGAAGTTGCCAATCTCAGCTGTTGAAGGAACAGAAATCAGTGCTTTCAGTTAAAAACAAACACACAGTGTGATGCATGTCTGATCTCAAAGGAGTCCTTATGTTAGTGCCTGACCCCCCCCCCCTTATGCTCTGTCAATCTGGATACACTTCTACGTTTTTGTCCCATATATATGGTGATACCCCTAAATAATTGTTCACTCCCTTCTAGCACAACTTCTAGATTCCTTCTCTTCATCCCTTCTATACATCCACACCTACACATCTGTGTTTTAAGTGTTTAGAATGGGACTACATTATACTGATGATTACAACTCCTGTTTTGACAAATGGAAGACTATATTAACTTTTTGTCGCTATTAAAAATGTAGGTCACACTTCATGGAAAGAGAAACTTAATAAGCACCGCCCTCAATTAAGCATCCTCCCTGCAATAAATGCCCCCACCACCCACCCCCCACCCCCAGCCTTTAGCTGTAATTTTAAATAAGTGCCCGGGCGCTTCTTCAAGGAAATACGGTATATTCTTTTTTTCACTTTGAGTTCCTTGACTGTAGTGTAACTAGGGAGTGACATTTTTAGCCTATGGCAATGGTGCTCCTGATATTTTTAGTGCTTTGGCAGCTCTCTCTCATGCCAAGAGTTCGAGTGCAGTTCAGCTTGGAATGCAAGCCCTCTTTGGTAATAAATTTATCCAGTAAACCTTAATTTTATGTGTTGGAAGTTCATTACAATTACGTATTTAAAGGAGCTGTGTCAGAAAATTTATCAAAATTTAGACATTGGGAATTGGAATATAAAAATTATAACTGCTTAAAACATGAAAAAATGTATAAACAACGCAGAAACTACAAAAGGAGGCACGGATGGACAAACTCAAAGCATTTGTGGTTTTTGAAAACTTGTTAGCCTAACAGTTTTTCAAAGTTTTTCATTGTTGTTGTTGACAACAAGTAAGTGGCAGTTGACAGTATTCCCTGATGAAAGGATTGTAATCAAAATAACGGGCTTTGAGTCCCGGGGGGGGTACTCGCAGAAAAATTGGGTAGGGGTGTGCGGCCCGCTTCCCAAAACCCTTACCCTATTTATGACCAAAATCTGCGATTTTCCCTAACCTATTTATGACCTAACCAAAAATTTGATACCCTATTTATGACCTGACCCTTAAATCAATACCCTGTTTCAGACCTGCCTTATAATTATTTCCCTAGTTCAGACCAATGTTAAAGGCAATGTTTATCTGCTTTTATTAGGTTAGGGGGACATGATAAGGAAATAGCTTCTTCTAAAAAAGTGCATTCAAGACTACAGTGCAAAAATCGTTACCCTATCTATGATCAAAATGGCGGCAAAATAGCCAAAATCGATACCCAATTTATGACCAAAACGGCTGAAAAACCCTACCCTTTGGGGCCGCACATACCTATATAGCCCATATTAGGGAGTACCCCCCCCGGGCTTTGAGTCCTGTTTTGGTGGCTTTTAACTAACCTTAATCATCATAAATCCACATCTCCGCCCTTTTTTAGGTGCTGGTATGTTTGTCACAACAGTTGTGGTTGGTGTAATATCCTTTGTGTCGACTGTGACTTTGGCATCTCGTCCATTCACAAGAGATGTGTTGTTCTACTTGGGAGCTATGTCTTGGGTGTTTATCACCCTTTACAAGGAAAACATTACCGTGGGAGAGGCAATAGGTATATGGCTAAATAAATTCACAATATTATTGTAAAGCTTCAAGATAGAACATACGTACTTTTGTGCTCCAAGTTAGCTAAATAGAGAATATTACACGGTGGCGAGAAGATATGAATTTTACGTTCAAGTTGCTCTTGCCACGAGAACATAAAATTCATATCTTCGAGCTAACGTGTAATATTCTTTTTATTATATAAACATACTGATGAAGGCGTTTTTGATGATTTTCCCAAGATTTCCGACCACCTTCCTAAGATTTCCGAAGATTTTTCAAATTATCCCGTAGACCAGACGAACGTTCCCGAACATTTTCCGAAAATTTCCGAAGATGTCCGAAGATTGCCGAGCACTTTCGAGGAAGACCCGAAGATGTTTCGATGATACACCAACGAATTTAAGTACAATTTAAGAGACAAACCTGATGTCAGTGAAATTATCGATATCTTCACATGTAAAAATATCGTATTTTTACGTGTGTTCAGATACCACATTTCTCGGTGGTAGAAATCCTTGTAAAACACTGCAGTTTATATAATAAACAGATTTTTAAAGCACCGAGAAATTCATTTCGACATTTCGACATGTTACGAAAGATTCGGTGGTTGGGTGTCGCTGATTAGTAATCGTAAAGTTCTGAAAGTAATGACCCTTGTTACCTTTGGATTTAGCAGCCTTCTCCCGATCGCTACCTTTGGAGGGTCGCTACTTTGGGGAGGCCGTAACTTTCGGGTAGATAAAACATGTACCGTATAAGGCCGTACGAAGTTACAGAAATAATATCGCGACAAATGGGAAAAAATCCACAGTTTTTATTTAGAAAAATCTATTCCTGTTTTTGCCTTGTAAATAGAAATTCAAAAGTATTGTTTGATTACGGTATGGTTATTCACAGACGAAAGGAAAACTTTTAAAAGAAAAAAATGTAATTTACTTTTAGAGTTACATAAAGGAATGTCATAGATCATTATAACCGTTAAAAGTAAATCTCGGATGAGTTTAGTAAAGCTTGTTGTATCTATTATTTCCTTTATTTCTAGCAAAAAGGAAAATTACTTTTCAAGTTCCCTACTTTCAGGGTGTCGTTATTTTCGGGGGTCGCTAATTTTTTGCTAACATCTGTGAAATTTTATCGCTACTTTCGGAACTTTACGCGTAGCACAAAATGTTAGAATGGGCTTAAACAAGTTGCTGCAAATAATAGATGATCGCATGAAAGGCAGGTATATGGAATAAATATCAAATCTTTGTTTAACAAGTGACCACAGCATTAGTAAGTGAAATGGCGATCTTCCTTCTGAAGTTTGGATTTACTTACGGCCACTTCTGACTTACATTTCTATTGCGCACAGGTTTTATAGTATTTTACGTGGCTTACGTTCTTCTTGTTATCGTTGGCCGCTTTATCTACCAACGCTGGAAGAGGAAAATAGCAGCAATTGGTGAGTTTCTCTTTATTTTAAAGTAGTATTTTAAATTAATTCACAATGCCACCTTTGCAAGACACTCCTCTTACAAAGACTGCCAGCACTAAGACAGTCTACTTGTAAGTTGAAGTTAAATTTGTATCACTTTTAAAAATAAGTTAGACGTGAGAATGCATTTAAGGCCGGGCCCGTCCACACGAATCCGAACAGTTTTGAAATCATTCACAACTGCATCGCTAAAATGGAGGTTGGGTGCCTGGAGTATCCAGGGGCTTCCACTATTGGCAGCCAGCCCCTATATTGAAATAATGCCCCCATGAATGGCACAACAGCGCAACCCAGCCATGAGCCCCGACACCAAAGGAAAGGAACAGACACCCGTCACACTGAAAAACATCAGTGGAGAAAAACCAACAATGCCTAGGGGGAGGGCGGAAGGGGAAGAAAATGGCTGACAGAACCTCGGATCGATTTAGCCAGCTACTGGGCATACGCATGCCAAAGACCGCTGACCTCAGGCACTTAAGGCCCTCTTGGTTGTTAACTCCTTTAAATTGCATTTAAATGCATTATGTCTGTTTGCCTTATTCGTGTGGACGGGGCCTTAAACACCTCTGGAGGGCGGTTTCAAAACAATGCGGTTTCGGTCAGCGGATTCACTGCGATTCGTGCGGACGGAAGTGACGTAGCCTAAAATTACCCATAATGTAAGGGTCAAGCTAGACATTCTCATTGCCCGTTTCCGGTTTCTGCTGGTTATTTGACCCTTCGAGAAACGGACCCGCGACTTACGTCGCTGGCATTCGCTCGCTTTGCGAGTGTCCCTCGCACCTACAGCGCTCACGCAGTCGACTTATGCAAATTCTAGGGCAAAGCCGGTACTGGCCGTTTTGTGATTTGACCCCGGTGAATCCTTGTCCCTTGTACCGCTTATGATGTCAGCAGTGTTTAAGGTTATTTACAACTTTGACACTGAAATTGTTAAGGCCAAGGGATCCTTCAAGCAGTACACCCGGTGAGCGTAATTTAGTCAAACAGGCCAAAAAATGTAAAAAGAATCCAGTTACATAGTCTAAAAATTAGAATAAAAATCTTGGTTACCTACACATCTGTCAGCTTCCTTTGTAATATTTTCACAATCTAATGGGTTGTTGAGAAAACATTTCGTACTGAAATGAAGCTCAGTAAATGACCAGCTAAAGAAACACAACAGAACAGGACAGAAAGCAAAAGGTAACATTCTAGCTACTTTTTGTCGGTAACATTCGAAAACGTAGTGCAGTTTTGGTTCTTTTAGATATAGTGACCAGAAAACGGTTTGGCTTGCTTCACACGGCGTTTTACGGCATTGGCTCAACGGGTGAATGAGTTAATTGTTCAAATTAAAAATGGTAACTTAATCATTGGAGATGATGATGTTGATGTAGATGATGGTGATGACGTTGATGTTGATTTTGATGATGATGATGATGATGATGATGATGATGATGTTAGTAAATTTTACCTTACTAGTTGTTCGTAATCAAATTTGTCATTTTGTGCTACCGCTTAAAGTAGGACTTATTGATTTGCATTTCTTTCCTATACACATTAGAGCAAAAATATCTCTTTTTGTTTTACACCGTATTTGCTTTTTAAATGTACAATAAGAGTAAATTCCATAACAAAGCAAAGATTTATATTGACAAACAAAAAATAACAACATTAATGTGTAGTTATATAATTATGGTTTTGGATACCTTAATTGACAGACCGGTTTCTAGAGAGTGGTGATCATGTTGGAGTAAGACATATGAGAGATACAGCTGGAGAAAGCTCTGAGTCACTTATTGTTCCAGGCAATACCAATTCTGTTTCGTGTGATGTGAGCCCTGAGCAAAGCATGAGCGGAGAGAATCTGGATCATACTGTGTCAGGTATTGAATTAATCATTTTAGGGAAGATCCGACCGTGGACGGCAATGGCAACTGAAAAGGACGTCAAAAAATTAATAGGTTTTACGGGCAAATAGACCGCGAGCAGTGTCTCTTTTTCTTGGTCCGTCGAGCAAAACGCCCAAGACACGCAAATGACCACGCGCGTGACTGAAGGCGCGAGACGGGAGAGCCCTCGTTTCTCGCGTCTCGCGGCTTCGCCGCTCAACGCTCGCACTCGCGTGCACTCTCCCTTACTACTGCTCGCAGTCTAATAAACAAAACAACAGCTTCGCACTTGCATCACACGTTTATTGTGCATTTCTTTGGGTGTCACTGCACGACTTCGACGTAAAAATGTCTATTTTCACGTTTTATGGAGGAAGTAAACAAGCGACGACAAAATTCTTCTTTCTCTTTGTGAACTTTGATATTTTTCCTAGGGATTCAGCTCCAGTAACGTTCTCCTACGTTTCAGAAATTAAGTGAGTTGGAATAATCTCGATGGAGATTGAAAGAAAGCGAATTCACTCAGCGACGTTTTCGCTGCCCTCGCCGTCCTCAGATCTTAAGGTCCCTATTTTAGTATAAAAAGAACGTTGAGGCTGACTAGAATTAACCCGCCAGATTTTGCAAACAACACGCAAAAAATGTTCCCTTACTTAAATCAAGAACGATTAGCATTTTTCTATTCAGTTCTTCACTCGTTCTTGCACCCAGGATCTTGCGTTAATATGATCTGATATGATTAAATACGCAATGGTCTTTCTCTAATTTTCTCCCACTGTATGAGGGCAACATGGAAAATCAAGGAACGCTATACCCGGTCTTTCTTTTAGGAAGAGACGGGTTTTAAAATGGCCTGGGTTTTTCCTTCGTCGTCGAATCGCCCTCTGCTCTTTAAAGCGCATGCCTGTACTGGCGGAATATCACGTGATCGATTTCCGGCAAATTCATTGGCTTAGAGGCAAAATCTCCTTGACGTGTTGTCGAGAACAAAAGGCAGCTTTTTTGTCAGTCGGTAGCCAATCTCGACCCAGAGCTCTTCTGCCCCTGTAGAGGAGAGAGATCAAGAGGGTACGCGCATTCCCAAACCCGTAAGCACTGGGGTCGAGAATGAGTCGGTGGCGTTAACGTTGTGGTTTTGTTGCCTCTATGATAGCCTGAATTTTATCCGATTACTTCGAGTCGTTATTACTCCCTCAGTTGTTGAGAGGAGAAAACGACTCGAAGCAATCGGATGAATTTCAGGCTACCTCTATGAGAGATCGACTATTATTTTGCTCGAAATGTTTAGTGATATGTGTTGTCTAGAGGATAATGTATCCCGGAACTGTCAGACAAACACAGTGGCTCGATCCGTTTAATGGAGATCGGCGTTGCGATCGCTGTTTGCGAGAAGAAAAAAATGCTAAAAAGGTGGGTAATTTTCACTTTTTATGTTTACACAAGTCACGAGAATTTATATAGCGGGTGAAGAAACACTATTGGGCTTTGTTTTGGCGAGTAACCGTGTACCGAGTTGTAAGGAAGAAGAAGTTTTGTAAAACGTATAGTCTGCTACACAGCCGGTTTTAGAGTCGTCACGCAACGCTCCTCCCCACTAACGGCTTGTGGGGAGGAGCGTTTCGTGACGACACTAAAAACGGCTGTGTAGCAGGCTATAAAACGTATGGACCTTTTAACGTTTCGTGCTAAATTGTACAACTTGACTGTTCGATCTGTACAAACACACAAGTCACTGCAAACACCTTAGAAATTTTATTCTTCATAGCTTTTATCGCAAAACAGTAAGACACATTAGAAAATTGAAAAGCAGAGAAATTGCTTTGATTTAATATTAGTAGCATAGCATAGTTTGTACCTAGTTGCAGGAAAGTGGCAGTAAATTACCGTTTCGGTCCATTAATTTTCATTCATCAAAACAAACAACCACTCTGACTGTTCATCGCAGAGGTTTGTGCTTGGTCCAAGTCTCGTGCTTCCCGGCTTTCTCGGTATAAAAACGGAAACTTACTATTTCGATGGAAAGAAATATTCTTTGACTTATTTTGGCATATATGGATTAACTTGTATCGAGCTCGCACGGAAGCGGCACGTAGGGTTGTTTGATGCTAAAATTCGACATGATTTTGATCGATCAAACGACGTCTCATTGTTAAATTAAATCAAAGATTACATGTAAGCTTATTATAGCTTTTTAAAAAATGGGCGATTGCTTACTATCGAATTTCGATCTTGCAAAACTCCATTTTGATCGATCCAACGTACATTATTAGAAATTTCAAAATTATCTATGCTAGAAATTTTCCTCTTTGCTGTGCTCAGCTAACTGTACATCAGTCAAACTTGCAATTAATGTATCAGTCAATTCCAGCTGCGCCCAGCCCCGGCGGCATTAGCATTTTTTTTTTTTGACTTGGATGGCAAATTCCCGGGGGTGGGGACTCTTGAGCTGTTAAATCCCCTGGGGTGGGGACGAAAAAAGAGGGCAAATGCCCCGTCCTCCGTCAACACTACAACATTTTTCATTGATACAACAGTCGAGCAGTGCCATTTTAAGCATTTTAATGTGCGATTTTTTGTTTCAATTAACGTCTTCCTTTGTAATAGCGCGAGGATTCTAATTAAGACTTCACGCCGTGACGACACCAGTTTATGATATCAGTATTGTTATAAAATTATTGACATTAAAATTAATAGTGCGCTGTAAAGTTTACCGCCATGAATAGTTTTATAAATATGAAAGGATTTTCTTCAAATAATATCAAGAAGAACTTGATTCAATAACCAAAAAAAACGTTGATTCACGTCGATAGCTCCCGAGTTCCGCTATGTAATTCTGCCTTGATAAGCACTGAAGAAAAGCATGCATAAAATCGAGAACATGCCTTCACAAACCTCTTCAATTTTTTCCCGTCCTTGACAAATGAGCCGCTCTGCTTGTTTTTGCAGTAAAATCCTCTGTGTGGTTATATGCTGAAAGGAAACCGCGTGCGTGTTAAAAGCTCGGGTTTGGCCCCGGGTTTGGCAAATACCCGGCCTCCGGGCAGCGAAAAATTTGCGAATGCCCCACCCCTGGGACTGACAAGGCGGGCAAATGCCCCGCAGTAGCCCGGGGGGAGGGGGGCTGGGCGCAGCTGGAATTGACTGATGCATAAAAGGATCGACAAATCGATTATAATATTTTGTATTTTAAGTTGGTTTCGGGATTATCCTCAACGAGGTACACAAGGGTATAGGTTTGGGTTTTCTGTGGTTACTTCTTTGCTTGTTTTTGAATAAATTACAAGGCAATGAAATATTGACATATCCTTTACTTATTTACTTTTTTTTCAGAGAAGATGAACTTGATCCCAAATCAAACGATAAGTGCAGCAACACTTTTCGAAGTTTTCTGATGATGATTAACTAAAAGAAGATGCCGGTAGTTTGTCTTTGAAGTGTCTGTATGAGAATGACAATAATATGAATAAAGATCTTACTCATGGGAAGATCTGGGTTTTTAGTTTTTTGTAGTTTAGCGTGTACAATAAACACTTCAATAACCAGAACAAATTTAAAATCCTGGCATAATTATTCCAACCATTATGTTCTCTTCCTCTTCATAAAGGGTGTTATTTCAAAGATTTTTCCCTCAAAATATTAATTTACTACCTAAGACTGTGACTGAAGCTTATGCTAATTTAAAGAAAAAGAAAACTAGCTGCAACACTACTTTGAAGCAAAACATTGTTATGCAGTCATGGTCAAGTACACCCCTTTGGAACGTTCGAGTCTAATTTCCAGTCTGATTTGCTGGCCGGTAGTATTTTGTTTCCATTTATTCATCGTCAATTCATCATCAAAGTTCATATGGGTTGTGGTACATTACTGCATAGTGCACATTTTCCCCCGGCGCTCTATCATTTTATAAACGAAAAGAAGGCCGGGTTACGCACTCGTGCGTCTTGTTCAACTTATAAATTGTTGTTTTTCATGTTAACGTGTTTCTAACGATTGCGTTCACCACACAATTTGACCCACACTACATTTCGCTTCTGCCGCTCCACGGCCGGATTAATTGAAGTAAACATGTGTTTGATGGTTCTATGTTTATTTTTAATAACAGAACTGGTTTTATTTTGTTCCTTAGATGCTATGTTTGCTACAGAAAACACACTATTTGCTCCCGCTATTCACCATATTCCTAAGCAAGAGAGAGTGAGCATTCTCTCTTGTCCTGCCTCAGGTAAGAGCGCTACCCGTCTTTCACCCTTTAGACTAATCAATCACTCACCTTTGTCAGGGGCATGCACCTAACGACTTTTTCCCATAAACTATTAAACTGTTCGAAGGAGCAAATATTGCCAAGAAATTTAGCCTAAAGCTCGAGAAAAAATTTCTGAATAACCGTTCTATTCGTCTAAGATATTCGGAATTTTTGTACTAACTTACTTACTTTCGGAGGCTGACTTTGTCACATTTTCGCAGGAGCAAGATTTGCATGGGATTATTGTTAAAAAGAATATTTCCAACCGACAATTAACTTCCCGTTCTGACTCCCTTTCTTTTTATAGTTATTGATTTGAAAGCCTGCTTGGCTTGAACGGTCGTAGCCTGAGAAAACAGCCAATATCTTCTGATTGGTTAAAGCAAATTTTCAACCAATCAGAAGCACTACCCAGATCTGGGAAGTAACACGTCATCAGTATGGAATTTCTGCGCTCGTTTCTCAGACGTCATTTCGTGGGAAAACCAGTGGTGCGTCGCGAAATGACGGCTGTTTTCTTAGACTAGAGGCGCTTTCCATTTAGGAAAAGAACCCGGAAATTTCGGTGGGAGCAAAAGTGGAATTTCCGATTGGTGAAAAGTTGTTCCATTTGGTCTTAAACCCCGGTACGTCGCGGTGCCCGACCGTGGACCTGGAACTGGTACAAACTACGAGAAACGTAAATGGAACACGACCTCCGTTCGGAAATTCCAACCGGGAAAACGGGCCCACCTTTTTAGATTTTCCAATTTTTCTGGGAATTTTCCAGTGGGACGAACCGACGATACGTGTTCCATTTACCGCCGAACCAGAAATTCCGGAAATTTTGACTAAATGAAAAGCGCCCTAGAGCATTCGAACGTACACAATGCAAGGAGGGAGTGACCAATCTCCATCCTCAAGAAAGTCAGCTGTTCTCGTTGTTCACAGCTGACAGTGATGTATTTTATATCATTGAAACTATATAATAAATTGTTGCGTCAACTTGGCTTTTAGCTGAAAGATCACCTCTCTTGGCCAGAAAACAAAAGATCAGTGAGTGGCGAAAGTTCCTGCAAGGACTGGAACCTTTTGATAGAGAAGAATGGAATCAAAGTGGCAATCTCTGGAGGGTTTTTATTGTATTTAAGGTAAGAATATTGTCACGTTTCTCCATCTCTTTCTTATTACAAGCTCGTATATTTTGTCTGTCTGCACTCTTCCTCCTTGTTTGCCGACAATGAGCGCCAGTTTTTATGTAATTCGGAGTTCTAGAAGAGCATATTATGTTTTAATCAAACGGTTGAGAAATCAGGTTCGAGGAGACAGTCGAAAGTTTTGGCTGCGTTCTTTAGTTGTCAGTTACCTCATATAATTCTTGTTTCCTGTGTGGAAATACCGTAACCTTCCTCTGATAACTCCCCCCAAGTCATAGGCCCATCTACCGGTAAACAAAAAAATACATTCGTTTATAAGCTCCCATACCCCTGTAGCTTTTACTGAAATCATTTCGATTTTTTTACGACGTTTTCAAGCTTAAAAAAGCGAGCAAATTTTAAAGTGTATTTTGATAAGCACTACTACCCACGTAGCTTATTTTGAAACGTTTTTTCTTAAGTCCGGTCATAAGCCCTCCCGCATATAAGCTTATCCGTTTATAAGCCCACCTACAACCCTTTACGAAGTTGTATAAGCCCAGGACTTGTAAGCGGAAGTTTACGGTTTTATCTTCACATTAAGAGCACCACAGAATGTTTTAAGATAACAAGTTTGTGTATTGTCCGCAGGTTCCTGCTGTATTTTTTCTAAATCTAACCATTCCAGTGGTAGACTATGATAAAAAAGATCATAATTGGAACAAGTGGTTAAACGTACTACAATGCTTAACAATGCCAGTATTTGCTGTTGTTGCAACAAAAGGTTGGTAGACGTTGCCTATAATGAAAGATATTAATAGACCCCTTCAAGTTAGGGAAAATTCGTCAGCACAACTGGAAAGAGCGCCTTCATATTAGTGAGCATACTTGCCAAGTATGAAGGTGATAGGTCTTAATCGAGCGAAGATATCAACCTCGCCCCCAGGGCGCTTTTCCCTGGCTTTGAGGTGGGGCAGGAAAAACTCTGGTCTACCTGCCATCTTCGGTGTTTTGTTTATCGTATGCTAATTTAGTACACCCACAAATTGTGGGTGTTTGGTGGTCATGTGACCGGCCGATGCCAGGGCCTTTTCCCGCTCCACCTCCAAAGCCAGGGAAAAGCGCCCTGGGGACGAGGTTGCGAAGATATAGCTTCGCAAATTTGCCAGAATTTACAGACGTTTGCATGGGGGGGGGGGGCAAATTTGTTCTCCCACATTACAAACGTCTGTAAAATTTCGCGACTTTGAGGAGCTGCGACTTCGTTAGTTTTCCAGAAATCACCGTCAAACTTGGCCATTTTACTAATTTGAAGGCGTTCTTTCCAGGAGTCGACGGATTTTCCCTAACTTGTCCTTATCAAAAGTTGAAAAAAAAAAACCGTGGAAAAGTCTATTCATCGTGGTATGTGTATGAAAGGGCTCGTTTATGATTTGCCTCACGAATAGTCATTTTATTTTTGATTTACAAGAAATGTGGCTCTCGCAGCCTTTAGTCTGTTATGTTCTTTCGTAGTTTTTCTCGAGCAAGTAATCGGCTCCTGCCCACGGCTCTCCTGTTTTAAATGCTAATAGGTGAATAATCAATCAATCAACGGGAAAAAATTCCAGCGAGCTACGTGGCACTTTGAAACGTAATTCAAGGAAATGTTCATGTAAAAGTAAAACATGAACAAGAGTGCTGTGTTTTTTGTGCAATTGTTTTCCAAACGTTTTAGTAGACTGCGTAGCAAGTCCCGGTTTTTTTAGGGCAAGGGGACAAATTTCGAGACCACGCGCGCGCACGAGGGGAGGAAAGGAGAGGAGGCTTCTCTCTCGCGTGTTCCCCTTGCGCGTGTTTTAAAAACTTACCAAAAAAACTAAGTTTCTGGCGTGGCCCTTTATCTGCAGAATTACAATTACACGGCTCTTTTGTTTATATTTTACTTTAAATGAACAAATCCTTGGAAAGTAAGTGAATTACTGTAACTTTTCAGATGTTGATTTGTTGGAGAAGCAGAGGCCAAGTTAGTGTATGTTAATCCTGACCCTACTCGGTTTCTTGTTATCCTCAGTTAGTGGTGTTATGATTGGTGGAAGGTTTCCTGTGTGGGCGTTGGCGCTGTGTGGTGGACTTCTACTTGCTGTCATTGTTGCGATGACAACTAGGAGTGACAGACGGCCATCTGGCCACTTTGTAAGTATCTTCAGCCCCAAACAGCATTCAGTAATAAAATTGAATTCCCCTTGAAGCGGTAGGAAATGTCCCAGCGCGGCTGAGAAACTGTCTGTAAAATGAACTCGCAGAGTTGTACAAGCAAACGTTGGAAGGTTTATTGGTTTTAGAACCTCCTATTAAAATTTCCAGACGCAGTTTAGTAAGCTTTGACAGTATATATTGTGGACTTTTTAGTCTTTACTAATACTTTCACTTCATTAGCAACATCGAGGTAAAGTAACCCTCACTGGCCTCTGGAAAATTTTTCCCTTATCCTCAAAGAAAGCAAAACATAGATCGTCAATTTGATTTGATTTTACTTGTTTCAGATTCCGCTGAATTAAAATCGGACGCAGGATATGCCGTGACAGCCGACTTTTGGTTTAGTGTTACACGATGTGCCATTTGCAATAAGATTATGCGCTCAAATCGAGCTATACAATACACACTGTACGTAATGTCTGTAAGAGCTGTAAAACAAAGTGAATTCAAAGTCTCTACTTAGTAAGAACATGTACTCTGGGATAGAAAGTATCGCGGGCATCATAAGAATGGAAGGGATTGTAATTTCAAGAAGTTACAATTACTTTCCTGGCAGAAATCGTAAAGTGCTTGTTTTGTCTTTTCAGCTGTTCGCTTACTTGGCATTCGTTGTATCAGTTATCTGGATCTACACGACAGCGAACGAGATTGTGAACGTACTACAGGTGAAGTTGCATAATTAACCGTTAAAGAGAAGAGTGATCCGCCCTGCACCATTTTCTCCTTGTAATATCTTTGCGTCATAAAATATTTTGGTCACGAGAATTAAGGAATCGATCAGATAAGATGAATTTAGTTGACACTCTAACAACCTCTTGACAATACTTCTATAGGCGAATCTTTGCTGACGTCATTGTTTACATTTTTCCTCATTAGCATACGACTTAACTCACAGAAGCCGTGGCCGTATATACGAACTAAATGCAAAAGTTGAAAGAGCTGATTAAGTGGAGCAATTTTTGCAATTTTCAGCTCTTTGCGAGCAATATTGAGGGAAATATCAGCAATCAAAAACTGCGAAATTGCTGTGTGGCAAAAAAGTTAATGAGCCATACATTCTCTGTAAAATTTCCAGTTTTCAGAAGAGAATTTCTCCGAAACCATTAGGTGTTTTGGGCTCAAATTTTCAGGGATAACTGAAACTGTTATGCTCTTTCAATATTCAGAGTTTTTATTTTATTAGCGTCTTCAGATAGTGATAAGCATATGTTAATGAGGCAAAAAGTGTAAACAAAGATTCGCCTATAGGAAGTGTTTATTAGGGTTTAGGGGGTTGCAACGTCCTTGACCCGAAAACATCAAAAGCGCGAATAATAGTCACGTGATAAAGGTGTATACTTAAACTCTTAAACTTGCTCATGAAGATGATTTTAAGTACAACCTGGGTCTCCCTTTCAATGTTCTTGAAACATAATTACCCCGACCAAAGTACTCGGCTAGTAACTAACAACTTAGCCGCGAGACGGGAGTTAGATTGAAGGATGCGTCGCATGTTATGTTTGTTTTTCAGACCTTTGGTATCGTGTCCGGTATGAGCGATGCTATTCTTGGCCTGACTTTTCTAGCCTGGGGAAACAGCATCGGTGGTAAGTTTCTTGCCTTTCAATAACTAACAACTTAACTTTTTACTTGTGGAGGCCTGTGTAGTGGTTCTGGAGGTCCGTGGTTCAAGCCTCGCCCGTCGCGTTGTTTCATTAGATAAGGAACTTTAGTCAACTTTGCCTCTGTTCACCCAGGTGTATAAATGTGTACCAGCGACATACTGCTGTTGATGGGGGGCGGCTGTTGTGGTAACCGTGCGATTGACCAGCATACCGTCCAGGAAAGAGTAGCGATACTCCTAGGCATACTTCATGTTAAGGAGACCGGGATAAGCTCCGGCCAAGGAACTTGCAAAATATGTTTGCTATAACGAGGTTTCGTTATATCGAGGTTCTTTTTCGTTTATTTTACTTTCCCTGGGGTGAGAAATTTGTCTTTATACCGTGGACTTCGTTATAGAGTTTCGTTAAATCGAGGTTCCAGCGTATTAGTGTTTAACTGAATAACGTTACCTTTCCAACTGAATTTGTCCACCCTCTTGGCTGTACTGTACAATAGTTTTGCTAAAGAGGTTTCATTTGAATGGTCAGTAACACTACAGCCCAGTCAGTACCATTCTCGAACGTGTGTGTGAACGTGAGTGTTTTTAACTATTGTTTTGGTTAATTCCTCAGATTTAGTATCCAACACTACCATGGCGAGACAGGGGTTTTCTCGTATGGGTGTATCAGCTTGTTTTGGAGGTCCTTTGCTTAGTATCCTTTCAAAAACGCAAGAGAACGACGAAAAGGAACTTTCGACTTGCTCACTAGTCGACGTTTTTGAGCGACGAATTCACGAAAGCGAGCGACGACATTAGGCTCTTCATAGCCAAAAACACGTGGATTAACTGATAGACGACCAATAACATCGATCAATAACATCGCGACATTGACCACTCCAGAAAATACCATAACTTACCATAATGCTCTGTTCGTCACCCCAATATTTTGCATAAGCATTGTTTTCAGTTTCTCTTGCGGCCATTTTAACTCCCAAGAGAAACTGAAGACAATGCTTATGCAAAATTTTGGGTTGACAAACAAAGAGCATTATGGTATGTTATGGTATTTTCTGGAGTGGTCAATTGATCAATCAGGTCAATAACCAGAGTTTAACACGATCAACTGACGTGGTACATAAAGTAACGTCAATTCGAACGTGTTTGTGTATGATTACTCCTCAGTTGTAATAGTTCTTAACTCCCTTTAGATATGCTATTAGGTATCGGTATCTCCTGTACATACCTCACCATATCACGTGGACATGCAATACCGGTAAGTAGCTCATGTTTGTTCATTTGATAATTTATTTATGAACAAAAGATAAAGTTATACAGTATCGTATGCCCCGCAAATAGCTATCAAGGTGATCTATTTCAATAATGCATATTTATCTCGGTTTCGTATACATAGTACTGCGGAAAAATTCAATGCTGACGTTTGGACGTAATCGCCTAAAACGACTGAGCCTGCGACCACACAAAAAAAAAACAGTACGTGCAAGTCACTTTTCTAGTCCCCGTACGGAGTCTTTCCAGGCCTTCTGGGTCAATGCATCTCGGTGACGTGTCGCTCAGACCACGTGACCCGAAATGAATAGGCCGCGCGGAAATACTGAGGCCTAGGAGCGAGGCAAGCAAGCCACTTTAGCCGACACTATCTGTTAGCAAAAGGGAAAAAGAAGGCTTTCCCTCCCTCAGTCCCTTTAAAAAATGTTGTGCAGCTGTTTAAGCTACATGTTAGAAACTTCATTAAACAACCCGACTTTGAATGGGAAGTCGAAGGGATCCAGATTGTTATGTTCTTTGAAATATACAAGCCCTAGTTGACGACAATTTTTGCTGCCCATTGAAGTTACAGGAAAAGTGTTGAACAGTTGTGCTTTCTCAGTTTTGTCTACATTCTGTGCTGAAAGTGGCTTTAGTGTTTTTAAACGACAATTTGTTCAAACGCCTATTTTGCACAATGAGGAGATCTGCCTACAACTACCAGAATCCTTCAGAATTCATATTTTTGTGCAAATTGATCCTGTTATTGGTTAAATATTGAATTTAAATATGAAAGCAAACATTATGAACTCAAATGAAGACATTTTGAAATGACATTTGTATCTAGTTCAATAATTTATGTAACAACAATCTTCTTTTGTTCCTTCTCTATCCAGTTACGTCACAACTATAATCAGTACATAATCTCCGCAGGATTCCTCGCCACCAGTCTTAGCTCGTCCGCCATTGTGATTCCTTTGATGGGTTTCAAAGTACCCCGGATGTATGGCGTTTATCTCATACTCTTGTATATAGCTTACTTAACTACTTCTATTGTGGCTCAAATTAAGCATTTTTGATGTAGAATATAATTCCATTCTACAGTAAACTAAGGTATATAAAAGAAGATACTTAAAACTGTTTTCTAGGGCGAAGAGTCAGGGCTGGCAGACCAGACCACTCAACTTGAAATTGTCGAAATTTCGCCAAACTTATCACTGGTTTGCATACTATTTATGAATCGACCGATCTAGTTGAATAGCCCTGATTTATTGGAATTCTCTCTTGGAGTTGACTGGTATGACCGGGCATGTCTGATAAATGTGTAGCGCCTTAAGAAAGATGCGATAAGTGTTATATTTGATCCTTTAAATTAATATTTTTATGCCCACGGTGGTGAATGGAAGTGCTATGAAATGGTATTGAAAAATAATTTAAACAATTGTTATTTAAAGTTATGGTATTTTTAAATTAATTATTCTTATCGTGGCCTATAATGCCAAGAACTTTTTCTAACTAAATTTTTAGTTTTTAGGTCAAAAATATTTAATCTTGTTCCCTTTTTTACATTGTTTTCTTCAGCAAATGACAGAAGTTTTATAGTCTCATACTTTATAGATAAACATTGTAATTTACTTGTAAAAATTGGTCTTTTTTTAAAGACGGGTTCAATTTTCGTAAATTTAATTTCGAAATCCCTCAAACTGGAACAGATTTTTTAATGCTTTGAATATTTGACAATTCAAAAAATGTAACTTAAGGAATGTATTGGTATCTAATGATAATGTACACAAACATTTGTTGTTATTGACTGAGCGACCACTAAGTCTTGACATTGAGGGTGGTCTAACCTTACGCGAGGCTTGCCTTAGTTAGAACTAGTTAACCTCAGGTGTTACACTGAACCTATCAAATTAGTAGTTGGAATACGGTGTTTTCTAGTAGTCAGAGACTGCTTTCCATGGGATATGGGGGGGGGGGCGTTAATCCGCTCCACAATTCGAGTGCTCGAGAAATAGTCAAAAAACCTTGGCTGAATTGGTCAAAGCCAGCCACTTAGTGATAAACCTGGGTTAACTGCTAACCGGGCATATGAGTTACTGTCAACTTAGATCATTTTAAAACAGTGGAAGGGTTTGAAGAGAGTAAGGTGGGGGGGTGGGACAAACTGCCCCAAAAAGGCAAAAGGTAGAACTAATTTTGTCGGCAGCCAGTCGAACACGCTCAACAAGTTGTCTATTTTTTATCACCGGAAAAGAGAGGCAGCGCGCCTGGTCCTCTGTAAATGAAAATCACTCGTTCTAAACGTACATCTTAAAGTATTTTGTATATCCAGAAAATGAAAAACAATGCATTTTTCATGCATAATTAAAAGTTTTATCAATTGTAAATTTGTAACGATGTCTTGTTTAAAAGTGTCCCACAGAGTCGTTATTTTTGTTGTCAGGCTGGCGTTACGTTTCAAGACAAAGAACCGCTGCATAGGGGTACAGCCAGCGAACAAGGGCCCTCGACAGAGGGTGTGCCATAAAAAGACAACCTCGTCCCCAGTGCGCTTTTCCCTGGCTTTGGAGGTGGGGACGAGGTTGATAAACACACGGACATACCGACAGATACACGGCTTTTATTTTCGCCTAAAAAGCTGAAACGGGATTGTCTCTAAGGAGTGTAATTTTCAGATTAAGGTGATGGAGATCGCAGTTTAAGCCTCCGTGAAAATTGGAATTAAACTACAAAATAAAGGTCAATCTGTTACGTTTATCTTCCCGCACATCTACTAGAAAGGGCCTATGATTTATGCAATAGTTCTTTACGACCACTTGCTGTTGGTCCAAGAACTTTTTAAGGAAAATCCATAGCCAGACTGTTGAATACCTGGTTGAATTCAACAACATAATCTGTGCATTTCTCTCCGTGAAAACTTGAGACCGTTCAGTCTCCCTCGTCTCTGGATTGGGCAAATATTGTTTTCTTCGTTTTGTTCGTCATAACCTGAGAATACATTAGTCCCTCCTCGTTTCTCGCCATGGGGAGACGTTTCGTGAAATGTCCCTTGCGGAAATGAGCGTACCCTACTGGCAGGGAAAAGGGGCAAGGATAGACGACTTTATTCGCCGTCTACTTTCGTAGTACAGTGGAACCTATCAGTATAACGGACGATTTTCTTTACCCCATGTGATAGTAAAATATATGGAAAAGTAACTCGATACAACGAAACCTCGCTATAGCGAACCAATTTTGCCAGTCCCTTGGCACTTATATCGAGGTTCCACTGTAAATAAATTCAAAGAATCTGAGATTGAGAATCTTATTTGGATTCTACTGAAAAACGTGCCCTCAGATGGACTGACACCAGGAGCCGATCGGCTCTTGCTGACGCATACTCTGAATCTAGTTTCCAATCCCTTTTACTCGAGGGCCACTTCCGATTATTCTGAACGATTGATTCCGGATTGATTGATTGACTAAAAGAGGCGATTAAACTAAAAAGGTGTCCTGCTAAGAGAAATAAGCACTTGGTACAAGCAGTTTGCTTTCACCTCCCTTTCTGAACCAGCTAAAGGCTTGAGTGGGTTTAAAGGCCGTTTGAAGGTTGTAGACCTCGCCTGCGACATGAATGATAGTTTACGGTTTATACAAAGCGAGGAAATATTTCCCAGACGGGCCACACGCTGCTTCCGTCCCAGCAGCAAGTTTATTGACGAAATATTAACAAAATCGCTTTAAACAAAGCTTTTATTATCACTTTCATTGAAGCTCAAGTTCATTAAAATGCGTTCAAGCAAGAGATTCTTTGAGCGACTTTAATTGTTAAGCCAATTTAAAACCAACCTCGTTCCTATGGGATTAAAAAAAGCGGCGAATAAACTTGTTATCACTTCGTTACCCGAACCAAAAACTACGTACAAAAGCGGAAAAATAGTCTTCATGATATGTCTTTCATAACCGTCAAGTTTGGAGGTACGTTTTTGAGATCTAACTGCGAATTATTTGATGTAAGTTCATTGTAAAGCTTGAAGAAGTTTGTCTTAATTGCTTTTCGATGCAGACAACGAAGAAGAATTGTTTAATCCAAACTGCGTGACGGTAAACTTGCTGGACAACCTAAGAAGACGTTGTGGATGTCAAAAAGGAGGTTGGTTTATTTTCCGTTTGTTTACACTTTATTAGTTCTATTTTGCCAGGGTTTTTCTAATACACACATATAATGAGGTGTAAATCGGCGTTTCAAGAGTACTCAATGTTAAATAAATTTGTGTTTACATCAGAATACTTGGAAACAGTGTTGTATCATCGGTGTGCGGCCGATCAGTCTCGCCGTAAAACTGCCTGTAGCCTGAATTAGCTTAAGGCAAGTTTCGGGCTTTGAAGGATAGGAATTTCGCTTTGACTAACTGCATCTACTGTACATAAGGTCATGCAGACTTAGTTCTTTGTTTTTGGCGGCATAAAATCAGTGACAAAAGAAATGGTAACAACTAAAGTGGAGTATAAAAGTTTACTTCACACAGTACAGTGTAACAACAGCACTCAACTCGAACGCGAAGGACAGGTCTCAATCCCATGATATCTCGACCCTTATTGTCTAACCGTTTATCATGCCGTTATCATGCCCTTTCTCACTCTGTTGCCTTATATTTAATCAATATTCTCGCTGTATTAAATGAACACGTTACTAGACAAGTGTCCATGATGTAAACAGGCCGTGACATAGCCTTGTCATATAAACGAACAATGCAGTAGTTGTCCCTTCTGTAGCACTGTCAGTTGTGTGTTAGCAAGCCGGAACTGCCTGAATGTTTGATGACAAGTTGGCTCACTGTTTATTTTCGGCCGTCCGTTCTAGTTTTAAGTGTTAACTTCACCAACTTGCTGCTTTGAAGCTCTTTGACTTAACTGATCCATCGTGAAGGCACCCCTTTCAAAGGATAAAACGAATAAAAATTTGCTCCGTATCTTTTTAAAGTCCTGGTCGTAGAAACGTTTAAGCCGGGAATGTCCAGAATGTGCAGCACTAACGTTTACGAAAGTAGGTTGAGTTTGATCGTCCGGCTGAACGTAGTCCTGACAGTGACTGACGTTTCGACAATCTGTGCGGTAGTCATCTTCAGAGTCTTACTTTTGAAATGACTCCTGGGTTCAAACCTTTCACACTGACGTTTACGTATGGTAAACATTTTCCCAAGTTAATAATAATAATAATAATAATAATCTTTATTTCTTAAGATTTAATTACATATCCTAAGTTACAATATAAACTCAAAAAACTATTTACATATCATATCTAAAAATTATTCTGTTACTAAAAACGTTCTTAAACCTGTCAGTGTAGATTCTAGGGACAGAGACTGACGTATTTCTAAGATTGTACCTCGTGTTCTTTTCCTTAGGTATAAACTGGAAGAAGGGACATTCGGGGTCATTCGATCTTTTTTGTAGAGTGTCTTGTCCGCCTTCTCTAGCAAGTCCCTGATATTTACATTCTTGGACATAAACTTTCTTTTCATACACCGGTCTAAAAAATTCTGGATTACAGAAAGGTCTGAATCTGAGGCACCATAAACCGGCAGAGCGTAACAAAAATTTGGTAAAACTATTGCGTTAAAAAGGTGATCTACTTCCCCCTGGGACATTCCTTCCTTACGTAAAGATCCTAATACGAATATTGACTTGTTCGCCTCAATTACCTTCGCGCGCACGTGACTACTGTATTTACAATTTTGTTGGAAAGTAACACCTAATATGAACAACTCTACGCACTGCGGTAGTGCGTTAGCAAGCTAGCAAGTTAGCCTGAACATCTTCTTACATAAATGTTAATTAGCACAAATTTAGGCTATTTAGGTTCGTAAATTGGTTCTTGTTTTCTTAAGACAAAAAAAACCGGAACATTGTAGCTGAGAATATTTAGTGGTATTCAGCTCATTCCTTATACTAGGTAACACCTGTGTAAACCGTTACAATTGCAGCAGAGCCGTAGCTAGCGGGGGGGTTGGGGCAGGGGGTAGCTGCCCCCATGGATCAATTGAGCCAGAAAAATCAAGTCTGTGGATGGATTTGTTTTCTTTAGTCTCAGTTATTTTGATTGTAGTGACTTGCAATTGTTTGCTATTTTCATGGCCGAGAAATAAAGGCACCTTTGTCTCCAACGAGGATCTTGGACGTTGACTTATCTTATTGCTTAAGTGTTCAGAATTCTTGTATAGATTTTAGAAAATAAGAACCTGTTTCAAATTTTAGGGTAAACAGGTTTTTGTATAGAGGAGGCCTAACTGGCAAATTAATCAGCCCAACAGGTTCTTAAAAACCAAGGTCTTTTACGCTCACGGATTTTTACCGTAATTCAAGTGCGCCGCCTGCCGATCTAGGATTGCTTTAATTTCCTTCAGTTTGACCACTCTCCACCACAATCATAGTTCTCTCCATCCATTTACTGACTAACTGTTAATTCAAAATAAACAAAAATTGTATAATTGTCACCCTGCTCTTCATGTAATCTCTATATATTGCTTTAACGTACATATATTATTATTTTAAACGGTCAATATTAATTGCGTGTTTGATTTGTGCTTCTCTGCTTTATAGTAACTTTGGATTTGTCTGATGAAGACGGCGACATTAAAAATCTGCATGAATTTCCCACTCAATACGCTCACAGATTCCTCAAGGGGAGAGAAGTTTTTGTGCTCGTTAAGGTTGAAAGTAAGTTCCATTGAAGTCGCATAAACGCCCTGCGATTTTTCATCCCACAAACATTTTGAATCAGCAGCATTCTAGCGCTTTCAATTAATGGGTTAACTCAGTGTATGTTGCAGAAAGTTAAAACCCTCACCACAAAATAACACTCACTTAGAACTCACACTCTCGCTGGAAAGAAAACCAAAGTCTTCAATGCTTAACTTTTGTAGTCGCCGATAAAAGCAGGACGTAGTCCCGCCGTGTCTCCGGCCTCTGCTCTGATCTGTGGTACGAGGCAAAAGGGGAGCGCGATTTACGAACAGCAAGCGGCTAGAAACCAAGCCGATTTACGGCTTACTTTCATGTCGCAATCACTGTCATTCGTTCGGTCTATTCCCCGCACGGTATTGCCCAGCTTTTTCTAAACGTGCCCCAACTCCGTTTGTAGATAGTGAACTAATTTTCTATAGATGCTTCCAAGAACCCGACCTGATGCATGTTCGCTTTTTTTATGATACACATGTATTTTTCTATATATTTTATTTATATATTTGAAATAGTTTGCAGGGGCCCGTTTCTCCAAAGTCCCGATAACTTTTGGGGCCCGAAATCAAATATTCAAATCAAAATAAAAAGAATTAAAGCGCGGGTCCTGGATAGCAAAATACTCCATTTTGTTTCATTAACTGATAGTTTTATCATGTTAGATGCAAAACTATTGAAACTTCTATCTTGCATGTAAACAACAACAGAACAACAGCTTTACGGGCCCGTTAATCATCGGGACTTTTGAGAAACGGGCCCCAGTACACAATAAATTTTTGTTTGTGTCGGTAAAGGAGTGCGAATAGAATGATACAAATTGTGGAATCGATAATTCAGGGCGAAGGTGTTTTCTTTAAATTGCACTTTTTTAATCGTCTGTTACCCCAGATTGTAATCTTTGGTCAGGTAAACCAGTTTTTAAACTTTTAAAATGTGACAACTCCCATGGGAAACTTATTCCATATTTGGGTTGGTTACTTTTTATCTGCCCATTCAGACCGCTTGCATTTTTCAGTTGGAAAAGTGAAATTGATTTTAGTAATTTTTCTTGCTGTTTTCTGTTTATTCACTCTAGAAGGCGAAGGAGATCAGCCAACAACCTATACAGCGCTGCTAAACGACCTGGAGAGATCCAACCCGAAACTACCGGGTACGTTAAACTGTGCTGATCTGTTTCTCTGCCTTTCTTATTGGGTCAGTTTTACATGAGTAAAAGCGGTGTCAAATCAAATCCTTTTACTAAGTATGCTTTTACATAGCTCATTGCTCTGACTTTGCCAACTGCCCTGAATTGGCTGCACCGGCCAGGGATGCTTTTAGGACGGTTTAGGCTATGCAAGCTTATCCGGACATCTACTATGTTTGATAATCTTGTTTTCTTAGCCTGTGTCATTCTCGTCGCCAGAAACAATCGGCTTAATTTGAAACCGATTAGTGGTTCCAGTGGCTGCCCCTCGTTTTCCGACCACGTGACCAAGAAACGACGGGCTCTGGGGACGAGAATGAGCCTGTGTGGGAGGAGTTCGAAGGGGACCAAAAGAAGAATTAAGGTGCGCATGCGCACGAGATGAACGCCCTTCAACTCCACCTCGTTTCCAGGGTTCTCAAACTCGTTCTGAGTTTAAGTTGGAGAGAAACCTGGCCTCCAATAGAGGCTATTATTTTCTTCAACACTGCGAGAGAGCCTTCTATGCATTCACTGTACCTGGATGCTTAGCAATCGAAACGATCAAATGTAAAAATTTTTGGTACAATGCGCGAGGGATAAGTCCTGGGAAACTTGGTTGACACGTTAAGCTCCTGACCAGGGTTTCTTTTCTCTCTTCTTTCGCTGTCTCAATCGAGGTGAAAGAGACTTCAAAACCAGGCTTTACTAATGTCACAAACTTTTAATGCATTTTCGTTTGTACTTCAACAGCTCGATTGGAGACACTATCTAAGTCTTGCTCTGATGCCAAACCCAAATCTGGACAAAGAAAGGAGTCAATGTGGACCCAGGCTGCTAAGATACGCAAATTCGCAAAGGGAGTATCCAGCGCAGAGCGCAAAAGAGCAGATTCTATTCCCTCCTCTAGAGGGGAAGGTAAAAACATTGGTACCACGCCATCTCCGCCAGGGAAATCCAGGCAACGAAAAACATCTAAGAACATGTAATATAAAAATATATTTTTTAAATAAAAAGCATGGTTTGTTTACAACTGTGGCTGTTCTCTGTTCTGTTTTTCAAAGTACAAAATCACTTATAAATAATTCCTTAGAATATTGCTTATTCTCATATAACCGAACTAGACAAAAATTCCACAGTTAACTCACCCTCGGAAGAGGCACTTGCTGGAACGCTGGTTCTGCATTGTTACGTCCGTGCGATTGGCTGAAACCTAGCGCCGGTTCTTCAACCAATAAAAAGTAGAGGAAACTGGCAAGTCATGACCTTCGTACTTGTACTTTCCTGCTCTTGGCGCTGGTTACACTTTCATATGTTGAGAAAATCGTGAACGATTAGGTTCTTCACAGTTTTCCGACCGTCCCAGATTTTTTCGATACGTTAGATAAAATCCCCTCGTCTGTCCCAGTCGCCATTTTGATTTACAGAGGTTCGGGCCCAGCAAAATTGATCGCCCATCAATTCAAAGTGGACAGACTGCAAATTATAGCCGTTGCTAAAAAATATATATCTACGTGTCGCAACTGTTCATCAGCAGGATGCCTAAAATGCGTTCAATTCCACAATTACCCACAGTAAAGATTGAAGTTTTCAAATGTCGTGAACGATCGCCGACAATGGCAAATTAATCTGGGATGGGTCGGGATTTCGAGTTTTCATTTGAAATAGGAAAATTCTGACATGGTCAGTCAACATGTCAAAGCTAGGCAGAAGGGAAGTTCAGCATACTCTTCAATAGCATAATAGCCACGAAATGTTCACCGTTACGTATACACCGCAAAGAAACATGTAGCGGCCTGCAAGGTAGGTTCTTGCCAAAATACAGTAGGACCCCGGTAGCTCGAACTCTGAAGGGAAACGAAAAACAGTTCGAGTTAGCGGGGTAAATTCCAGTGAAAGTTTGATCAAGGGAAAGGAAATTTAGTTCGAGTTAGCAGGAAATTCGAGTTATCCGAGTTCGAGTTATCGGGGTACTGCTGTAGCACTATGAGGGAGGGGGGAGAACTTGAAATGAAGTAGTTGATGAAATAATACCACCTTTAGACTGGCCCACATGTCCAAGTAACAAAGCAGACTGAACAAAGCGTAAATTTAGCGTGAGCTCAGCGAAGTACCAGATATAGCAGCGCCGGGACAAGAAGCCTCTAGGACAGGTCTGTTTTGAACTGTCACGAAAACATGCATTATGACGGAAAGGACACAAACACAAGTCAAGGCATTTTTTATCACTATATTTTAAAATAATATACCTAAGTTTAAAACAACCCACACTACAGTGACAGTAACTCACTTAGAGGCGAATTCCTTGCATGAAAATTGAATGGCCACGAAAACTTTGTCTAAAAACAACTTATGGACATCGACCAGTTGCAAAAGTGCTTAGAAAAGCTTTACCGACAAGCGAGTTTTGCTCCCAGATAAGACTTACGTACACTAAACAGCCAAAACGTTTCACAGAATTTAATTTTCGGGCATAAATGATAGTTCTTATTATCTCTAATGGCAAAGTTGATAGAAGACTACTTTGTAGCAAGCTCACTCGATTCTATTAGGGTAGAGTCAGTAACGTAGAACAACTGGAAGGTTCATGGTTGGCAACCATGAACCCCCCTTCATGGTTGGCAACTAAGAGTTAGAGTTCAAAATCAATGATTATAAGAAAACAGTCTAATACTGTTGATGTGTATCATTAAGGCTAGGTTCACACAGTAACGGACGAATGTTCGACTGACTGAAAAACTTGACCGCAGGGCTGTCATTAAAAGTGGGGGGGGGTTCCCCCGGCTACTTTCATAGGAAAATAGAAGAAAAATAGTTCTACCAAAAGAAATCGCTAGCTGTTTGATTCCCCGCCTACTTGTTGTATTTAGCCGGCAACTTCAAATCTTAGTGAAGGCCCTGCTTGACCAGACATTTCGTTCACACGGAATCGTTCAATATTTTCGCTCTGTTCACACGGAACTTTGAACGGTTAGGCGTCTGAATTTTCGTACAGTTAAGGTAGTTCCGTTCGAACGGCACACTTAAACGCACGAATTTTCAGCCCTGCCGGACGAAAGTTATGTTACAAGGCTCTTGTTCGTTACGTTTGTTAGCTTCACTCGCTCAAGACGTACTGTAAAAATGAAAACAAAACCCTTTCAGTTGCCAACCATAACCGGAAAGCTACCATACAGCTCAAACTACGACAAGGAGCGGCTATATTTATGCTATGTGCCTGAATAACCAAGTCCGATTCCACTTTTGCCTCCAGCACCCCTTGATAACTGAAAGGCGCGCGATCGTTCAAACTCTGCCTCCAGATCTGCCATAAGTTTTTCACTCTGAGCAGGCTGAGCGGATCCTCCTTGATCACCGGTGCTGCTGCTTCCATCACCTTTGATACCCATCAGACGCCGGAATTTAGCTTGCATCTCACCTCCTTGGTCATTATTAAACGTTGTAGTGTTCCACATGGTCGGCTTGCTCGGGCCACTACTACTGCTACTACTCTCATTCTGATATATAAAAAAAGAGGAATTTTTTACTCTTAAGGGTGATTTCCCCTGACGCGTTTTTGGCTACGCATGTTAACGCATGTAAATTTTAATCACGTAAATAAAATAGAGGCAAGATAAAAGTGCTCAGCTTAAACGAGATGTTGAGCGAGGTTCAACATGTACGCTTACGAGCGACCTTTCATGCATTGCCTCTATTCTATTTGCGAACGTAACTCTTACGCACGAACGCACGCAAAAATTACGCGACACTGGAAATCAACCCTTACATGTGCTGCTTATTGCGAGTCGCTGTTTCTGAGCGGATGGGCGCCTTTCTTTCTGACCCGGCAGAAAAAAAGCACCACATGTGCGCGTGGCACGGTAAAATCGGCTTAACTGCAGAATACCCGGCCACTTCCAAGCCATACCCCTAAAACAACGACCACGCGTAGCCGCTTAGCCACGTAACCTAGTAGCCACTGTTTTAGGGGTATAGCTTGGAAGTGGCCAAGTATTCTGCAACATGTTCAAGTGACTGTTGTGTGTGTAAGGTTTTTAGCCTGCCTGCGTATTCTTTGGGCGAGCAGCAGCTGCTTAACACCCCTAAGAGGCCTCGTTTATGTTCGCAGTGACATGGCCGCCATCTTCGATTTTAACACCGAGAAAGACTGTCCATCGCGGTCAAATGTGTTAGTAAGGTCTTTTTAATGTAGCTTGCTTGGCCGTAATTCCGGATAGTCAGATTTGCAGTGTGCAGCGAGCACCCATGTTTTGCTTTATTACTTTATGTAAGCATCATAGATCAAGAGCCCGGCAAGGGGTAAGTTTCACTTTTCCTCTCGCTTTTTTTCTGTATCCTAACCTTCATAAAATTGTTATTCAGTTTAACAGTTTCCTACAGAGATTAGGAGATCAGTTAAGAATGTGGAAATGTAATTAAACCTGTATAATCTGTACAAGCAAAATCGGTTTTCTTGCTGTGTGTTTTGGACTTCTTTAATAAGCAATGACATGTCTGTCTACATACCTCAGTCTTTTTCCCGCCCCATAGTAATTTTCTTTTCTGTTGCTGTACAGCATACTGGTGCGGGTTAACAACTGATGGGTTGATATAGCTAGGAAGGTTCAGCACTGAAGCTGCCTCTTGTGCTTGCTTCCTGAGTGACTCTGCGTGGGCTGATAGCTTGGCTCGAACTTCCTCAGATGTTAAGGCACGTGCAGGGCGGGGCAGTTTCTCTAGTATGCCAGTTGAGGAGGCTAGGAAAGAATGGATACACGAGAAAAATTGACAGTCAAAAATTTGTTTGATTCCACATTATTATAGCAAACTTAATGAATAAAAATTAAGGGCTATTTACAAAATATGCGAAACTAAAGTTACCTTCACACGGAATCGGACGAAAATTCGTAAGTTTAGGTGTACTATTGCCATGGGCCACCTTCAGACTGTGCGAAAATTTAGACCAGTCTTCTCGTTCAAACTTCCGTGAAAGGAGCGCGAATATTGAACAGGCACGGGTGAACGTTTTTTTTTGTCTGGTGCCATGGGAAAGTCAGTAATAATACTTCGTAAGCTGTCGTCAGAACATGCTCAAACGTTTTTCACGTTTTTTCAGGCATGGTTTGAAAATCATGGCATACTCTGTTTAGGACAGCCAGTACTACTGAACTGCCTCGTGACTTACACAAGATTTGCAAAGTACCAAAGATCAGTGATGATTTTCTCCTCCTGATACTGACCTCTAATTGTCAGGTTAGACAATCCTTATCTGCTGTATGTTGTTTGTGGGATTTTAGAACCTTTTTCATCAGAAATGCAAGAAATACATTTCATGTTATACTTTAGTTGAAACAGAAAGAATGAGACCAGCAACACATCTGTTGCAAAATTCACTGACTACAAAGTACCTGAGCCTCAGTTGAACAATCAACATTACCAAGACTTGAAGAGTATTAAATTCGATTTGACATTACATAACAGAAATCCTAAATTACTGTCGAATTCTGAAAATCATGCACTCCTAAAATATTTCAGGAATGCTTGTGTTGTGACCAATCACAAGAAAGATCAGGACACACGAGCAAACTAATTAATGTGGTTGCTTGCAGTACAGTTAAGTTATCTCCCATCCCAAGGGCTTTCTCCTTGCAGCACAATAACATTCCAGAAATATTTCTTGTGTTAATGGTTTTGCGAGTTTCACAGTTATTTAAGATTAGCAGTAGAATGTTTCACACAATCAAAACACTAAAGAGTCAAACCATCTCTTTAATGATATCTGCCATGTGTGATTTTCTTTTCCTCTCCCTTTCATCCACTGTTCAACATTGCAAGATATTCACTAATGAAAGGGGGTGATTCGGGAAAGGAATACAATCAATAATTATTTTAGGGGGTGTTTACATGGGAAAACTCGCACCGGCGCGAGTTTCATACAGGGATGACTTCTTGATTTCATATCGCGTCTATAGGTTGATGAGTCATTTCATATCGCTTTTATATGAAGGTACATTTCATGTTGATAAAATACAAGAGCAAGCCAAAATTGCAGACATTATGCATGCGCTACCTATTCCAGTCTACTGGCAGACCGATTTCACACCAAAACAAGTGGTCGCTTCGTGTTCACAACATACCGTTGCGAAATTTCATACTCTTGCTCTGGTACATCAACCTGGGTAAACTCATGCTGGAGTGGCTCACACCAGCATGACATTTTGTGGTGTTATCATGTAAACAAATACAGAGCCACGAGAGGGAACCGGAGTGAACTCACACCGTCATGAAAGTCGCTTTGGTGTCATGTAAACACCCCTTAGTTAGCAACTTTTAAACTATTAAATGTCGCAATCTTACCTTTTACAAACACTTTCTTATCACTGCTTGGAGAAGTAGCTTGCTCATCTTTTCTGTCACGGTCGTGGTCACGATCTCTGTCTCTGTCTCTGTCTCTATCATACCTTCGATCTCGATCTCTGTCACGATCTCTTCCTCTGTCCCTACCTCTGTTTCTTTCTCGCTCACTATCACGGTCCCGCCGTCTGCTGGAGCTGTAATCACTACTGGGTCTACGATCTATAGGTTATATTAATTCAAAAGTGCATTTAAATGAGTTGAGGTCTTTGTAAAAGAACAGGCAACGAAAAGCAAGAATAGACCCAATGCAAAAATGGCTGCTGGATTTATATTTATTCAGTACAAAATTCAAAAGAATACATTATCTCAAGCAAGCTAGTCAGGCTACTTTTAATTTCAACAAAAGAATATTAACCCAGCAGCCATTTTTGCATTGGGTCCATAAGATTACACAAAAATTCATACCACAAAACATAATGGTACAAGTGTATAGGTTGTGATTCCACTTTACCCTTGGATTAAATTTTATTTTCCTTTGTTTTGGGTATGGTAATGTATAATGGAGAGTTTAAAACAAAGGGAATTAAAATTTAACCCAAGAATAAAATTGAGCCACAACATAAATAAAAATTACACACAACATCTTTGGATTACAATAAAAGTTACAGGTATTTTCCACTTTTTGTGCAGTACCTTGGCGTATTTTAATTATTCAAATAATCCAAGGTACTGCACAGAAAGTTCAACATGATTACACCTTGTTTTATAAATTGGAGACTTTCTAGTGGACAAATAATATTATGATTACCTCTTGAATCTCTATCTGGGCTTCTCCTGTAATCCCGCTTTCTACGCCTTTCAGGAGACCTTGAGTCTCTTCTGTCATGTGACCTGCTCCTACGCCTTCTCTTCTCAGGTGTTTTACTCCGCCTTTCTTGTGAATTTTTTCGTTTAGGTGACTGACTCTGTCTCTCCCTCTCCAGGGACTTTCGAGGGGAAGGCTTCTTCTCTGTTCCAGCTGGAGATTGAGAACCATGCCTACCTGGTGAGTGTTGGACTGGCATCCCCTTCTTCTCACTTTGTTCCTGTCCGTCCTTGATGATGGTATCAGTCTTGTCCTTTTCCTAAAGAGAGATAGTTGCAGCCTTCAGAAAAAATTGGTTAGTATGTTATCAACGGGATTTAATTTCAAATTGACAAAAATAACGTTACCATACAGCGTGCAAAGAAAGTAGTGTCCGATAGCCCGGGGCTAGTGGGTTTTGCTATCGGGCTAGTGTATTCTGTTATTAACTCGCCCGACGGGCAAGTGAAGTTTTTTGAGGAATCCAAATTACAGGGAACTGTGAAATCAATCTGCTCATCAAAACGTTTTTGGGGCTAGTTGAAATGATGTTTGGGCTGGTAAATGTTAGCTTCAGCTTGTCCGAATGACAGGCTGTGAAAGTGACTTTCTTTGCACCCTGCCATAACTCTTTACTTGAAACAGCCCCACCCTTATGTTTGACATACTGTCGATTCTGAAAATCCAAATAAGGCTGATACAGTTACTCAGTCGCCCCTTTAAATGCCCCATCAAGGCTCTCAAGAGGAAAGAACACTTGTTAAAAATTACAGACAACTCTAAGAGAAACCCCACTGGGAACAGCACCATGGTGACCGTAAGTGTTTAATTTGGAAAGGTATCTGTTTTAATAGAAAAGTCAAATCAAGAAAAGAAAAGAGCATTTGTTTAAAGAAGAGTTGACAAAATAATTGCAATAAATACTGTTGTAGGTTGGAAAAACAAGACTCGGACGAGCATTTTTACACAGACTTCAAGCATTGGGGTTAGCTGTTTGCTAAGGTCTTAACAGAGGTAGCCTAGGAAAAGGCTGATTTAACATGAGAAAATATTTTAACTACAACAATGCTTTCAAGCAGAGGTTTGCACTGTAACTGCACTCTGAATGAGGCATATTATAACTCTTCAAGATGGACAACAAAATTGGATCCTGCTAATGTCCAGATTACACAGGAACAAATTTGCTGTTGGAGCACTCATGCCAAGTGGAGGTGTCCATGGAAGGCTTAAAATGCAGTGTTTGTACATAACTGGAACCATGGCTAAGTGTCTGTGTTTAGGGGTTTGGAGGTGCTCATTAGACAAGACTTGACTGTACTTACAGACGGACTTATAAAGTACAGAACACTCACCTCTGAGATACCCCTGCGTGACTCAGGATGCAAGTCACGACCAAACTCATCATAACGCCCTCCACTGTCTTGGTCATTTGTTGACTAATGTAATATGAGTTATCAAACAATGTTAAATAGAAGAGTACCCTTACTGTCCCATCCTTAGTCCAACATACTTTACCCATACTCCTAAGGACAGTGAAAGTCACTGCTGGTGGTATTTTTTGCATAGATGACTTTTGGGTGTTTTGCTTATTATTTTAGGTCTAATGAAAAATACTCTGAAATACTCTAAAAAGAATTCAAGGCAAGTGGTCTTGCATAAACTTTAAACTAGGATGTCTCTATTCTTACAGACTTTCCAAACTAAAACAAGAGCCAAGAAATTACACTGGTATATACAGTGTACTAGTGAACAAAAATGCTATGGGTACATGGTTGATCTGCCAAGAATTGAGTCCAAGCATGTGTAAAAATAAATAAATAAAAAGCAAAAAGATAGGATTGAAAAAACTTTTTCTTTGTTTGTCATGCTTATTGGTTAACTTGATACCACATAGATGGTACTCTGCTTTTGCTAACTTGGCCTGGCCAGATTCAATATTTAATGTATAAAAAGTTAAAAGGATTTCCTTTGGTATCCTTGCCATCCACACTTCAGGACATTTATCAACAGTTAAAATAAATGATAGAAGTTTCTTTAAAAACTTCCAGTTAAATATCCAGTGCAGTCCAAATACGTAAAAATAAACTTGTCCACCCTTTATTAACTAAAAATGGATGTACAGTGATGTAGGAATTTAGCATGTCCAGAAAAATTACCAAAACAAGTCTTTCAAGTACATGTACGGTGCTATAATAGCCTACAATGATAATATCCTGCACTAAAAAATAAAAATAAAAAATCAGCAATTGTTTACAAAAAAAATCCTAAAAGAGACTTGATCAAGGTGACTTCTATACAGATAAAGCATGCGCAAGATGTGAACATAATTATGGAAAAGAATATGACACGTGTGGATCTACAACTCCACAAGAAATGCAATACTATAACTACCAACATTTATCCATTTTTCAACATCATTCTTGATTAATATATGTAAGTCAATTGTCTATAGAAGTAAATGTATCTGCTTATTGTCAAAAAACATGTTAATTTCTTCTTTACCATTAAGAGTGTTGTTTGCTGCACAGATGTGCAAGTGCAAACTGCAAACTAAAGAGATACACTTTTACAACAAGTGCTTCACGAAATATGGCCACTAATGCAAAGCATTAAAAAGAGCCTCTCTGATCTTTTCTGTGTACACAGTACAAGCTATAGACATTGCAATAATCACAAAGGCTTCATGTCCACGTAACGCTGTTTAAAGGAAAAATACACCAGCTACAGTATCTATTTACCCTACTTTACACAAAAAAGTAAGGACTTTATTTGCTCTCTTTTCCAAGGGATTTGTTTGATTTTCAATTGTAACCCAGGGCCAGATTCACAAAGCCTTCCTAAGCAGTAATTTGGTTGGGATGATGTGACTCATGTACTGTACTGGAGATCGCGTATTTGAACAACTCGTACAGAGATTCTTGTGCTCTGAAATGGCTCTTTGAATAAAGGGGCTATGTCACGAGGATATCGCTGTTTTAGGTCAATCCTGTGCTTACCGGTAAGTCATAAAGTAATTCCTTTACCCATACACAAATTATATGCTCCTGTAGAGTTACAGCTGTATGCCGAGAAGACACCAAACAAATTTCATCAGGGAGCACTAACCGTAATAATGTTTTGGTGATTTTTGCAGGCATAGCATTAAAATTCACAAAACTTTGGCCCAATTTTTTCAGGTTTCAATCCAAGTCAATCCTTGCCACCTGTAGTAACAGACGACAGGAATCAGTTTCAATGCCTAAATGTGATCTAGGACTGCTCTTTTTGGACTTCAATTGCCCCTTTAAGTCTTGGACAGACTCACAAAGCCATCTTAGGCTCCTCTCAAGTATTGTGTCAAACGATGGTCCATTGTTAAGAAACAATACTTAGAGGATATCTTAGCTACGGATACCTTTGTGAATGTCCTGTGTCTTGAAAGGGGCTATGCCATGGTGTGTTCCATATTATTTTATCCTTGAAAAAGCTAAACCAGTTTTTTTCAAGCTGCAATCCATTTCCACCCTGGCCATCGAAAGCCCACATCATAAACTTGTCTTATAGTGGAGGTAAAATTGTAGAGTGATTTCAAATAAATCATGAACCATTATTTTGGGCTTTTATTTTTTTCTAACGTGTTTTTAGGGTTTTCAAGCAATGCCAAACAATCGTGACGTAACTCCTTTAATCTGGGCTAAGAATAATTTTGTTTTCACCAACCTGTGCTTTCTATATGCAAAATAATGACAGTTCTAAGAAGGTGGACAAGAAGCCTCGTTTACCTTGTCATATTTCAGTTATGTACAAAACTTGCAATATTATTAAGATACTTAAGAAAAGTCTTGTGGATTCCAAGAGAATAAAACTCAGCATCAAAACTTAACTACAGGTAATGGTTAATCTTGCTACAGGTGATTATAAATCCTAATATAGTTCCAAATTTGTAAAACTGCCTTTACTTGATAGAATGTGAGAAAAGTGTTTTTCAAAGTAAGTTCCTTCAGGTCTAAGATAGTTCACTGCTATCACTCTTGTTTTCTTTAACATCTTGGGTTGTAATCTCAACAATAATTGATGAATCTAGAGGAGCTAAAACAGGAGCATCTTTTTGCTCTATTCTATTCTGAGCTCTGGATCTGTTACCTCTTCTTAGAAACTCGTCAATAGAAATAACACACTTTTGCTTCCAAACTGACTCCTGCTCAGCATCAGGTATAGAGTAAAGTTTAAAAGCACAAAACTTTATAATATCAAGCTTTCCACTGTCCAGGGCTCCTTTTCCTCTAGTACCAGAACAATTTCTATTTAACATTTCTTCCTTTGTGAACAACGCCTTTAAAAGGTTCACACTGAAATTCCCTATGGAACAACTTGTTTTCTGAATTTTCTCTGCCCAGGATAACAGGTCTTTCACCCGATCAACACCGTTTGCGCTTTCACTGTGATCCTCTGTCATGTTACTACTGTCATTGCAGTTGACAGCACCTGAATCAAGTTCAGTTTCAGCAGGAGAGACATACACTGGTACATTGTATTTCAGAGGCACTGACACTTCACTTACAACATTCACAGAATCATGAATAGACACTGAAGGATCCTGTGAGGAGTCACTAGTCTCCACTGGGTTCGTAGAACACCCAGCCAGTTTCTTTACAGCAGCTTTTGTTAATTTGCGACTGCGACTAGGTCCAGATACAGGTGAATGATGCACACCACTAACTGATTCACTAGTAAAATGTCCAATAGATTCTAGAAGATTTGATGGAATTCTCAATTCACCTGTGCTAGAATGTTCAAGATCTCTGCCTCTCACACCATTTACCAACCTTCTTTCTCTGGACACAAGTGTTGCTGATGATTGTAGAGCTTGCTGTTGTTCCATGAACTTTAAAAGCTTTTCCTGATTTTTCAGAACTTTTTCCTGATTTTCAAGAAGCTTTTCCATTTTCCACAACAGTGTTGACAGGCGCCCATTCACTTCAGGCCCTAAGTCCATCATGTGAATCAACTTCAAAGAAAGATTAGCAGTGTCAGGATGAACTTTCCCATACTTTGTCTCTCTCACTAATAATAGTTACAAACCAAACTCACACATATACACACAACTAATGCTACATGTTTATGTACCGTACTTTTTAAATACTAGGTAAAAGATTTCAACTTGTATAAAGTAATAAAGCACTGTTCCAACCACCTGGAAATGGCATTTTAAGAAAATTACACTGATTTTGTTAACCATTTCACTCAGCAAAGTGCTCTACAATGTATTTTCTGTTGGCCCGACACCAAAAGTAAATTGCTGAGCAGATGCTGATGAACACGATTGACAATAACAGGAAAGGTAAAATTATTTTGGTGGACATGTTTGACAAATACGAGAGAATTGATATTAAAATAATAGAAAAGTCACAGGTATTCACTTCACATGTATGCAAGAGCTGTACTTTTAGCATTCTGAGCTGTGAGTGTTTTGTCACTATGGTGAGTAGAAAAAAAATTTGGTGACTAAAACTGCAGTGTAAGTCACCAAATTGGCGACAAGTATTTGGCAGCAAAAATGTGCCTAGCCATTTTGCTTCTATAGATTCATTTTTAGGGTCTTTCTAAAGTTACAATGTGTTTATGAAACATTTGCACGAGATATTAATGACAAATATTTTTACAATAATTCTATTCTCTTTCACACTGGCTGTCTGGGTATTAAGCATTGAGATGGCGTGCATGACTCCAAATTCAATTGTCATAGTTGGGCAGCCATTTCGATTAAAAATTGTCTCTTGTTCATCTCCTAATATCATATACAAAGTTTTTTTTTTTCTGGTAGCAAATATTTCATGTCTGGAGACCATTAAAATAATTCTTATTGATGTAAGATATCAAGCATGAGATGCAGTGTTTAATCACCGGATGAAACAGTGAGAAGAGAGTTGAAAATACAATGTGCAGCAGAGTATTTTTGATGAACTTCGAGGTGTTTTATATGGTGACGAAACACTGTTGAATGCTTGATATTACTTCTCGAACAAAATGACTTTGGAAGGAGAAATTAAGAATGCAAAAATGAGCAGTTTTTAAGCTGATTTCCAAACACTTATTAAACATTAATTTCCTTTGTATTTTCTTAATGAATTATTAATACATTTGAGAAGATCATGTACAGTCACGGCTGCATGTAGGAGACAAAGAAAATTGATAATCAACCAAGGATGGACCCTATTGTGACCAGCTTTTCATTTTGACTTGCCAGAGCTACACCAGTAAAACATGACATGGAAACTGGGAAGAACATTGAGTCGATTCCACTGAAGTTAACATACTTCTTCTGAGTCCTACTCATTACTTTGCTAGCACAAGGTGTTAATGAAGATGATGATGACAAAAACAACAAATCACCCTACAAAATATTATTGTAAGGTGTTTTGTTGTTACATGCTGTAGAATTTATTGTTACGTACAGTATGTCTAAATGAAAACAAATTGCATGGACTGGGCCAAAGGCACACACAAAAAGTAGGCAACTGGTAATTTTAAGGGCAATGGCCTTAGTACCGACTTGACATAGCTAACAACAAAATTAAGCTTTCTTTGTACAGCTAAAATAACAACTACAGTAAAAGGATAGTAAAAAAATACAAAAAGACCAAGATTTGATGAGTCAAATATCACATTATTCATAAGAAAAAATTGGTCACCCTAAACACCCTAAGTTACATGTATTTGGTAAAGGAACAATATTTTGTCATTATTTGGACTGCACTGGAACTACTGGAAACAACCACTGCCAATAGTATTTAAGAGTATTAAAAGGGAGTGTCTGTAGGGATTATGAGGCCCACATGCGTTTTTGAAATTTTGCAACCAGCTACAACTGTGTTGACAGTAAGAATTTGCCATTGGAAAGATTCAGGTTCAAAAGCTGGCATGTCCAATGCTTGCCCTTTAGGTAGATCACTCTCTGAAAAAGCTACAATGGGGCACTTACATTTAATGTACAATTTTCAATCCCTTCAAGTTTATCTTATCAAACTAGTTGATACCCCTCTCCCCAACCCCAATCATTCAGCAACACAGTTTCCAAATTACATGCTTGCTCCTTTACACGAGCCATAACCTTGTGGCTCAGTTGTATCCTTGGTTTAATATCTATTTTACTTTTTGCCAAGTATGTTAATGTACTACAATGAGCTATAAAACAAAGAAGGAAAAAAACAGAACCAAGGACTAAATTGACCCACAACAGATACATGCATCACTCACATTTCTTGGACTTGGACTTCTCCTTCTTCTCCTTGGACTCCTGCTTCTGCTCCTGCTCCTACTCCGACTTCTACTTCTTCTACGACGCCTTCGGTCATCTGAAGGAAACAAGACGTCAGACCCTTTAATCAGCATGGATCTATAGTAATAGACCCTTTTACATGTTTTTCCACCTTTAGACACGGACAAGTTTGGGAAAATCCATTGACACCAATAATTGGTGTCAATTATTGAAAAAGTGCCTTAAAATTAGTTAAAAACGCCATGTTTGAAATTTTACAGACGTTTGTAGGATGGGAGGGTACAAACTTGCCCCCTGCCCCCCACCATACAAACGCCTGTAAATTTTCACAACTTTGTGGAGCTCTATCCGCAGTCACTTAAGTCATATCACTTTCAAACCTGGCAATGTCACTAATTTTAGGGGGGCTCTTTCCTGTGGTGTCGATGGATGTTCTCTTATTGGTCCATGTCAAAAGTTAAAAAAAAAAAACCTGGAAGGATCCATTATACCAACGGAAGGGCTGTGCCCTAGCAGTGCCATGGTCTTTGTTCTTGTGTAATTAGAAAAGCTCAGTTTTTTTTCCTTTTTCATAAAAGTCATATGCTGGGCCACCTAGATTTGACAGGATCACTGCTTTTAATTTTTCTTTGAGCACAACTTTGAAAACGAATCATTTTCTTTTCACTTTTAGTGTGACAAACTAATAACTTAATGATCTTTGTTCATTCTCCTTTCTTAAGAGCTTTCATCACAGTATACCCTAACCTTCTTGCCCTAACTAACCCCATCCCCTTTTTCCTTGCATAACGCAAGTGTTTGCAGGATAAGAGTCAAAGTGTTATAAATCTAGCAGCCTAAAATCTGGTTATAACTGTTTTTCATCCGAGCACATTATTGGATAAATCATGTTACATTGTTGACAGGTGATTGCATAATATGATGGAAAAAAACAGTTTTAAACAGAGTAGTACCAATAAACAAAAAGCCACCCAAGTTACCTTTATAATCTGAATTTCTTCTTCGTCTGTGTGACGAAGGTGAGTGGTCTGGAGATCTTCTATTAGGGGATCTTTCAGGGGATTCTGAAGCAGACCTCTTCCGGTAATTTCTGCGACGACTACTTGGAGAACTTCTACTTTTATGCGAGAGTTGTGATGGCTCTGTTGCCAGATCTACCTTTTCCTCATGCTCTGGTAGAGGAGGTGCATCGACCTGACTCACACGTTCATTCTCCATGCCAGTGACAGAGGTGTACTGTTGTGTATCCTGATCAGACATCTGTGGACAAAGTATTCAATCTACTATAAATGACTGCCTTCTAACAATAACCGAGAAAAGTTCATAATTATCACTTTAGAGCTATCTACTTTAGTGCATGTAACACAAAAACTTTAAGTTTAAAAGACCTTCCATGGTTTTCTTTTTTCAACATTTAAAATGGACCTATGGAAAATCCGTTGACACTTCTAGAAAGTGTACCCTTAAATAAAATGTTTATTTGTATAATCATAACTATAACAAAATTCTCAAAACTGATTGGCTATCAACTGTCCTGATTTCAGTATTAATACGACAGTATAATGGGACAGCATGAGTCGAAGCATGCGTTGAATGTTATATTTTTCTGGTAAAAATTCTCAAAGTCGCAAAAATTAACAGATGTTTAAAAGGTGGAGGCACAAACTTTCCCCACTATACAAACTCGGCAAGGTTAATAATTTGAATGCCCTCTTTCGAGTGGTGTTCACGAATTTTGCTAACCGAAACTCATCAAAACCTGAAAAAACCATTAGGGGTCTATTACTTTGGTGTACATGGACAACAAACCGCAGCGCTGTGAAACCAAAGAACCTTAATCAAAGCCATCCTGAAAATGTTTTAGTTGGAAAAAAATCAGTACAGCAATCTAAAATAAATCAAAACTAAGTAAATAGTGTGAAATTTTGGCCATAATAATTCAACTGCAAACACAGTCTTTATATTCTTGGATAAGCTCACTTCCTCCTAGTTCAGATTCTCGTGAGGATCATAAATTATGTGATTTCACAGTCACACCAAAGTTATTGTAAAAGAAGAATAAAAAAATCTCAAATAAAATTGAGAAACAACTTAAAATATGCAAACAGATTTTTAATTGATTTAAGTGGACACAAAACATTTTCTTGGGATAGCCATGTCAGGAAGTCTGGAAACTGAAGGCAAATTACAATCCTACCTGTCTCCGGTTAGCTAGACAGTTTGATGTTTCACCAAAAGTAATTCTAAATTGAAATAAACCATCAAATACCGTCACTTAAATGAAACACAAGTTAACGAGCAATTTCACTGGTAAAGTTAAAAGTAGTACGCTCCTAAAGAAATCGAAACCGTACACAAGGGTGGGAGTCTTTATGTAAGCTTGATAGCCTTATTTTAGACCATCTAAAAACAACTGAATTTCTGTGACAGTTTTTGGCGTAAGCACTGATAAATAACAAGATCTTATCTTAATGAAGCAAAATATAAGTTTAGCCACCCGAGCAAGGATTTTTTGATGGCCGTATCCTTTAATCAAGTACGTTTTCCTTTGCAGCAAAACTCAATGATTATGGCCTGTGCACTCACCACAAAATGCAACATCATGAATTATGCATTTGATACAAATCAGCGCAAATGCCACCCTTTCTACGCAATAAAACAACGTAATTATGGCAAAGGAACAATGTTAACTTATAAATGCATCTTAAACGGACATTTCGTACCTCTTTGGGGGCCAATTTGCGCTGAATTTTGTCGTCTTCGGTGGAGGAACTTGAATCATAACCCGCCAGACCATCCATCTTGTGTTCAAAAGATCCCGTATGAAGCACGCTCTTCTACTTACCATATATGGTCACTGGTAGTCACCAGGCTCTTTCCTATAAGAGCGCGCCATAACATAAAATTTGTCATGTAGAGATGTCAAGCATTTGTCAGGGACGGTTTGTCTTCAATTACATGCATTTAATTTATTTCTATGCGTATGTTGTTGCTAAAAGATTGACCACACTCAGAAACTAAGTTTTTTTGCATGAAAATGTACTCGCAAATTTAGCGAAAAGGAAACTTTTCAATCCTTGCTAAAATTATAGCGTTTCCCGCATTTTTCACGCAAACACGTTGCGACTCGATCGTTCCACATGATCGCAAGCTGATGTTTTTCTTGTAACAAAAATGGGGAACACACACGGACGGCGTTCGGTGCAAGGAAAGAAGCTTCGGAAAAGACCTCATAGTATAGCTGTGGAAAAACCAGAAACGTGGTCTTCGTCCAAACCTCAGCTTCTACGAAGTGCTAGTCATGGGTCGATTCGAAGGCGCTACAGTGAATCGGGGAACTATTCCTACAAGACACCCTGGCCTGTTCCCCTCAGTGAAGCTGTATTTTTGCCAGAGTACGATTCCAAGCAACCAGTCAAGATCAGCGATTTTGAGGTTTGTTGACAGAAATATAAATTTAAAATAGCCTCTGGTGGGTATAAACACTTGAATAATGAACGAAGGAGCACACATTTTCAGTACAACTGTTTGCTTGTACTTGGCAATGTTTCATTATGAATATTAAAGGTCATGGCAGTTTTTTGGAAACCAAGAGACTTTCCAAAATTGGGAACGTCAAAAACAGAGCATGGCCCTCACAGTTCTACTTTTATTTTCCGTCAGAAGATATTTGTTTCCATATTTTGTAGCAATTTTTCAAACTTGCAGCATATACGGTACAGTTTTAATTCTGTTAAAAATCACGCTGCTGTCCCAAAGTCGGCTGTTTTGAATATTAGTATTATTTGTCATAGAAAAAGTCTTAGGTTTATCCGTTAGCCGATGTTGTCGACTTAAAGCAAAACTATTTCCTGAATTTTGAAAATCGATCCGATATCGCAGAACGTGTTAAATTTAGGAGAGAAACCGACTTTGACTATTTTAAAATTAAATTGAATATAAAATTTGTGGATGGCCGTGATAGAAAAACCGCAAATCATAAAAGTGGTCTGGTGTTGAAATAAACAACCTACACATGATACTCGACATGGAAATACTGAACAAAGAAAGGTCATTGAATTTTTTATTAAAGTTTTTAGTTTTTATTAGCAATCTTTTATTGCCTATATATATATATATATACAGCGATATTTTGCTTTCCGTGTTAGAGCGGTCTTGAGAGTATTGTTAATTTCCATGACAGTGTTGTTAATTTCCTTGAATTCAAAAGCATCTCCGGTTGCGGAAAGTTGTGAAAGTTACCGATTTTGATCTTATTTTAAAATGGGCGGGCATTTAAATCCGTGGTAGGTTTTTTTGTATGAACTGCACGTTCTCAGCGGGAGAAATTAAACCACAACGCAAAAAAGGTATGCAAACAAAAATTAACAATGGTGTAAAATGTAAGCACTTTTTCTATAATCTTGCATAAATTATTAAAGTGAAAAAGAAGCTAATTGTTGGATAAATGAAACAAGCAAGTACAACATGTTGATAAAATAAGCAACAAATAATACAATGAAAATAGAATTGTTTAGTAGATAAACACCACCTCTGTTTTTCTTCTTATTAAATTTTGTGGGCAAAAACATATTTTTTCCTTTTTGCTTAAACAGCAAGAAATTACATTGAGAATGAAATATTATTTGGTTTATAAGTAGTGACCTTGCTTTTTTGTTGTTTGTTTTTTGCATACATAAGCAAAAAAAATCTCTGTTGAATAGCACGGTTTCGAGGATGGACACCTTTAGGACAGGCATATGTGTCTGGTTGAGAAAGATGTCCGTCTTATAAAGAGTCAACCAAAAGGAGTAAAGAAAGGCAGGGACCAACTCTAGATTTTCATTTCAGCAAGGTGTCTGTCTTAAAGAGATGTCTGTTAAGAGTGGTCGACTGTACAGATAAACAAGAAAAGCGCATTTTGCATACATGAACCTTATAAACATAAAATATGCATTTGCCCCAACTCCAACAATGGGACAAGCATATGCAGGCTGCTTGGAGGGAGTCAGTCATAATTACAAGTATCCATCCCACAATTTCCACATTTAAAAAATGCTAAGATATCATATCTGTAAACCCTGCTGCACTCGCCAAAAAGGGACAAAATTTCTTTTAAAAATAGTTATGTAAATTAAAGCATGCAGAATGAGTCAAGTCATTCATTCATCACATAAAACTGATTGAGAGCTTTATGTACTTGGGTATGTATATATGGACTAAAAATCACACTCTTATAAGGGACACAAAAATTCTGTTTATGTACTAAATCATATTATATTTTTTAAAGTTTTAGTTTTATTTCTACAATTTTTATTCTCTTGTTACAAATTATAAACTAGAAAATTCATGGTGTTAAATTATTCAAATGTGCATAGAAGTAATGTTAGATAAATTTTTAGGATTTTGACATATCTTTGTTTGTAGATTCTGGCAACTGTTGGAAAAGGTGCATTTGCTTATGTAAGTTTGTGTTTTGCTTTTAAATTAATGCTCCCAAGAGAAATTTAACCCGGAGGTTAAGTTACAATAATTATGTAATGGTAAACAAGCTTATACCAAATAAATGTACCCTGGCAAAAGCTCATCCTTTGTTTTAAAATTTCTTACTTGAAATATAGAAAAATGAAAAATATACCAGGTTCTGTTGCTGCGGGAAATATGATAATAATTTTTAATTTTGTGTGCTTGCAAATACCTCAAATGTATTTATGAGAAAAATGAAATTAACTTTATATGTCTACTTGTATTCCACTAATTCTAATGCTTTCTATATGCAAATTTATCAGTATTTACAGTATTTTGCAGACTATCTGTCTGTATGTGGTTGACCTATTTTACATATGAATCAACTGCCTAAAAAGAAAGGAACAAAAGTGTATTAAAAAAACTGTATTTTTGTTAGATTTTATGGATTCAACATTTCTGTACATTATTTTTTCTCTTTTTGTCCAAGAGTACATTCATTTTAGAATGTGGAATAAATAGATTTTTTTCTTTTTAAGGTACTTCAAGTGAAAAGCAAGCAAACCAACAAACCATATGCAATTAAGGTATCTTTAAATTAAAATCTGATAGCTTTACTTCCTTTTTTTCGTTGTGCAAGAGGAGTGTTGGAAACATTATACTTCTTTTAAAATTCCTGCCTTAAGTTTGATGGTGTTTGGTGGCCACTTTTCTGAATTTGTCTCTCAAAATTATTGCATCCGGTGCATCCAGAGGAGAAAAGTGGTCAAAGTGATAGTCAAGCCATCATTAATTTGATGAATTTTATTGATTGCAATAGAATTTTTTGTTTTTGTCAATTGATCTGATCTACACCATTAGGTGCTTAATAAAGCGGAAATAATCAAAGAAGATGCTGTACAGCAATGTAAAGATGAAGCAATTATTCAGGTTAGTGAACTTTTAACATAGATATTGAACTAGAGTGTGAAGGTACGACATATGACCTTCACCTCTTTTACCACAAAGGTCTTGAAAATATTATTAAGGCGAATACTTTTTCTTATCACAGAAACAACATTTTTTAACATTATAGCCAAGTATATTTCCACCAGGGTTAAATGAAGTCTCTATTTTTTGCTTTTTTTCCTTTGGGAGTTTCCTGACAAAGCGGATGAAGATACCATCTGTTTTAAAATGCTGTCTGGGATGAAGCAAAACTTGAGCCATGCTCGGATTGGTCTCTTTTGGGGGTTTTATTCCATTTTTCCAACGAAAATCTCCTTTCCGGCGGGAGTTGACCTCTCAGCTCTAGGCATCAACCCTTAAAGCCCCACTAAGATCGACATGTATTAAATTCTGGAAACTGATCTCCATTCATGTCTTTAAAGAAGTAGTCGAGAGAACTTTTATAAAGATCATTTAAAGAATTTTCCCTGAGGTTATCAATTTGCTAAACCCCATAGCCATCTCTCCATCTTGATCATGAATTGATGTTAGGAGACAATTAATGTTGAGCATATAAACTGACAGTTGTGTTTGATCAACATACAGGCAAAACTTGGTGACTTTCCATTTCTTGTCAAAACTTGGTACACATGGCAGACTAAACACAATCTTTTCATTGGTATGTAGAACTACCCAAACTAATCCAGGGGAGCTTGGACCCCATATAAGCCCCAGGCTTCCAGTTCAGGCTTCCACCATCTTTTTTTATATATCTATTTTCAGTATATTAGAGCGATTTTCGTATGACCTTGAAATGAAAACAAGCGAACAAAACAGAAACAACAAACAAATGGAAATAGAGCAATTTGATTGGTTTATTGAACGGATACAAAAGCGCATGGCTTTTGGTTGGTTGAACAAACGCTCGGGTTAAAAGATGTCGTGCCTGAGAACTTTCTAGAAATCAACCGATCCTTTGCTTTGACATCATACTGCAACACGATTGGCCAATCGAACAATGCCTTCACCATACCAGGGTTTTCTTTGGCTGGAAAACAAAGAGGCCATGTTTTGATCTTTTCATCTATTGGCTGATAAAAGAAATAACAAACACTTACTGAAACCATTTTTCAAGGTCATATGAAAATCGCTCTAACCTGTAATATGTGACTGTGACAAAAACAAAACAAGTTAATCAGCAAATCAAACCTTAACAGTTACTTGTACATTGAGTTTTATAATATTATTTCTGTCTCTTATTTTTGACAAATAATCATTTAGAAACTCCTCTTTCTAGTCTCAGATTTTGTTGATGGTAGCGATCTCTACACACTATGGCGCCAGGAAAAGAAGTTGCACAATGAAAAAGTCAAGTTGTATGCTGCTGAGCTGGCCATCACTTTAGGTAAGGAAATGTGTTTACAGATCACCCACTTACCAAAGGGGGTGGGGGAAGGGGGGCAGGATTCCTGGAAAATTTAGTTGGGATTTGTGCTACGGCTCCTGTAACCCTCATACCCTATTCCAGACTGACATTTGTAATGTTCTCTGCCCTGCTTTTTGTACCTCAGACCTGAACCACTCTTCAAAGACAGAAATGATGACAAAAAAGAAAACAATGAACTCCAGACCCTGGCTTCAGAAAAACTTCACACACAAATAGCTTAAGTCTAGACCAAGTTTATACCAGAAGCAGGTCTCAAAAATTGTCTTGTCTACCTTTTCAGGATAACTGCATGTAAGAAAATTTTCTTGGTGTTCCAAAAATCTTTTAAGTTCAGTGGAACCTCTATTTTAGGGGACACCCTTGAGATCTGAGATAAGTTTCCCATGAATAGGTGTTCCTTAAAGAGAGATTGGGCCAAGGTTTGTTAATATTTAATTAACCAACCAAGAAAGTATTTTTTTAAATTCTGTCTTGGAATGTGCAAAACAGCACCAAAATCCTTGTTCTGAGGCCCACCTGTGTACAAGGATTTGAGTACGCACCATGATTAGCCTGTTAAAAAGGCCATCGTCGATTTGCAAGTCAAGATGAAGGGAAATTCAAAAAGCTCTTCCAGTAATTCATTAATTCTGTTGAGGGCCCAGAACAAGGATATCAGCACTGCTTCACTGACGTTACTAACCAAGGTTAAATTGCATCTGCGACACCGGCTAACAATTGCAGTGCATCGATTTAAGTGACAGATTGTTTATGTTGTGAAAACTGCCATCATTGTGATCAGTTCAGTTTACACTTTAACTTATCAGCCCTCTTTGTGGTCAGTCAAATTTTGAGTACCAAGGTGTCCCCTGAATGGAGGTTTAACCGTAGTTTTGAGACCCAGAAAAAGTGCCCCCTTACGGTGAATAAAGGTGCCCCTTCAACAGAGTTTGCGTACATCTTGAAAGTCCTTGAAAATTGCAGTCAGTGCTGGAAAGTCCCTGAATTTCAATGCTAACTTTGTAGTTTAAGTAGAACTCCAAAGAGAAAGGAGAAAACACAGAAAGACCTTCGGGATAAAATTGCTCATGTTGTGGAAGAACTAAAATTTCAATAATGGAGGTAACAGATACAAAGATTATGTGACCATTTTTCCCGGACCAAATTTTGTGTCCCCTGAATGGAGGTGTCCCTTGAATAGATGCTCCACTGTACCTGCACTTTCATGATTTCACAATTGTAATATGCCTTTCTGTTTGCAGATTACCTTCACAAATCAGGAATAATCTACAGGGATTTAAAGGTAAGCCTTTCTTATTTTTCAAATGGCACATTCCTTTATCCAGAATATATTTTTTCTTTCTACCTTAAACGGTAGGTCTATTTTTCTGACAACTCATCTTTTATCCTAAATTTTTCCTCCTAGCTGGAGAATATTCTTTTAGATGAAGAAGGTAAGATTCTAATCTTGTTTTCCCCACCCCACCCCGTAAAAGAAAAATGCAGCCCACCTGCGTCATCCGCTCGTATCCTGATTTTTCAGGTGGAAAACGGAGATTTTTCTTCCCCTCTTCGAAAAAGTACGCGTTCGCACGTAGCGTATTCGAATAGTTTCAAAGGTCAATTCTGATTTTTTCTTTGCTACATAATTAATTTTGTCCAATTAATAATTCTCGCAGGCTTTTTTAGTTTCTGTTCTACCATGGAAATGTTTCGTCATTACTTACAGTTCATATAGAAATATACAAAACTTTTTTTTCTCTATGCGTTACACAATAAAATCAAGTTTTTAGTGTCGCGCATTAGAGAAGGGAGAGTTTGTCTTGAATGAGATTTTCGTCGCTGTTGTAGGACACGTCAAGCTGGTCGATTTTGGTCTATCAAAGTTAGTGAAACCGCGGGAACGAACCCGTACCATCTGTGGTACCTTGCAGTACATGGGTAAGAACAATACGCTTTTATAAGACTGGCAATTTCTTTATTTATAACAATGTTATGTGAGAAGTAAGTGTTGATGTTGGCCTAGGGTAGTGAATGAGCACCTCTCACGCTCACACATGTTTTAGATGGCAACTTCGCTATTCTTAGCTTGTCCCATTTTTCCGGCTTAAAGAACGACAAATACACGTCGGGAGGATCGACTTACTGAGTCCGTGCGAACTCCCCTCGGGCGCATCGAATTTTGGGCGACACGAACTGTTACCTTCCGACTCGATGTAATACCTTTGACTCTTGAATAATCTCTCATCCTTGCCCGGTGTATAACAAACAGTAGTGAGCTTAAGCAACGACGTCGGCGACGGCAGGGAAAACGTCGATAAAAAAATTTAATTTTTGTCCTTTCAAACTTTATTGCCTCTTTTTGGACTCGGTCACTTTGTCAAATGCAGGCGATTTTTCCTTGAGTTGAATCCTTAGGACTTTATCCATATTAAAACAGAGAAAGGAAATTTCATCGTCGTATGTTCACGTCCTCCATGAATCGTCGCACTAGGAAGTTTTACGTCGAAGTCGGGCAGTGGACGTCCAGGAAATGTACAAAAAACATGATGCACGTACAGAGCTGTTTGATTTGTCGTGGTTGCTTAAGTTCCCTACTGTATGCTTTCATCCGTCCCTTTCTGTCATGTTTTTGTGTTTTGGAACCTGATTCGAAAAAATAGCTCGTTAATACCAGCCGGTAACTCTCTGATAGAAATGGTCTAACTTTTAACTGTGTGGTAAAATGTTCGTTCTCGTTTCGTTTTCTGTAGCTCCTGAAATCCTGAGTGGAGAAACGTATACTCATGCGGTTGACTGGTGGAGTTTAGGTGTGGTCATGTATATCCTTCTGGTGGGAAAGGTGAGATTTCTGAGGGTCAAAATTCGTCCTCGGTCAAAGTTTTAGGAGGAAGAATTAGCGCAATTGGTTAGTGCGCGTTCGATTCCCAGGTGTTATCACAAATCCTTCTTTCGACTTCTTTCGTTTCCGTGTATGTTGAGTTAGCTTTAAATACCCGTAATATGCAACAGAGATGGAGAGAACGGGGAGGGGGTAAATGAGGGCACCGTCGGTCTCAGGTTTGTTACTGAGTCAGATGACTATTTCGAGCTACCGACGTAAAATAAATTTTTTTTTGTTAGTTCGTTTTCTCAGCTTTCCTCGCGGTTTGGGCTAAAATGAGTCTGATTCGGGCCCAATACATATTTATGCCCGCGAACATAAATTAATTTTTTTCCTTGACAAAATAAAAATCTACTTTTAACGCACTTTATAACACCACTTTCAGTATCCATACCCTGCAACACAAGATCACGCTAGTCAGCACAAGTTGGTCAGCGCTGTCGAGTTTAACTTTCCTTCGGATCTGTCAAGCGGCGCTGTTAGCATTATGCAAAAGGTACAACTGATTTTATATCATTTTATAAATCCTTCTTGTCATCTGTTCTTTTATAAACGTCTGAAACATCGTTTTTCACTGGCTTTGCCTTACCCAATTTCTTAACTAGGAAAGAGAGTTTTAGAGCTGCAAATAACTTTTCCTTTTTAATATCCCACTACCACACCATTTAAGTCCAAAAAAAAAAAACAAAAAAAAACGTGTAGACATACATTAATTTACTATGTACATCTTTGCATAAAATGATGATCGTTGGTATTTGATCTGTCCGACTATCATGTCTGACCGTAGGGACACAGGCAAATGTAAATATCCACTTCCACGATCAGGAGCAAAAGTAGTTTACACACTTGTTTAGAACGGGTGCTTTTATCAAACATTTAATTCATGTATTATTTCATTCCTTTTACACGCCATAAATGCCCTCAACCCCCCGAATCAATGTTGTCTGAAGTAAAAGAAAGACTTGAGGGTCCAAAATACAACATTGATTTTGGGGGGAAGGGGTGGAGGTAGACAGGGGAAGGGGATAGGTAAGTCCACTATTCAAAAAGGGGCCATTTTACGGAAGTGTCTCATGCACTTTTGTCCCTCATTGTAGCTTGGGAAATTATCACGTTCGAGTTCGGAGAGGACCGCGTCGGAGCTCAGATAGTTAACAGTTAAATTATTTCGCCTTGCCGTTCACTTTCTCAAGAAAAATGAAACTTTCGTCATTTAACGTCATAATGAAGGTGCTTAATTTCAGTTTTAAGTAAGCACTTTTCGTAGCGCAATTTTTCAAGTTTTCCTTCAAGTGTGCCTTTACGTGTTGCGATGTTTTTTTTCTTTTTTCTCACTAGCTAGACAGGCCCCTTTAAAGAGCTGGAGAGAAAAAATTGCTTTTCTGGTGATATTTTTTAATGTTTCTTTAACAGCTGCTACAGAAAGATCCCTCGTTAAGGTTATCAAGTGTGGAATCTTTGAAGACAGATCCATATTTTAGCGACTTATCATTCGAGGACGTATTGCAAAAGAGGGTCAGTTGACGAGTACTTTGTCTTTTGTGTAGATAAAAATTTCTTGTGGAAGCCAACCTTTTCTTGTTGAATTCAGCCTTGTTCTTAAATCGCTCGGGAGCTCGACTGTGCAGGGGATAGAGTCTACAATCAAGTTTGACCTTGAACATCGTACGTTTTTCACCCGCTCCTCTGCTCTTTTGAGACCCGTGCCGCCTTCCCTAGTCCCCTCATTATGCGTTTCGGGTCACGTGGTGCGAAAGAGTTTTTGTACGTCTCGTATACGTCACCGAAATGAATTGACCGAGAAAGCCTGGGAAGACGCCGTATAAGGACCAGGTAATGTACCGCCTGCAGTTTTGTTTTAAATATCCTTCCACCTCGTTTATGTTCCAAGAAGCAAGAAATCCTCTTTGAAACTTCATTAGTTTCATCAGTAATTTATCCTATAAATTAATCCGCTGTTTGTTGGCATTGCTTGATTGTTTACCAATTTGTATGCTGTTCTACTTTCACAGCAATCGCCAATAAGCACAGAAACACTGAAGATGTTACGGAGAAGAAGTGTTGCGTCCAGAACGTAAGTACTGTGTTGTGTTTTTCACTGACGATTGAGCACTTTTCGAAAAACACATTTTACCAACGCACTCTTGAACTATTGTAGGATGTTTCCAAGAAAGGTGGAGTGCAGTCGACGTGATAAGAAGGTGAGCTATCAAGATTCCTGTTTCTGTTGAACTTCTTTTAAATAAAATTTGTTATCTTACTTAGCTATTGACAGCAAATGAAACAAACCAATTACAACTAGATAAAAAGAAGTTTAACGCATATTACTGAATAATATGTACCTTTAGCTAGAAGTTTAACCAGTTCCAAGGGCTACAAAATCCGGTAGTATGTCCAGGGAAACATTATCACCTTATTAGCTATAGAAAGAGCAGAAATTTTCTTAATAAGCCAATGTGTTTCGTGAGTTCATAAGTTGAAGAAAGCTATAGTATTTCTTAATCTGTCTAACACTTTGAGTGATTCCTTATTTTCTATAATGCAAGGAAAATGGAAGCATCAGTAATTAATAGTAACATTTCTTTGCAACCTCCTCTCTCATTTTTCTTAGCCTCGTCCACTATCATGGGCAAGTCCAGGAAACTTCACCGTCCACGACAAAACACATATGGATTGGCTAGTGGCTGATCTTGGGAGCCTGCACACCCTTAAACTCAGCGGTAATTCCCAGGAGGGCACAAGAACTCAATGTCTTGTAGCGTCATGAACTTGCTCAGCGCAGGCACTGCGCAGTGAGAAGTGAAAAGAAAGATTAGATATTCTTGCAAAAGAACTTCATTTAAAGCAGCTTCTGTTACGTTATTTCATGAACGTTAAGAGTCTACGCTACAAGTCTGCAGAGTGATTTTGATTTTATTAGCTCACGTAGTGCTGAAAACACAAGAAGCACAGTTACGATATCGCTTGTGCTGGAACGCAAGGACACTGGTGCGCGGGAAAAGTGTATCCACCCAGCGGCAAGCGCGGGAAAGCACCTGCGTGAAAGATACGTAATGTAAGACCATTACATTCAAGTCACCGTATTTTGTCGCTACAATCCATGAGTTAAGCCCTTGTTCACAGAAATGGGGGAACGCCATAATTTACGTTACACTTGGGACGATCCGATCTTTCGTCTTGTGTCTGTCTGCGTAGCCTTCGTAAGCTTAACGTAATTGAAATACTCTATACCTAAGAATAAAGTCGTACACTTAATATATCTGGAGAAACCATGTACAAAAAAGAAAAATTAAGTTAATTATTTGACCAGTGTTGCAGTTTTATCGTAATTCATTCCTTAAAACTTAAAGAGGTTCGATATGTTTTCAAGAACAGAGTCACTTGCTCCTACAGTTGTCGTGTAGGATGGTCAGCCGATGACCAAACAGAGAGCTTCATTGGCACATCATCTACCTTCACAGCCGTCCAATTAGAGGCCGTACGATACTACGACGACGATGGCAATAGGAAAGTCAAAAGAAAAACAATAACAACAGGGTTTGGTAAGCAAAACTATAACTCTGACTGTAAGTTAAGGAAGAGAGAGATGTGGTTACAATCTTCACGCGCATTCCTGATTACTCGGCATCAAGTGCAAAACAAACTGAACTAACTTGACGGATTGTAAATAAGCGTACTATATGACTTTATTTGAGCTAGGCTTGCTTAAAGCCGCTTCTATTTATTACTGGAGAATCTCTTTATCTTTCTTGGGCTCCGTTGTTGAATGATAACAGTTTTGTTAGTTGCGATTCAACTTTGTCGCCACGGCACATAGGTTTAAGATATATGACAGGGATGTAAAAAATACTTGCGCGCCTGGAAATAAACATGTTGTCAAAAACAAGTAGAAAAAAAAAAAAAATTATATTTCCCACTATGAGTGGTATATGCTGTAGTGGACTGTAGTCTTTTGATGCTGAAGTTGTAGTGAATTTGTGACTTATAGCCTTGTTAGGTCTTCGGCTTCAAAATTTCGAGATCCATCGTGTTGGCCCTACTTGTCGCACTTATGGTGAAGGTCCCGAAAGATGCCATTTTAATCTTTGTGCGTTTACGAAAACCTCGGTTTTTGGTCGTTTTGGTATGGACGAAAGATCCTTGGAGGGCGTGAGAAACGTTCGAGTCTCCTCGAGTTCTTCTCTTTGTTCAAACGAAACCTCGTAATATGCAGGCTAAAACTGTATTTTAATGTTTGCGTTTCAAAGCGAACGTATGATCAAAGTAGCACTGAAGCAAATTTAGCTACATCTCAAGTGGTAAACATCAAAAATGAAGCTTTATTTTTACTTTTAAATGAATTACAGCAATTACAGAACTTAAAAAAATTGACTGAGTTAATGGCTTTCAGTTGATGTCACCTGAAAGAGAAAAGTAAACAGTAGTGGATCAATACAAGTTCCCTGAATGCTATTGTTTGCAATAAAAAGTCAGTATTCTCACCTCAAAGGGTCGTAGTTGCTCCAAGAGTCATTACTCTTCCTCTGATTCGCTGATTAAGTTGCTGAAAAAATACGGTATAATCTCGATTATTTTATTTTGATTGATTGGTTGAACTCACACAAACGCTGTTCACATCTTTCTTAACTTCCTAAATTTTTTAAATTTTCATCCATATTTTTTTTTTTCAGTGTATCTCGGACAGACATTTACAACTATGACAATTACGAAAAGGTTGGGGGGCCTTTTGGTCTTTCTTCCCTCTCTAACTTGCACTTCATTAGCAGTTTAGTTTAAGTCATCCATGTCTTACCTGGCCACGTTGTTGGCAGCAACGTCTTCGAGGCCCTCTTCCCTTGAAACAAAGTCGGTAAATAATCAGTACTTGCTAATTAGCAAAAAACTGTTAGAAAATCGTTTTACTGGAAATTAAAGTGTAAACTGAGCTCACTTTAGCCACAAATTACATTGCCTGTTTCTACATAATAATGCGGCTAAAATTCAGTTCATTTAGGTAGCATTGGCTGTTACGCCCTAAGAGGGGAGAAGATGGGCTGAGATGGGGACATAGATCCGCGTTGACAGTTTTCGGCAAACTTTGTTCATCCGGAAGGTTCTTCCTCTTGGCGTCAGTACACTTTTTCTGGCCACCTCGATTAATGAAAAAGTGTCGCCTCTAGTAGAGAACTGTGAACTAAAAAATCGGCCCAAGGGAGGGTTGTTTTGACTTATAAGTTTCCTCTCTGATCAAAGTCCCTAGGTTAGCCCTTGCCCCCCACTGATAGGTGTCTCACTTACTCAAGCGCCCTTGCCCTCTCAACCCCCCCCCAGCCCTGGGGTATAACACTGATAGGTGTATTACTTACTCAAGCGCATTCTTCAGAGAATTCATCGCATTCTTAAATAAAGATGAAATTCATCAGTTCATCGTTTCTGTAAACTCCAAATGATGAAGGATAATTTCAAATATTTCAACAAACGTGAAGTATTTATAGGAGGACAGAGTAATGGTGGGTAAATAAAACAGAAAAATGTGAAGTTTAGCCCTTGAACGTCGATGGCTTGTTCCAGTATTTGGGTGTTTGGAACCTCAGCACTAAAATGTGACACTACCCTTTCAAATAGGCTTTTTTTTATCGCAAATGTACAATGTTGTCTACCGGAAGAAAAAAGCTGTAAATCAGAAATGTAGGACCGATCGCTTGTTCCTGGTGTTTACTGGCTATCGCAGGCAAAAACTGTATCGAGAAAGGCAAAAGGCTAGCCTTTTTAGAAATAATAAAAAAAAGCATGAAAGTGCTAGCCGAAGTGTATGTCATCGCATGACTAAGTTTAGCCACGATGAATGAATGCACCTAATGCGATAAGCGTAAGACGTTCATGATCTGTTCGCAAACGCGTTTAGTCGGTATAGGTATTGACGGCCAACAAATGTTATTTATTTTATTTTATTTTATTTTATTAGCTTTGCCCTGAAGAATACAAAAAAAAAAAACACTGTAGATATGCAAACAAAATATTAGGGCAGGGACACCGCAACAGTTAAAGCCAATTACTGCGGAATTACTGCGAAATGAATTCCTTAGTGAACTATAAAGCAGAAAGATAATGGTCTCTAAAGTTTTCTTTAACTTTTGAAGGCATCTTGGGCTTACTGTTAACGGAAATACAGTTAAATAGCACGTTTAGTCAAAGCAAGACAAACTTACCGATCGCCTGGTTCGTTGCTGAGATGCGACTGCCTTTTTAAGACTATTCACCGCCTAAAAAATAAAACACACACAGTCTAAACTGTAGAACAGTCCGTATTTTTTGCGTACTCAAGTACGCGCGAGCAGTCAAACAAAAGGTCTGGAACGAGGCTGAAAACAGAGAGCGAGAGTGGAGAGAGACGCTAAGACGCGCTTACACGCCCCACGGGCGTGTGAAGCTCGCGTGCTTCGCGCGCCCAAGACTCTTACGCCACGCTTTACAGATTTCTTTACTGATTTCGAGAAAAAAACGACTGTTTTGCAGTCTACGCACAGTCTGGTGACAGCCTACAAGCTTTCCCTTATAATTGCAAAACGCACACGCTGTTTTTTTAGTTTTCTGTTCAACAGATGATGAGATTGCTGAAAACAGTATCATTTCTATTTGAATATAAAGAGACTG